TTTATTATCTAAATATCTGCACAAATACAAAATAAACTTACACGCAAACATAGGCCTATAGGAACAGATTCAAATTTTGGAGGGGTGAAAATGAATTAAGTGGCTGACTTGATAAGATGGCCTCTTTCGTCTTCAAATATTCTTGAACTCTGTACAAACGCAGCACTTGTAGCAAGTTAAGAAGTGATCTTTATTGTTTAGTTGTATTTCATTACAACTCATACTATAATTAATGCAACAAGCAAGTGTCGCAACTTATATAGGAAAATAATAGGTAATTGTAATTCGAGACTGTAAACTTATGAAAGAACGGAAATAGGAACTTATAAAAAAATTTTATTAGTTGTCACATGTTAAAAGTCAGGCATCTTTTGTCACTGGCTTTGAATGTAAAAGCTTGAAATATTTATCTGTGATGTAGAATAGTTATATCTGAAGAGTTATAAGCAAAATTGAAAAGTGTGTGTCGACTGTGCATACAAATCGGATAGCATACTGTCCCAAAAACGAATCGGCAGATTCATAACTGCTTTGTGTTAACGCAAGATGATTCTAAAGGCGTATAAAACGGGGTGGTGGGGTGGTGGTGCAACTGAGAGGCCTATAGCCCCCCCCAAAATTTAGGTAAACATTGACATAATAAAACGCATCTTAATTTCTTGTAACATTTTATTGCAGTTTCTGTCGCAATTTATAAATATTGTATATACTTTCTATCTTATTTGGTTTAATTTTGTCGCAAATAATGTCAGAATAATCACCTAAAGCCTTACGTGATTAAACGGCGAATAATCCCATCCGTGGACTAATGATCCGTCTAACAGATCATACGTCTAAGTATAAACACAAGACGAACTTTCTATTAATAAACCACACAAAGTCCAATTCTGCCTTTGGAAGATTTTGGAGCGAGTTATGAACTACGAAGTATTATTTTTTCCGTAGTTTGTCCTCATTCCACATTTATATTCACAGAAGGATGATGCGTCAAGTCAAAATACCCATGCAAATTCGTCTAAGTAAACAAACTATTCAAATAATTCCTACGCATCTTGATGGACGATCTGTCAGTTTGCCCGTATATACACAGAGACGAACTTGAAGACGAACTATGTTTTGCTTGCTCAAATTTGTCCAAATAGATAATCAGTCTTTAGCATAAATCTGGCCAAGCAGTAACTTCTTTACACCACTTTGAGAAAGCCACTGGCCTAATCCGATGATAGATTCTTCAAGAATAAAAACGTACATTATACCTAGGCACAAAACTCAGACAGATTATCTTAATCTTACTAATATTGTTCTATAATACGTAGCTTGCAATGAGTATCACAAAACGTTCTGTTTATAAAAAGGGTCGAAATACTCTTCAACTTTAGCCAGCCCCAACTCCCCCCAATTTAAATCTGTTACTAAGACTGTGAATTAATGCAGCTTGCAAATTTTCACTCTCTGAAGAGTTAAAATTTGGCCGATGTCAGCAGTACTCTTAAATTGGTGTAAAGAGGTTCATGAGCTTTGCCGTAAAACATTGACTAAGACGAAGATGTTCATGTTGTTGAAAAACGTGCTAATTCAAGCATTATGGACGTGTTCATAATGTTTAAATTGTGCATGATTTGTTGTTGTTAGCGGTTCTCTGACAGCATTGATATATAGTTATTCTTTTGGGCAATTTCTACTTTATTCTGGGAGTTCCTAAATTTTGTCTGATTGGTAAATTGCATAACAATTTGCATGCAGTATAGGATCTAAAACAAGTTCTTTAACTTTTCATAACAGCTATAAATTTTTTTGGTCAAATCAGAGCTCTAGTTCATTCTCATCAAGGTCTATCAATTCAAATCATTGCTTTTTGGGTACAACACTTTTTTCCAAAAGGCATCAAGCACTACAATTCTGAAAGAACCCCTTGTCTCACACAACGGTTAATTAGAAGGTATGATTTTGGAAAGCCACTTCAGCCACAAGTCAACCCCAATGGGCGAGGCCTTGGGTGATTTTTTCATTATTCTTGGCGACAAAGTTTTAACGAAAAAGATAGGTTGTATACCGACAATTAGACATCTTTTTGAATTTCAACTGCAACTGCATTGACATGATGAGCTATAAATGCGCTCCGCTGTATGTTTGTCCATGATTCAAGTTATGGAAAGAATATAGGGAATGAGGTGCATTATATTTTATCAATGTTAACCTACACTTTTTCGGGGGGCTAAGCCCCTATATAAATTTTAGCCCCTCCCTTCCCCCTTAGCCCCTCCGCTTCCTACGCCTATACACACATATACACATCTATACACATATAATGGTTATCAACTAAGAAACAGTTTATTTCGTGCATATTATTTATCATATGGGGTTAAAATTATGGGTGCATGCAAATGACTGTTTTACATTTCATTCTCGTTGTATGAAGACAAACTTTTACTTAAGAGAAACTCGATTAAAAAGTTTGCTATTTTAGCTAAATATTATTATACCTATTCTGTTCTTGCTCATTTCAAGAGCTGTGTAAATACGATGTCTTATTGTAATGGCACACTAAACAATCGGTAGTTATATTTGTTTAGATGGGTAAATGGTACAATAAAAAATTGGTAGTTATATTTGTTTAGATAGGTAGCTTGTAGACCATGGTAGAGGTAAGATAAATAAAAAACCATAAGAATTCATTCCTGCTGATGAACTTATGTACACGCAGTTACTTTATTTCTATTCTAAGCTAACGTACTGTGCTCAATGCAGTTATAACTATTTTTATCATATGGAAACAAAATAATTATGTATTTGTTGTGAATTATTGTGTTGTATATTTACCTTCTAACATCAATATCTTGATGGAATTTTAGCGTCCTCTAAAAGCAAGTTTATGTTGTCACCATCACCAACGATGTCCTCATTTACAAAAGGTAGGACATTTTGTTAACAGCGAAATACAAAGAATTTCGCATTTTCTTTATTTCGAAATTCAAGTAGGCCCTGAGAAAATGCTTGCAAAACTTTAGGAATCGAAACATTCCTGGTAAATTTTAATCTAAGCAATTTTAAATCATTTTTTGGCGAAGATACTTTGTCACATGTACGTCTGTTTAAAAATGGATTTTTACCCATCCTTCCCCGGTAGTTGCTTTAAATTTTTATAACAGGAGAGCGGTGGCTAATATAGGGGGCTAAAGCTCCCTTAGCCCCTCCGCTTCCTACGCCTATACACACATATACACATCTATACACATATATGGTTATCAACTAATCAACAGTTTAATTCGTGCATATTATTTATCATTTGGGGTTATAATTAAGGGTGCATGCAAATGACTGTTTTACATTTCATTCTCGTTGTATGAAGACAAACTTTTACTTAAGAGAAACTCGATTAAAAAGTTTGCTATTTTAGCTAAATATTATTATACCTATTCTGTTCTTGCTCATTTCAAGAGCTGTGTAAATACGATGTCTTATTGTAATGGCACACTAAACAATCGGTAGTTATATTTGTTTAGATGGGTAAATGGTACAATAAGAAATTGGTAGTTATATTTGTTTAGATAGGTAGCTTGTAGACCATGGTAGAGGTAAGATAAATAAAAAACCATAAGAATTCATTCCTGCTGATGAACTTATGTACACGCAGTTACTTTATTTCTATCCCAAGCAAACGTACTGTGCTCAATGCAGTTATAACTATTTTTATCATATGGAAACAAAATAATTATGTATTTGTTGTGAATTATTGTGTTGTATATTTAACTTCTAACATCAATATCTTGATGGAATTTTAGCGTCCTCTAAAAGCAGGTGCGCATCGTCACCATCACCAACGTTGTCCTCATTTACAAAAGGTAGGACATTTTGTTAACAGCGAAATACAAAGAATTTCGCATTTTCTTTATTTCGAAATTCAACTAGGCCCTGAGAAAATGCTTGCAAAACATTAGGAATCGAAACATTCCTAGTAAATTTTAATTTAAGCAATTTTAAATCGATTTTTTGGTGAGGATACTTTGTCACATGTTCGTCTGTTTGAAAATGGATTTTTACCCATCCTCCCCCGGTAGTTGCTTTAAATTTTCATAGCAGGAGGGCCAGCGGTGGATCAAACTTGCATGGGGTCCCTCCGAACCAAATATTGAGGCCACCTCGATCACCAGGCATTGAAAACAAAACGCCAATTTGACACCTGACGAAAGCACTCAACCTTTCCCCGTAATGTGTATAATGTACTAATAACAATAGATATAATGTAATAATTACAATGTAATTTTTTGTGCAGGGATGTCTGTCTTCCTTTAGCGACATTATAAGGCGGTATAGAAATGAAAAAAATGACTTCGCTATATCGGGGACCTTCAAAACGCGGGGCCTCGGGCGACAACTTAAAACACACCCTGAGGAATATTGAAGTGGGTGTGGGTTGTATATGGTCTTTGCCACACATATAAGCCTCTCTTAAATGACTTTTTCTTATACTAGATTTCGATAATATCAAAATTACAACGGAAAAAACAAAACCTATAAATACAATGTCCACTGCTGTGGTTGCGCCAATACAACGAACTGTTCAATTAAACGACAAAATCTCGAAGACTACACCTACTATAAATAAAAGTCATTCTAAAGTTATGGTTACAACAAATCAAATTAATCCATCTGTTCATTTAAACGATGGTATGTTGGTATATTATATTAAAATAAATTATGTCTGCTTTAATAGTCCCTTTTTATGGTAATTTTATCCAAACCACTAGTTTGCAAAATCGAGGGTAAAATGTCAGTTGAAGTTGTGAGGTTACCTTTTTTGAAATAAACAACCGTCAAACGATCTATCGACGAACTGTCATGAACTGAACATCCAATGAAATTTGTCTGAATTAAATTCCAAATATAAGGTCTTAAGTTAACTTATGAGATTGATTTAATGACTCATTTACCTGAAAGTTAAGTGCTAAACTGCTAATTTAGCTATTTTTATACACATTATTTTAGATTTTGAACAAAAAGCAATCTTAATATTAGTCATCAGCTTTTTGGCCATTCTTGCCATTACTGGAGTTGTTGTGACATGGGTTTCATTTCGGTAAGTATAAACAGTTAAAGTAAGCTATTGAATGTTTCTATTGAAACTGGGAAATTTGGTTGGGAAAATTTGAAAGAAGCACGAGAAATAACCTATTAAAGGCCGTTTTTATAGTAAATATGTATATGTCTGAACCTCACTGGACTGATAGGTCATTAAACGTATGTCTTTTTGGTCAAGGGTTTAAGGTGAAAGGTCATATTATCTGTGGCATAGCCGGATAGCCACCTGGCAAATTTGGCCGCTTAATGCCTATGTGTTTACCACATGATGTTTACTTACTGTGAAAACAATAGATTTCTAAGGAAATAAATGACGACATTGTTCTGAAATTTACAGTGATGAATTTACTATAATAATGGGTGAAATAGTGATTACGCGTCATGAAAATTTTCATTCATGCATAAATGTAATTTATTTCAATTACAATTAACGTTAAGTTTCAATTTATGAAGATAATTCATGAAATGAGTTTTCATTATTTCTGTCGATTTTAGTCAATTAAGGCTTTCCTAAGATTTAACAAATTAACCATTTGTTAGAAAAGTAATTCTGCATACCGGTGTTTTTGAATTCATTTTTGATATAACTCTTCTTTGGCATGGCTCTTATTTAGAAAAATTTAAACTGCCATGACAGAAAAATAAGAGCCATCCCGGAAGAGGACATGTATAAAATGATTCAAAACTGAGTTAGACCAGAGTACAGTTTGTTTAATTAAATGGTTGACATTTCAACATTTATTGGGAAAGCCATAAATTGACTAAAAATTGACAGAAATAGCCGAAACTCTTGTAATTAGTTTTCCATAAACTGAATGATGTGTGGTTGTAACTTGAAATCAATAGCTTTTTAATTAAAGCCATAATTGAAATTTTCATGGGTACGAACGAATCTTTTTGGGTCACCCTGTATATCATGAGAACATACAAATAGTGACCGTATTACGCGTCAGTTAGTATAGTTACATACCATGCATGTGTGTAATAAATTTACGCACCAAGACAAGCGTTAAGTTTCAATTTCTGACAGGGTAACAGCGAAAACATAAAGAAATGTGGTTGTCATCAGCATATACAAAAAGTTACTCGACTTTGGGCTAAAATAAGTTTTCTCAATTTCAGCTAAAAAAACCTCACAGACATGGCTAACCAAAGGATCAAGATGAAAAGTCTGAATTGGCCGTGTATTTAATTTCGTCGATATCTTATTGTTAACTGGATTTATTTTTGAAATTATAAGAACAATGCCTATGATAATCATTTTTCGTTGTACAATCTTTCAATTTTTACAGAATGAAATATATTTTTATTTTTGGGTGAGTTAGACCACAGTAGCACGTGTTAAAATCATACTTCCTTTAAACTTACTCATACTACTAGATTTTGAAAGCAAACAGCAATGTCCTTGCCCCTCGGTGAAAATAATCAATGTATTGTGGAACACAGTTCTTAAAAATACTGCTCCATCGACGATTTTTTCCTAACAATTTAACGCTTTATTACACGAATATAAAGATAGGTAAAAATAATATTTATTTAAATTTTTTGGGGTACCAATTTGTACGACATTTAAGAAATAAAAGATGTTTACTGTGTTTGCACAGGCTTATGCAAACCGAGGAGACTTTTGAGAGAACTCGAGAGCAGATCAGCGCATGCCCTAGACCGAAGGTTGAGGGTTGCATATGCTCGAGAGTTTTCACAAACATCCGAGGTTTGCATAAGCCAGTGCAAACACGAAAAACATCTTTTATTTCTTTTATAAAATAACAATAATGCGAAACAGACAAATTTAAAACAAATGTTTTAATTTTTCCTCAAAAATGTATTTATGATCGATTTTCAAATTATCTTTGACAGATAGATGGTTATGATTAATTTTATTGGTTGAGCTCAGATGTGTTTTGCACAGCACGCTAGACCAATCACCGTACGCGTTTTATTTATTTTATTTTATAACTGTCATTATATGAAATGCCTGATTTTGTGTCACCGTTTGAAGTTTCATTATCAAGTATTTGTTCTACCTCAGTTACAAATTATAATATATGTCATAAATATTAGAGCATTGCTTCTGCACAAAATATGCAGATACAAAGTTATGGAGAAAAATATAACCATCTCTAACATTGTCACAGATATTACGAGTGGCGTAACAAAGTGTTGATGAGTTTGATATGCATTTGTCAAAACATATACATGATAACGACCAACTGTATCTTGCAGCACAGATTTTGAAATAAATAGCATGCTTAGTAACAATTTAATAGAAAAATCATCTGCGCGTGCGCTCGAGAATGCACAGTCCACTCGACTAATTGTCCATAGTCATAGCAACGACTAACTGGTGCATTTGCACTAAATTCATGGCAAATAGCTCACATAGTCGCAAATTATCAAAGAAATCATCTGAGCATGCGTGGTAATGATGTCAATCATACGACAACTTTCGTAATACTTCATATAGTAGGTGTCAACTGGCAGTGGAAGCTTGGTGCAATTAAGTATGCAGTGGCTTAGGAGCTCAGACTTCGGTCGCGCTCACCTTCTCCTTGCGTACCCCGAGCAAAGCCTATCCAAAAGCCAGAAAAGGTTGATGTAGAAGCTAAACATGAGTCGAGTATTGACGTGCGACGGATAATGGACAGCAACAAGAATTCGGGCAAATGAAGCGTAAAAAAAGCAAGAAAGATTATTTTATTGTAGCCAGCCAAACGTCAAGAAAGTCGCGTGAAATGAATTCTGATAACTTCAAACAACAAAAATCGAATGAAAATGAAAATTCGTTACAAAGAAAGCCGTTTCTCTACCAGGGGGAAAAATCTGCTTTCCGACCAACGGACGTTTTTGAAGGCAGGATCAAAATTAGCCGGGCCGCTTCCCAGTCGAATGAAAACAAACAATAAAATGATCGGGTTGGAGCCACGGTTAGACCGCAATAGATCAGATGCGATACAGGCTATCGCAAAAGACAGGTCAGCTTTGCCATCCAACAACCCTGTTTCTTAGACCAGCACGAGGGTTTGGTCTGTGCAAGAAAAGAGAGGTCCGCATTATCGAGCACGACCAAATAACTGCACACCACAGTAATTGGTCAAAGAAGACGATAAGTGCGTAGAAATCTAGAGTATGTGTTACATTGAGACTTGCAGCATTTTTAGTAACGCTCCATTTTTATATTTTTGTTATATTTTTGTTACAATTATCACTACGGTGCCTATCCACTTTGCCTCTACATAAATTATGTATGCCGAACTACGTTGAACAACAGGCAAAAACACAATAGATCATTTATTTAATATATGTACATATTATAGATCGATTTACGTAATATACAGTCGTAAAAAACAGCATTAATAACAATCATAGAAAAAGTTTTTTAAAACAAGTGTCTAGTGCTATTAACCTTTAGAGATTTTATACAAAATACCAATAAAGGTAGTGTAACCTGCTAATATCTAAGCAAACCTTCGGAAATCTTTCATTACACAAGCAATACCATTTAACTGCTCCAGGCATTCTACAGTCTAGCGTCCCATTATCTTACTGTGTACCCAATATAGTATATATATATTAAAAACTCTTTGTTATGTAAGGCGGAAATTTGCTTTGACTAATACGATCTTTCTTCACGAAACAAGGTCAGTTGTCTGTTGTATGAAGATAAATGCTATGAAACTGATTTGTCCTAATCTTCATGTTAGGACATTATTAATTATCTGTCCCAAATTTTGATAAAAGTTAAAAATAAGCGTAATTTTTTCCAACTCCCAAAGGCTCTTTTTCTTACAAAATCAGTTTTTAAAATACTCTCTACATTTTTTCAAATCCAGAATTAGTTTTAGTGATAAGAATAGTACTTGCCTTTAAAAAAGTATTTTAGCCACTGTCTCGTGAAATACGAAATATGTATTGTATAAAACGAAATCATTCAACATGAACAAAAATCAAAAAAAAAATATATGACGAATCACATTCCTAATTGACTCCATATAAAACGCTGGAAAACTATAGTCACTCTATAGATTAGTACTAAGAGAAACAAACCAAGCATACATAACGAAAATGGTTGGCAATAGGCCTTTTTAGATGTCAACATTTATGCGTTGTGTAAACATCAAAAGTAAAATTAATTAACGTAAAGAGACAAAAGCGGAAGCAGTCTTTAAAAATAGTATAATCCTTTGCCCTTAAAACAACTTGGTTCTTTACAACGGCACCAAACAGTGCATTTTTGTTTTTCTAGCAAAAATACGGTTTTTTCTATTTTGTTTCTGAAACTGATGTTATTTAATGTATTAAAATGAATTTGGTGTCAACTTCACACTTTATGCTAATTTTGAATGTTGTGGTGAATCCTGTGGTGAATGTCAGGATGAATCCTGTGGTACCTTCACAGTAGTGTGTGTTTAGGAGAGCAGAGTCACAGAATATATACTATATGGCAATTTAATGAAAGAGAATCCAATTGCTTATGTAGCTGGATACTTACTCCAGAAATATTTTGAAAAGCACAAGTGTTCCATATGTGAGTCAGTTATGGTCACAGACCAACTTGATGATAGCAGAAATCTGCTTTGCTACTTCAAGGTATATGAGTCAGACAAGAGCTACGGCCCCTTGCACTAAAAGTAGCATTTCATGAATATATAAACAAATTGAAGACATATTTGTCACAGAATTCCTCCCACTTATACAAAAAGTGTAGGTATTATGAAAGATTCTTCAGCAGCTACAAAAAGCTCCAATCCCATTTTGAACAGTGCCTGCATTTTCAATTGATTATCTCCTCAAACTCTTTCTAAGAATGAGGATTTCCACTATGCCATCAGTTTGCGAATCGTGATCTATCAGCCGCCAAGTTAAAAAATAAAAAGTAATAAAAGTGATCTACCTTTTAGAAGGAAAAATAAATGAACCCGCATACACCCTTGATGAATCAAAATGAAAGTGACCGTCAAGATTAAACGCTTTTTCTATACATTATGATGCAGGTCACTGAACTCTAACTGCATCAAAGTGCCAAACCACTGTAAGTAAAATTCCAAGAGATTTCAAACTTAATGTCATTAATCGAGGCAAAATAAGAAAAATCTATTGAATGCAGTTTAGCAAAGCTGAGGAGCGGTCACAGTCACAGCACGAAATGTAAGATTCGAGCTTTACAACACGTTTAATTACGTTGTAAAAAAGAAAGACATAGAATATACCTCAAATTTTGTCAAACTCTCGCTAGGAACAACAAATCTACGACCATATTGAAGAGATACAGGCAAATATTTGTACTTCTTTACAGTCCTTATATTGTTTATCAGAAATTGACTGGCTAGGAAGATGGCGGCCGAGATGCGCGAAGCAGCATGCGCGGCCCCAAAAACATCAAACGTTCCGACAAGAGTGGAACTTCTGTATAGTATATATTCTGTGGCAGAGTCCTGTATCTAAGAGTGAAAAGTTAAATCGTCGTTCAAATGAGGTTAGCCATTTTCTAATCAACATACAGTATTGGATATAAATCAACAAACTTCGATGAGTTTGATGATACAGTTTTGAATATTTTTTCTTCTTAAAACCGTAACCAGTACAATCATATTGCGATGTAACGCAAATTCTTTAACATATTATTTAAAGAGAACCTCCTCTGTGTTGAAAAAGGACAACGTCTCTGGCAACCAGAGTGATGTAAAATCTTCAAAGGTCGAAGATGATCACAACAATACATCATCCAAACATGTAATCGCACGAGTTCAACATTTTCTTGAGGTAAATTCAAAATACCAATAGTCTTGCTCTGTACGTGTTAATCCTTGCTTAAAGTGAAAGTGAAATGATAGAATTTTGTTGACATTTTAAAATAAAAGTATAAATACGTTCATAGCATACGTGGCACTATCCAACATTTTTATTTGTTCTCCTATTTGTTTTAATTTGTATATTTTTGAATTTTTATTATTCTAAAAATTGCACAACCCAAACAATAAAGGCTTTATGAAATTTTTTCCAGTATTTTTACTTAAGTTATATGCGTCATGTAGTAAAAATAATCATTGAGCATTTAATTTATTTTTATATGTTTTTCATAAGCATTCTAACATATCTGTCTAAACACATTGTACATAAGCAATGATAGCTTCAAAATATGCTGCTTAATGTCATAAATAAGTTTTTGACTGTCTTGCGAAAAATGTTATGAATTGATTACATGAACCAACCAATGGACAAGAAATATTAACACTATCTTTGACATCATTCTTATCTCATTTTTAAATATAATGATTGCATTTATTTCTTTTAGCAAACCGTGAACTTAGCATTGTTGATTAAAACTTGCACTATTTTTGATACCAAGTTAAAATTACATATTGTTCAACTTTAGGTTGGTCGGGCACAAAATGATGGAATATCAAAGCAGAAATCAGACATATCTGAAAATTCAAGTGAAGCTACTACAGCAACATCAACTATATCATCAAAAGATACAACATTTACAGCTGTGACAACATCAGTAACAACTGTGACAACATCAGTAACAGCTGTGACAACAACCACAACATCAACAGCTGCTTCTACTGTAACAACAACACCCCTACAACATCAGTTTTCTGTGCCACAAAGTCCTAAATCTGACTACAAGTCTGATGATTCTGAGTCTGAAAAGAAGTATGATGCTGCAACAAAAGAAGAACTTTTATAGCTTGCAAGAAAACAAGAAAAAGCTTTAACCCGTTATAAAACAAAGTTTTCTGAGGTTAGATTATTATCACAAGTTTCTCTATTAAATATCGATCTGTAAAAACCCCTGTGAACCAAGCATGTTACTTTACTGTATTTAATCTTTAAAACTCAACAGTATGACGATACCAGAATGATTCATCCTCACAAATGCCTTGATCTGTGCAGAATGTTTCCCCCTGTTAAATATGCTACAATTATTTAATTAAGTGGTGCTTTCCTAAGTTCACCAGTGCAAATGTGGTAACACATGAGATTTTTAATGCTTATAAAAATTTGCAAAAAGAATATGAAAAGCTTCAGGTATTCAAATTTTTTACTTCATGTGTGTAAAAAGCTTCAGGTATTCAAATTTTTTACTTCATGTGTGTAAAAGCTTATTATTCAACTTTAATTCATGTGTAAAAAAGCTAGATTATCCTCAACCTTTTAATTCATGTCAAAAGCCCAGGTATCCAACTTTAATTCATGTGCTAAAAAGCTCAGATTATCCAACTTTTAATTCTCATGCGTAAAAGCCTTGCGATTATCCCAAAATTTTAATTCATGCGTGCAAGCTCCATATATCCAACCTTTTACCCATGCGTAAAAGCCCAGATTATCAAACTTTTAATTGCGTAAAAAGCCCAGTATCCAACTTTACCCGCATAAAAGCCTGAAGATCCAACTTTGACTCCATGCATAATGCTTGTATTCAAATTTTTATTTCATGTATAAAAGCTTCAGGTATTCAAATTTTATTTCATGTGTGTGTCTATACTTATTATTTTATCTAAACTCTTTAACAAACTAGAATTCGAGTAGGACGCTTTTAACAGATTTTTTTATCTTAACTCAATTTACAACTGAACAATGGTGTGAGTGAAATTTCTTTTACCTATGCTAAACAAATTTAAAAATTTTTTTTGGAAATTCTTGCAACCGTCAAGGAAAATAGAAAAAGTTGATATGTTACTCATATTTTCTCATATTTTGTTGTTATTGTACCACAGTATTAGCTTCCTGCATGTTCTACAGTACCGACCTCGAGTAGCATAACTTGACTCGCGAGTATCGAATGGCGAGTGACTCGCGATGCAGTTGCGGAGAAAGAAATTTTTCCGAGTTATTTCGATTTACTCGCAAACAGCAAAATATTTTATCCACTCGCAAACCTCTCACTGAATTATCGCGAGTCACTGCCATCGATACTCGCGAGTCAAGTTATGTTACCTGAGGTCGGTCACTGTAAGTATGCACCTCACATAAGTTGTGTGTTATTCCATTATTGAATTTGGAAAGTCCAATTACTTAATTTGCTATGGAAGATACAAGTACCTACAATGTGACGGGTTTACAACACTATTACATAATTGATTTTGCTATCTTCTAGAATAATTTTACTCAAAATCAAGACAAACAAATCAGGAAAAATCTCGGAATTGAAGAGAGGCTTCAGTGTATAATTTTACTTTTAAATATTCTAAGAATTCATTTTACGTTGATCGTAAAATTATAAATAATGAATTTCTTCTCAGGTTTTTTACCGTGATGTATTTTATATTTTGAGATAAATTAAGATTTTTATCGCTTTTAAACAATTGAACTTGAAAAAGGCAAAATGCATATTGTTGATTCATTAGTTTAAGTTACTATTCAAGAAAAATATGTCTTATAAAGTTTAAAAAACTCAGTTACAGTTGTTACGCGTAGCTACAAAACGTACGCATATTGTGAAAAGTTATTTAGTTTTAAATAAACATCGACCTTCTTATTTCTTTACGTCATATTTCAGAGTAACGACTTTGCTAGTTCTTAGTGTTTAAATAAATGTTGAAATATTATTATTTACCAGCAAAACGTCCGTTGAACTTTTGACGTAGGTAGCGACTTTGCTATTTTCTTATAGTTTAAACTTTACTCATGTTGAAATATTCGTGTTAAAATCCAGCAAAACGTCCGTTAAACTTTTGACGTAGGTAGCGACTTTGCTTTTTTCTTATAGTTTAAACTTTACTCATGTTGAAATATTCGTGTTAAAATCCAGCAAAACGTCCGTTAAACTTTTGACGTAGGTAGCGACTTTGCTCTTTTCTTATAGTTAAAACTTTTCTCATGTTGAAATATTCGTGTTAAAATCCAGCAAAACGTCCGTTAAACTTTTGACGTAGGAAGCGACTTTGCTATTTTCTTATAGTTTAAACTTTACTCATGTTGAAATATTCGTGTTAAAATCCAGCAAAACGTACGTTAAACTTTGACGTAGGAAGCGACTTTGCTATTTTCTTATAGTTTAAACTTTACTCATGTTGAAATATTCGTGTTAAAATCCAGCAAAACGTCCGTTGAACTTTGACGTAGGAAGCGACTTTGCTATTTTTCTTATAGTTTAAACTTTACTCATGTTGAAATATTCGTGTTAAAATCCAGCAAAACGTACGTTAAACTTTTGACGTAGGTAGCGACTTTGCTATTTTCTTATAGTTTAAACTTTACTCATGTTGAAATATTCGTGTTAAAATCCAGCAAAACGTCCGTTAAACTTTGACGTAGGTAGAAGGACTTTGCTTTTTTCTTATAGTTTAAACTTTACTCATGTTGAAATATTCGTGTTAAAATCCAGCAAAACGTACGTTAAACTTTTGACGTAGGTAGCGACTTTGCTCTTTTCTTATAGTTAAAACTTTACTCATGTTGAAATATTCGTGTTAAAATCCAGCAAAACGTCCGTTGAACTTTTGACGTAGAAAGCGACTTTGCTATTTTCTTATAGTGCAAACTTTACTCATGTTGAAATATTCGTGTTAAAATCCAGCAAAACGTACGTTAAACTTTTGACGTAGAAAGCGACTTTGCTATTTTCTTATAGTTTAAACTTTACTCATGTTGAAATATTCGTGTTAAAATCCAGCAAAACGTACGTTAAACTTTTGACGTAGGTAGCGACTTTGCTATTTTCTTATAGTTTAAACTTTACTCATGTTGAAATATTCGTGTTAAAATCCAGCAAAACGTACGTTAAACTTTTGACGTAGGTAGCGACTTTGCTTTTTCTTATAGTTTAAACTTTACTCATGTTGAAATATTCGTGTTAAAATCCAGCAAAACGTACGTTAAACTTTTGACGTAGGAAGCGACTTTGCTTTTTTCTATAGTTTTAAACTTTACTCATGTTGAAATATTCGTGTTAAAATCCAGCAAAACGTACGTTAAACTTTTGACGTAGGTAAAGGACTTTGCTTTTCTTATAGTTTAAACTTTACTCATGTTGAAATATCGTTTTAAAATCCAGCAAAACGTACGTTAAACTTTGACGTAGGGACTTTGCTTTTTCTTATAGTTTAAACTTTACTCATGTTGAAATATTCGTGTTAAAATCCAGCAAAACGTCCGTTAAACTTTTGACGTAGGTGAAGGACTTTGCTTTTTTCTTATAGTTTAAACTTTACTCATGTTGAAATATTCGTGTTAAAATCCAGCAAAACGTCCGTTAAACTTTTGACGTATGTAGCGACTTTGTTATTTTCTTATATAGTTAAACTTTTCTCATGTTGAAATATTCTGTTAAAATCCAGCAAAACGTCCGTTGAACTTTTTGACGTAGGTAGCGACTTTGCTATTTTCTTATAGTTTAAACTTTTCTCATGTTGAAATATTCGTGTTAAAATCCAGCAAAACGTCCGTTAAACTTTTACTTGGTATGACTTTGCTCTTTCTTATAGTTAAAACTTTTTCATGTTGAAATATTCGTGTTAAAATCCAGCAAAACGTCCGTTGAACTTTGACGGGGAAGCGACTTTGCTATTTTCTTATAATTTAAACTTTACTCATGTTGAAATATTCGTTAAAATCAGCAAACGTACGTTAAACTTTTGACGTAGGTAGCGACTTTGCTATTTTCTTATAGTTTAAACTTTACTCATGTTGAAATATTCGTGTTAAAATCCAGCAAAACGTCCGTTGAACTTTTGACGTAGGAAGCGACTTTGCTATTTTCTTATAATTTAAACTTTACTCATGTTGAAATATTCGTGTTAAAATCCAGCAAAACGTACGTTAAACTTTTGACGTAGGTAGCGACTTTGCTATTTTCTTATAGTTTAAACTTTACTCATGTTGAAATATTCGTGTTAAAATCCAAAGTCCGCCGTTGAACTTTTGACGTAGAAAGCGACTTTGCTATTTTCTTTATAGTTTAAACTTTACTCATGTTGAAATATCTGTGTTAAAATCCAGCAAAACGTACGTTAAAATTTTGACGTAGGTAGCGACTTTGCTATTTTATAGTTTAAACTTTATCATGTTGAAATATTCGTGTTAAAATCCAGCAAAACGTACGTTAAACTTTTGACGTAGGTAGCGACTTTGCTATTTTCTTATAGTTTAAACTTTACTCATGTTGAAATATTCGTGTTAAAATCCAGCAAAACGTACGTTAAACTTTTGACGTAGTTAGCGACTTTGCTATTTTCTTATAGTTTAAACTTTACTCATGTTGAAATATTCGTTTTAAAATCCAGCAAAACGTACGTTAAACTTTTGACGTAGGTAGCGACTTTGCTATTTTCTTATAGTTTAAACTTTACTCATGTTGAAATATTCGTGTTAAAATCCAGCAAAACGTACGTTAAAATTTTGACGTAGGTAGCGATTATATTTTCTTATAGTTTAAACTTTACTCATGTTGAAATATTCGTGTTAAAATCCAGCAAAACGTACGTTAAACTTTTGACGTAATTAGCGACTTTGCTATTTTCTTATAGTTTAAACTTTACTCATGTTGAAATATTCGTTTTAAAATCCAGCAAAACGTACGTTAAACTTTTGACGTAGGTAGCGACTATGCTATTTTCTTATAGTTTAAACTTTACTCATGTTGAAATATTCGTGTTAAAATCCAGCAAAAAGTCCGTTGAACTTTTGACGTAGAAAGCGACTTTGCTATTTTCTTATAGTTTAAACTTTACTCATGTTGAAATATTCGTGTTAAAATCCAGCAAAACGTACGTTAAACTTTTGACGTAGGTAGCGACTTTGCTTTTTTCTTATAGTTTAAACTTTACTCATGTTGAAATATTCGTTTTAAAATCCAGCAAAACGTACGTTAAACTCTTTGACGTAGGTAGCGACTTTGCTTTTTCTTATAGTTTAAACTTTACTCATGTTGAAATATTCGTGTTAAAATCCAGCAAAACGTACGTTAAAATTTTGACGTAGGTGAAGCGACTTGCTATTTTCTTATAGTTTAAACTTTACTCATGTTGAAATATTCGTGTTAAAATCCAGCAAAACGTACGTTAAACTTTTGACGTAGTTAGCGACTTTGCTATTTTCTTATAGTTTAAACTTTACTCATGTTGAAATATTCGTGTTAAAATCCAGCAAAACGTACGTTAAACTTTTGACGTAGGAAGCGACTTTGCTCTTTTCTTATAGTTTAAACTTTACTCATGTTGAAATATTCGTTTTAAAATCCAGCAAAACGTACGTTAAACTTTTGACGTAGGAAGCGACTTTCCTATTTTCTTATAGTTTAAACTTTGCTCATGTTGAAATAGTGGTTTTAAAATCCAGCAAAACGTCCGTTGAACTTTTGACGTAGGTAGCGACTTTGCTATTTTCTTATAGTTTAAACTTTACTCATGTTGAAATATTCGTTTTAAAATCCAGAAAAACGTCCGTTGAACTTCATTCTCTCTTGTTCTTGACGTAGCAGCACGTGTGTGAATCATTTTTACAAAAATATCTTCAAAATGGTGAGTTTTTGTGTGTATAATGCTGTGCAATTGTTCCAAGAGTTTCTGCGCTGTTTGCTCGTAAGCACGGACGTTTATACGTGCAGAACTAAAAACTTCCTATAGTTGTGGTAGCTTAATTTACACGCTTTAGTGTTAGCTTTCCCTGGGTATTTGTTTCTTGAAAATTTAATTTTTTTTTCAAGCAGCAATTGGTCAGCTACGTGATGTTCCTTTGTACTCTTGTTCTCAGTGGTGTAGGTATGAAAGGCGTATTTTTTATGTAAATGTATATTTTACTAGATTAATACATATGTTGGAAATGTAAGATATATAGATCACCAAATCAAATTAGAGTCTCGAATTTGTCATATACATATTCGAATTTATAGTTGCATGCCAGCATTCAATTATGAAATTGCTCTAATGGTGTTCATTTAGCCGAACTGTGGTAATATTATGTCTAAAATACTTTTTTTTTGGGTCACCGGATTATACTTCTTCTAATTTATTGCAAAATGTTTGCTTGCAGTTGTATTTTAACTTGGAGGCAAAATCCTGCAATAATAATTTTTACATAGTATTTTTGAATTGCATCATAAAGAATACATCGTTGAAAATAAGAATGGAGAGGGCAGTTGCCCGTATTTTTAATTTTCTTTGTCAATATGAGGACGCCAACAAAAATTGATACATGAAAGTGGAAAGAGTTTATCATGCTTAAAGCCGTTAAAATTGCAACGTCCACAAAAAGGCCATATTTGACATCTTCAAATTCGTATTTAGTTGTGGCATAACAATATTCAAACATGCACCATGAAATGCACACTATTCGCCACACATTCGCAAACAAGTAATAAAACACGCTGTGGATCGTTGAACTTTTTAACGAAAGCTTAATAAACCTTCCCTACATTTTAAATAATAATTCAAATAGAATTTTGTCCTTTTGCATTGGCAAAGTTTTTCTTTAATTTATCACTTCCAGCGATCAACTGCAAATCAATACTGATAGAGTGCGTATTTAAGAATACATCATAAATACATCATAGCGCCTTACTTTTAGTGTAATGTTTTCATAGGAACTTTGCAGTATTATTGTAAGTGGCGAAAATTCACACGAGTCAGTCAGTCAGTCATAATGAAAACCTTCTGGGTGGTGTCTAGTAATAACACTCATTTTATGTTTAATGATTTTTTAGAAATTTATTATTTGTTTTTCAGCGATTCTTAAAAAAGATTTTAGCACCAACTTCAACTCACATTAGTTAAGACATTTATAACAATGTATCTACCCCGTTTTATCCTCAGCAGCTCTATTATTTGAAAAAATATCTAAATGCGCATGCGCTATTTTTGTGCAAACTGTATCATGAATTGTGTAGCAAGAGTAAAGTAAGGGGAAATAGAATATTCCGAAATCCAAAAAATTTGTTTTAACTATGACGCTTTTCATTAATGCTGGCAATGTTGACAAATGTTTTGAAGATTTTGAAAGCTCGAGTTTATATAGAATGTAAGAATATTGGTATTTAATTCGCCGCATTGCCGTATTTGCCAAGTACTTGGTTAGTGCTGTTTGTTTAGCAACCTGCTATCAACTTCTTGTCTAACTACACTCATACACTACGTGTTGGTGAATTCGTCTTAAACATATGACAGTAAAATTTGAAGTTGCGCACACATCTGCCTCGTTAAGAAACATTTTACGAGAAATAAAGTGCACTATTACTGTCCTTGAAGAAAGCATTAGTTGTGGAGTGCTTTAGAACAATATGAGAAAGTCATGTAAGACATTAATAATTTGTCGACTTTCATGTAATCGTTACGAAAGTGCAAATACGAAATGAATGTTCATTCATGCAAACTTGCCGAAAACTGGACTTATTCATCAAATGATGCAAATTGTACTACGTAAATATTTATTGAATACCGTTGCATTTTACTGCTCGTTGCCTTATTATTTAGGTGGAATTTTGCGCTAGAAAATATCGCAAACAAAGGAATTTATTCTTCCGAACACATGAGCTTCGCATATGTGTTAGAAGAATCCAAAATTACAACATAACCGAAACAAAGAAAGTAAATCATGAGTGATTTCGTAATTTTTAAGTTGTATACTGCATAGTAAAAAAAAAGAATGCGACGCGTAAATGACGAATGTATGATTGTGGCGTGCCAAATGTCCTTATTATGTATACGCTATGTAAGTGCAAATACGAAATTAAGGTTTATTGACGTCTAAGGCTATTCGTCAAGAAACAAACTGCTTTGATAAGCACTTCTCGAAGTGAATTTCAGTTTAGCATTTTTTGAAACGCCAACAGGGGCGGATTTAGGGGGGGGGGGGCGAAACGGCCGCAAACCCCCCTTTTGCTGGAAAAAAAACAAAAAAATTGAATGATAATAAAAAATGACAGGAAAGTTTTAGTTTTTAAACAAGTTCAAAGAGTTCGGCTCCCCTTTTCACAATCTCCTGGACCACCCTGGCCAAGGTTCTAAACTAAGCATTCTTGAAACTAATTTTATTTGCAATGTTTAGAAACATTTTTTTGAGAAACTTTGTATAGTTACAACAAAATTTGCGGACTTCATACTAAAAAACCTATTTTTGTAGGTATCACACACATTGATTCAAGTTGAAATTGAAATATTTTAGATGCAAAGATGATATTGATATCCCTACCAAAAAAAGAAACTAAAAGTCCAGCAATATTAACTTGGATCGTTTCATATGCTGGACATCGAAGACCTGTGGTAAACATCAAAACAGTCCCCCATAAAAACATTGAAACAACAAAAACTTTCAAAAAAATACATGGAAAGAATGATCTATTGTTAAACATCACAACCAAATGTACTACAAAAACAAAAACGCTTGTACTTCTAAATGTGTTTTTGGCTCCACACAAACCAATTTTCGATCATGCGACGATACTTCTTCAGGTAATTTAGCCTTATCAGGAATTTAAGTTGAATGATTTTGCTGCGCTTGATAGCGTAGCCTGGGGCAAAGTGCGACATTTGCTAATGATTATTAAATATCTGAGCCGTTAAACTAAGCTGCAGCTTAAGAGTCAGTCAGCAGCTTCTCTGTCATCTGTGTCATGTAAGAAAAGTGAAACATCGCAGAAATTTACAAACGGAGAAAGCATGGACTTTTCGTTTTCCAAAGGACACATTGAATAAAAGATTGAAGAAGTTGGATAAACAGAGTACTGATGATAACATTGATACCATGTGCCACAATAAGCTTGGAAGATTCCGCACTGTTTTGTCCAAAGACCAGGAGAAGCAGCTGGCCAAATACATTACAGATATGGATAGATAATGCATTTTTCGGACTAACTATTATGGACCTTAGGGTAATAGTTTATGAATTCTGTGACAAAAATAAGATTCCAAATCCTTTCTCAAAAGAAAAGAAACTTTGCGGGGAAGATTTTGTCCGAGGGTTTTTAAAAAGAAATCCAGACCTGTCTTTATGGAAACCACAAGGTGTTGCTTTAAATCGAGTATATGGGCTGAACAGGACTGCTGTGAGGACATATTTCAGTAATCTTGAGAAACTTCTAACTGAGCACAATTTTCAACCCCACTTTATAACTGTGATGAGAGTGGAATTACCAGTGTTCACAAACCGGTGAAGGTGGTCGCAAAAAAAGGAAAACATTGTGTTTCCTCAGTAACTAGTGGTGAAAAGGGAATTACCACAACTGTTCTTTGTGCGGCATTCCACCCATTCCACTACATTCCACCCATGATGATCTTTAAAAGGGAAAATAAGAAAGATTCTCTCACTGATCAAGCACCAGTTGGAACTTTGCAAGGAGTCTCTGATAATGGTTGGATCAACACCGAGCTATTTCTGCAATATACAAGGCATTTCATTAAGTATACCAATTGCACAAAAGAAAACCCTGCTCTGATGATTTTTGATGGGCACAAGACCCATACAAAAAGTCTTCAATTAATTGATCTTGCCAGAGATAATGGATTGTTTCTTTTGTCATTGGCCCCCCATACAACTCACAAGCTGCAACCTCTGGATAGATCTTTTTTCAAGCCACTAAAAACACATTATAATAATGCTTGTCAGAAGTGGATGAGAAATCAGCCCTGGCCGAAGAATCCAAACCGAGAATTTGGGAGAGCTTTTCAATGAAGCTTATGTCAAATCTGCTACCATGGAAAATGCTGTCTCTGGTTTTCGCACAAGTGGAATTGTTCCATTCAATCCAGATGTAGTACCAGAGCACGAATATATGGAGGATCCATGTTTGTTGGTTACCACTTCCTCTGCTACAAGTAGAGAGGTTGCAAACAGTGTGGAAGAAATTGAGGTGAACGTGCCAGAAGCTAGAGATAATGAAAGCCATGATGAATGTCTTTACTTGAATGAAAGTGTTACCACAAGAGCAACAACACCTCCAACACAAAGTTTGGCACCTGCTACATAGCCTGCTCCACTTGGTGCTGATTTTGGCGCCAGTCCAATTTTGGCAACGCCTAAACTTTGTTTCAAAAGAAGTCGCCGTGGCGAGGTATCTGAAATTATAACAAGCTTCCCATATAAAAGAAAACTACAAAGTGAGACACTGACAATGACAAGTGCTGACAAGAAAGCACCTTTCCCCTATTCAGGATCGGATTATGAATGTGGTATTTGCTTGATGCTACTGATAGAACCTGTCGTTTTACCTTGTAATCATGAAATGTGTAGAACGTGAATTCAAAAGAATGTCGCAGAAGCTAATTTTCTGTGTCCAATGTGCAGAAAACGGTCCATGAGAGAAGGCAAGAAAAGGCAAGGCAAAGAACACAAAGGTAAAGAATAAAAGAAAACCAAAGGAAAAGAATATTGCAAGACCTGTTCTGACTGAATGTGAGAATGATAGATCAGACTGGATCTGCCCTGTCTGCAGTGGGAATTGGAAAGAAAGTGAAACTGATTGGATTGTTTGTACGAATTGCACTGCTTGGGTTCAAGAGGAGTGCACATCAGACGAAATTTGTTTCTTGTGTGATTAGATTAGTTGTTTTTGACTTTTAAACATTTACATTTTGAACACTTACATTTTAGCTTAAGCTTTCTATAGATTAATTAATCTTTTTATCTTAGATTTGTTTGTACAAATGAAGTTTATATATTTTTCGAGATGTTTTCTCAAATTTTTCTCCTCCGGTGCCCTATTACCTATTAAAAAAGGTCCCTAGCTAAGTGTCGCACTTTGACCCAGGTAATGGGGAAAGTGAGACACTTTGACTTGTAAGATATTATGGAATACTGAAACGATACTTATTATATTTGAACGTTTTTTCATCCATTATTTATATCAGAAGGGCCTTGAGATTTATTGTGCCAATCTTTGAGTTAAACAAGTTTTTCCCAACCGAGATATATCCAAAAATGTGAAAAAGTGTCGCACTTTGCCCCAGGCAACGCTAAGTCGTTTAGGCAATTTACTAAACAATATTGTGTGTCGACTGCGCATACAAATTGGATGGCATACAGTTCCAATAACGAATCGGTGGACGCATAACTGCTTTGTGTTAACGCTCAAAGGAGAAAAAACTGCAACACAAAGTATAGTGCAATCAAGATAATTTTTTACAAAAAAAACATAGAGCTTAACATGATCGATCTGACTTTTGTGGACTGTAACATACCAACAATTTTTGGGCATTGCAGTTGCTGTCGCAATTTATGCATATTGTATATACTTTCTATCTTATTTGGTATAATTTTGTCGTAATTAATGTCAGGATAATCACCTTTGTGCAAGACAAGATTTTCTTTCATTCTGAACTGCAGTGATTGATGTCTTTTTGGAAAAAGTAGTTGTACCCAAATAGCAATATTTTGAATTGATACACCTTGATGCGAATGAACTAGAGCAGAGGTTGATCAGGAAAGTTTAAAGCTCTTATAAAAAGTTCAAGAACTTGTGATAAATGCTAAGATGCATGTAGTTGTTGTGCTATTTACCAATAATACAGAATGTAGGAACTCCAATAATGATATAGATATTGCCTTGAAGAATAACTATCAATGATGTCAGATTTAGTGAAAATCGTTAATGAGCAAAAGTCACGATTGCAAAATCAGGACCATGTCTTTGTTAACTTTTAGTATAGGTCAATTTTCATACTAAAGACGGATCATCTGCATGGAGGAATGATCCGTCTAACAGATTATACGTCTAAGTATAAACACGAGACGAACTATTATTATTTAAATGTACAGCTTGGATCGTGAAAATGAATCACCAACGTTAGAGCTCTACGGTTATAAACGTTTCTTTTTTATCAAATTCGATTTCGGTCTCTTCCCTTAAGCTACGAACAATCACCCATAAACCGGAAAAACGGCAAAGTTAATTCTCGCTAACTTCGGCAATCTTTGTTGTGTATTTACGGCAATACTAAATACACGACGATAACAACAAATGGCGAAAGAAAGAATAAATTGACCCGCTTTGTAAAAACCTTAGAAAGGGAAGATACATAACAGGTGCATCTAACTTCGAATCCTACCTTCCCTGCCAGCCAGCGAGCATGGTCACCTTTGGTCACCTTTCTCCGCTTTCTCCTGCTCGGGTAGCGGGTCTTTGCCGGAGACCCAGTTCTATGAGACTTCTCCAGGCTGCTCTGTCCTGGGTATCCTCTTCTTTGACACCACATAGCTGCATGTCTCTCCTGATGGTATCCTTCCACCGATGCTTTGGGCGTCCTCGTTTCCGTCTCCCCTCCATTTGCATCTCATAAACTCTCCGCATGACCAAATAAATGAATGAAGAGAGAAAAATGTATGTTGTGGGCATCTGACAAACCTTCTTCAACTGATCTATCGAACGCAATAAATCGCAGTCCATTATTTTCTTTATGCTTCTCACACAACTGATATTACTTGCCGTTCTATCATATTCATCATTTAAAGAAATAAGCCTACCACAATAAAGTGGGCTGTGTTATTCCCATTAACTGAAAATCGTATGATAAAACATCATCAGTAAATAGTTGTTTCTATGTTTGTTGTTCCGCGCAACTTCGACGTACGTAGCTAATGGAATAGACTATTGAGCAGGATCAGATACTAACCCTATGAAATACAAAACAGGAATAATACAATTAGAAAATAAAAAGCCACTGGAAAGTTTAAAATTAGCAGTAATACCTTGCATGAATATGTATGGGGATTAACACACGTTCATACAAAATGCTAAAGATCTTTTAACATCAGTTAAATTGCTCGTTTTTCAGTTGTCACTTCTTCCGCCCGCATCAATGGCATACAACCAGTTTTGTCGAATGATGCACAAATGCAATTATTCATCATCTAATCTCAAAAAGGTCTTGAGAACAAAACAATTTAAAGAAAATATGACGTAGATAAATTCTTATGCATCATGGCAATGGCACTCCACGTAACGACGGTTAATAATATAGCCAGGGGTACCAAACATCTCTAAATAATGACATCCCAGAAAGATCTGCCATTTCATTTTGGAAAGCTGCTACCGTTCTCAACCATTGATATGACGATGATATCAACCATTTTTCTGCAAAACAATAGGCACATACCACAAATTAATTTCTTGGGTAAATCAATTAATAGAGCTTTCGTATGTAATACATTCTTGATGATTACCAAAACATTTATTACATAAAAAGACCAAGCGGAGATACAAACTATATTAGATGATCATCATGCCTCAAACACTATTACTACTATTTCTACTAACTATTTCTACTTCTACTTACCAATAGTTACCAATAGTTACCAATAGTTACCAATAGTTACCAGTAGTTACCAATAGTTACCAATAGTTACCAATAGTTACCAATAGTTACTATTACTAATAGTTACCAATAGTTACCAATAGTTACCAATACAATAATATACTTAATACTTACCAATACTTACCAATAGTTACCAATACTTACCAATAGTTACCAATAGTTACCAATAGTTACCAATACTTACCAATACTTACCAATAGTTAGACTATTTCTACTAACTACTCACCAATTATTTATTCTATTTTGTCTTCGCGACTCTTCATAATTAACGTGTTTGCTTGTTTCTTCGTTTTGAAAGAACTTAGTGATTATCATCAATAATGAGTCGTTGATATGGTCAAAATGGCGACTGAAGTTCACATTCTAGAGTAGACGTTTGTTTTGCTTTACTGGTTCTTTTGCTTCAATGTATTTTTCTTTCAACCTGGAAAAGTCAATGAAGAAATAACTTGAATAAAGATAACTGCTAATAAATCCACAATGGCTGTAGCTGTTAATCAAACATGAAAATATTTGGATGATAATGCAGCAATGTAATAAGTACTAAATAAGATAGTACTAAAATATATTCATTTGTGGTTGCAATATGGCCAGTTGTTGCGAGTGTGATCTTTGTTAGTGAAATTTTTGTCTACATGAAATGTACTGGGATAGTTTCTTTTCAACTCTCTGTTATACCTCAGTACATGGTTTGACATTTCTAAAATCTAAACCATACTTTGTCTCACACCACTACCAACTCACCCCACATCAACTTATATGAACCCAATAAAAATAATTATGAAAATCAGTCCATGTAGCAAATTGACACAAAATTTTACAAGTTCTTGTTTCTATATCGCTTGATTATTGTTAATGAGGGCTATGAAGGAAATGGATCATTAAAAAAAAATTTCTAATTTAATATTGTATGCATAAGTTAAACGAATATTTATTCTTCATTTTCTTGTGGATTATTCAGAAAGTGTTCACTTAATTAAATCCTTTGTGATTGTCTAGGTAATATTGTTACCTTGTTTAATTGCCATTCAAACTTTGTTCGAATAGTGTCCTTGCTGGTATGGAAATGATTCACTCTACATCCAATTTACTTGAAACTACTTTAAAAGTGTTTGAATTAGACTACTCCTACTAAACGTCAATGTTATATACATGTTAATAACATTCTAAGCTAAATTTGTGAAGCAAGGGAGGTTGTTCAAGATAACCGTTTAGTTGGTGTGGTATGTTAATCTTATACAAATAAAATTTCATTTCAAATTTGCCACATAAGATTTGGTCATCGCCAAACAAACAGGTTGCTAAAGTCGAATTCATCCACAAGCTTTTTTCCAGCAATTTATAATTTATATGTGCGTTTCCTTCTTAGACTAAATCAGCTTTTTCTGTTTTCAAACATTACACTCTGAACAACATGAAAATAACAAATTTTATGAAGAACATGAAAAATTTGCTGTGCACATAAACAGATAGACTTCAATTTTGTTCAAATCAATTCCATAAGTTCGAATTAATATTAAAAAAAAACATTGATATGTTATCTACCACTTGTTTAAAAAAAAATCTTAGGTCTCAAAAGCCACTTTAGGATGAAGGCCAAGGAATTTTTCAGTAAGGACCCTTTGAGAAAGCTCTTTGAACAATTTAAATGGCTTTTAAATCAATTGTACAAATTTTAATTTCAATTTGCAAACAAATTTATTGCAAAAAAAATAACAGTATTGGACCACAATCAAGATATTTTATAGAGCTGCCCACTGTGCCAGCCAATCACTATGCATGAGTACGAAAAATAAATGTGGAAACCAATGATTTCATGATCAATCTCTTATAACAAATTTATAGCCAACTAAGTGCAGTATGTGGCTGTACTAAACAGTCTTTAAGTATAAATAATATGATACTATAATACAGTGGGCTTTCAAGTACAACTTTAAAAACACATGACAAATTACGACAGCCTTGGGAAATGCTCAGGAGTTCCATAAAAGGCTGGCAACTGGCAATTTTTGCAAAATGCTTTCAATATTACGGTAATGGGCAATTCTCAGAAACTGTGCATGCACAGTAACACTTTTATGCTTCCTGCATGTGTTATTATGTATGCTAATATGTCTATTATTTACCATTTAATGTATTTTTCACTACTTTGCCTTATCAGTGTTCACTAAGTGTGGCACTGGTCAAGAAGGCCCTAGGAAACATTTTTGTGTGTCATACACATTTGCTTTTGTATCTCAGAAAAGAATAGTGAAAACATTTAAAAGCATTTGCTTTTGGATAAAGTTATCTTTAGGCACAATAAATAATTGTAAGGTCTTAATTATTGTTTATGGCTAAAGCTGAGAATAACAATAGAATTACAGTGTAAATGTTGTCACACACATGCCGCCTACTTTCCCTAATTTGCTTGCCACTTTCAAAACTAGTGAAACACCAAAATTACAAATATTGTATAGATTTTTGTGTTACATATGTGCTACTTAACTACACTAAAAGCAACTACAATCGAATATCATTTTCTTTCAAAATATACTGCATGAAATACACAGTTCATGAACACAATGAACCGATTATCCTAATATAGCTCCGGGTCTATAAGCAGTTATCGTCAAGCATTGTCGTTTTCTAACATTCCTTCGAATTAACATCTGCCTTGGCAATATTTCTTACCTTGTCCTCGATACATTTTGATGAATTTACCTCATCTGTTGCTTTCAAAACGAGCCCATCGCTTCTTACGATGATGTGGACTTGTTTTTCATTGAAAGTCTTTGACACAGTTTGATTTCTTGTAACCTACACTGTTGTGGTTTCCCGATTTTACTCGAACAAGGTTGAGGACAACTAACCAAGCCACAACCTACAATAATGATGAGGAGAAAAAGGGATGGGCTGATTTCGATTGAGGCCTAGTAACTAATGCAAAACACGTCCCGAAATTTGATATGTTGTTTCCAGTACCCTGTCAATCATTACCATTACCAGCGGCATAAACACAGAATAGTGGCGTAACTGTATGAACAAAGTCAGTGGCTCAAGATGGTCAGAGCTACGGACATTCAAGCAATCAGGCTACTAGGGGGCTCCGTGAGTAGGGATTCAGATCACTGGTAATTCTAAAATTGATGGGCTCCTTGTATTTAGGAAAATAATAAAAAGTTATGTTTCATCTTCGCTGTTTTCTAAAGGTCTAAGCAAACTCTAATAGCTACGAAGCAACATTCAACTGTGCTGGTAATAACAGCAATACAGGTATGGCGCCTAAGGAGGGCTGGGGAGACCCCCACTTTCTCCCCGCTACCTTTATATTAACCTTTATGTTTACCTTTCTGTCTACCTTCATGTATACTTTTGTGTTTAACTTTATGTCTTCCTTTATGTTTGGATTCGTTCATCTCCGGTTTTTGTGGGTTGTTGATGGTAGATATACGACCAATAATTTCACCTCAATCCCCTTCCAGTATATTGAAATTTAATAGAGACGACAAGAACCACATTTCAAAAAAACGACATGAACGACATTTCAAAAAGTTCTTGCCATACAACAATAACATGCGCAAAGTCTTGAAAGATCATGCATGATGGAAAGTTTATGCATGATTTTAGCAAGAAGTTTGTAGGATCATAGTAAGATCTTGGAACGATCATGAAAAAGTCTTCTAAGATCTGTTGTTAGCATTTATTTATTTTAGCTTAACTTGAGGCAAAGTAAGACCCAGTAACTTTAGTAAATATAAGTCGTATACGGACCCTCCCCCAGGCTCAATTTCGTTGCGCCGTCCCTGTAATAATTATTTTAATCTTCCCGCTCGTAAGTTACAGACCTTTGTGCTAGGATTATAATCACGTGACCCATCTCAATTTCCAAATACAAAATGAATGAACCATTACTAGGAAGACAATGTCCAAAGTTTCCTAGAATTCGTTTCTACGCAATTCACTCTAAAATGGAAATTTACTGCCTGATACTACTTCACAAAGATGCTTACACATTACTTCTAAGACTTACTTACACTGTGTTATAAAATATAAATTTTTCATCCCTACCGTTGACTTATTGAACCATTCTAATATTACAATTTACAGATGGAGGAAGTTTCTCTCCTAATTGCATTGAAATAGGAAACTGTAAATTGTGAATGAGATACCATGCATCTGAAATTTCAAACCCTTCCCACAACAGACGTAAAATTCTATACACGCCTGTATGTTCTATCAGCCAATAGCATTGTCAAAATGATTTAAATCTCTTTTAACATTTTTCTATTTAGTGGCCACACATTTTTGCCATTAAAAAACACCAATTTTAGGTCATAAATTTGGTTATAGATAAAAAGAGATTGGTAGATGGAAACATAAACTGAAAGAAATTTCAAAAATGTAAATATTGTAATTAATATTAATATTGTAATTAATATTGTAATTTTAATTGTAATTGTAATTGTAATTGTAATTGTAATTGTATTTGGTTATAGATAAAAAGAGATTGGTAGATGGAAACATAAACTGAAAGAAATTTTCAAAAATATAAATATTGTAATTAATATTAATATTGTAATTGTAATTGTAATTGTAATTGTAATTGTAAGTGTATAAATATTGTAATTAATATTGTAATTGTAATTAATAAATATTGTAATTTGAAATTACAATATTTACAAACCACAGGATAAAATTCACACACATTTTCCATGTGATCCTACATGTTAAATGAAGTAAGCAAAAACTTAGAAAGTAAAATCCGGTATAATGTCTTGAAATATAGAAAGATGGTTGGTAACAAATGATAGACAAAAATATAATGACGTTTAAAGTCATACAATTTTATAAATATTGAAACAAGAGAAAAGCGCTCATTTGATTTATTCCTGTATTTTTGTACAAAAAGTCCAAAAATATGACCCAACGGGTATAAATACATCGTAATGAATACCTATTAGCACTTTTGGCTATATCTCCATTCTATTTTCCTTTAATCCGCCTGAGAATATTCCGCATACCTTAAGTGAAGCATACGGGACATCTTTACCACAATATTCACATTTCACATTGCGATATTCCCATTCATTCTTCAAATGTTCACTAAGGAGAGAGCGAGGTAACTGAATGTTACACTGCTTGTGAACACAGCTGATGAGCGCATGCTCACAAACTTGAGAATGACCCTGAAAAAAGAAACTTAATAAGTAAAAATGCCAAACTTTTTTGATAAATTTCTCAATTCAACTCACTTCCAATTCTTCGTAGGAGCCAAACCATTCACATTGTTCAGAAGGGCAATGTAAACGAATACTTTTCAACTCACGTTCCGTAAAAGCATCAGGGAAAACCTGTATATAAGTTTCATAGAAGTTCAAAGATTAGTGTGATAATTGCATATTGGTAGAGGAAGATGTTGAGAAAGGACGCTCTTCGTAGAGGAGTTTCTTAACAAACGATTGATATAGCTGTATGTACGTTTCCTTTTAAAACTTTAGAATATTTTCACCTACATCATTTCGGCTCAATTTTTCTTTACAACTATTGTCTATTTTATATATATATGTATATATAATTTAATAAATTATAATTACATTTTTTAAAATGTTGCTACTCGGGGAGTCTGGGTTTCAAGCCAAAGCAATCTTCAGGCAATGTATCGTTTTCTAACGTTAAATACTGTTTAAAAATGCTACCTTGCTGGAAAACCTTGAAATGGCATTAAAAATACACAATGTATGCCAGGAAATATTTGAAATAGATAACAAGATAAATGAAGTTGATTCAGAGGAAGAGGAAATTATGGATGTGGTTTGTATATCTGAGTATGACATTGAAATAATTAAATTAATTTTTTAAAATGTTATTTCTAAAGTAATTATATTTTGGTCTTTTTTAGGTTGATGAAGAAGAATCTGTTAACGAACAAGAAGAGAGAGAGAAATCTCACCTGTCATGAGAAACTTGCGTAGCTGAGTTAAACATATTGGCTGAAAATGTTAATCACTGCAAAAAAACTGTCACTGAAACGTTGTCCTCAGAAATAGTGTTTACTGAAAAAATTGTAATGCATGTCCTTGTTTTTGTGGGCAACGCCCTTTTGCAAGGCAAATTTTCTCCACACCCCCCCATTACTTCAAGTTTAGTTACGCCCCTGTTTCAAACTGTTTTAATCTTTGCTACTAGCGTGCTAGTCTGATGTTATAACAAAAGGTGCTTAACTACTCATATCAATTTTTCACCGCCAGCAATATAAGTTTATATGAGACCCAGAATGTAGCGTTGTATGAACTGAGACATTGTCTCGTGCACATTGAATTATCATGTAATACTTTATAACGCTATTATTCCTATGAAGAAGTAGTTCTCAAATTCTTATATTATCATTCTAATGATATACATCCATAAAACTGCAACGCAAATCCGCGCAAATTTTTTTTTATTTATCTACAAAGTTAGCCTTGAGAAATCACTTCTTCACTTTTTGAGCAGTACCAATATTACAATTGTTTACCTTAAAATAAAACAAACAAAGCTACATATTGAAGAATGAAACGAAAGGTTGATGAAATTAAAAATAAAATATCAACGTCAAGCTGAAAAGCAAATTGCAATACTACATGAACGTAAGAGTGAAGAAGTCTTATTATTGGTCACATGGTGTAAGGTTGGTCATATGGTGTAAGCTTGGTCACATGGTGTAAGGTTGGTCATATGGTGTAAGGTTGGTCACATGGTGTAAGGTTGGTCATATGGTGTAAGGATGGTCATATGGTGTAAAGTTGGTCATATGGTGTAAGGTTGGTCATATGGTGTAAGGTTGGTCATATGGTATAAGGTTGGTCACATGGTGTAAGGTTGGTCACATGGTGTAAGGATGGTCACATGGTGTAAGGTTGGTCATATGGTGTAAGGTTAGTCACATGGTGTAAGGTTGGTCATATGGTGTAAAGTTTGTCACATGGTGTAAGGTCGGTCATATGGTGTAAAGTTGTATTTAGAATAATATACATGAAAAAAATTCTCAATTGGTTATGAGCAGTGCGATTTATTTTTGAAAACTGTGCTCCTAATTGGTTAGTCAAACAAAGAAGTGATCTACGTAAGAGCCAATCATAATACAATATTTAAGGGAAAGTTTAAGTTATTGTAAACAAAGCAACTACAATGGCTGGCTAAGTTTCAAGTTGATTTTCTTTGGCTTAACGAGTTTACAGTTCACCGTTTTCAAATTATTTCTGTATGAAAACATGAACACTGTTAAAAGTAGATACCTTGTTCTAGCTGCGTGCGGAAGCTATGGTGTTGTGAAAAGTAATATTTGACGGAATTCAAAAATAATGAGTTGGTCGATATTTACAACTTGCGGCAGGATTGAGAAATTTTTTATGTTTATTATTAATAAGTAATAGCATGGATTCTCGTGCAATTTGGGCAACACTCCGCCCTTCAGACTCGCAATTTTGATAGTCTTTGAAAACTCACTGCAGCATGTTTTCCCCGAATTGCACTCAAATCATGCTATGACATATACTGAATCATACCTGAGTGGCAAATCGAAGTGAACATAGGGTTTCCTGGAAAGAGTCCTCGCGAGGAGAAACATTCACGAACATCAAACTGAAATATGAATGTATTATTTAGATACACTATCACAACTAACATATATGTTAATACTTCATGTCATCTACAATGACGTTTGTACATTGATGAAAATCTGATACACATATATTCAGTAATACCAACCTTTTACTGTTACCACCAAGAGAGTTTTGCAACAAATGAGTTAATTTCGAGTTTCTATAAGGCACGTGACTACCCTGAAATGTATTTTAATTTATTTGACTATCATCTCTCTACACAGTATAGCTACCTATGATTGAGTAAAATTTAAAAACAGACGCAAACATTTATTTTCCGGAATAAATAATCTAAACATGCAATTTTTAAAATGAAATTATTAAAACAGGCCAAACAACATTTTTGTACTTGTCAGATATACCATATCCCAGTTGCATACACATATTAGCAATATGTGTATGATAAAAAGTTTGGTATTGAAGCCAATGATTTCATTGAAAAAAGTAAGTGTTGTGTGTTACTCTTTCAGGATATAAATTGACAGCTTCGCCACGTCTGGCGAGCGATTAACTGAAGAACAAACAAGACTGGACCAAAATAACTTTAAATTAAAACTTAGTAGTAGAAACAAGCTTCAAGTATCGTGTTAAAAACAAAATAGTAAAACTAATACTGTGCTACTTACCGGAGTCAAGAAATGTTCCCTTTTCTGTCGTTATTTCAGCATCCGCAAACCACAAAAGTTGGCAGTTTAATAAATAAAGTTTTAAAAAAGTGTTTATGTTAGGAAAATAAACAGTTTTGATATTTTCTATACTCGCAATCGTGGTGGTCAAATCAGGGTGGGCGACAAAAATTTCATTTCATGAGCCCGCGTCTCTCCGCTGACTTTGACCACCAAAATCCGCCATGTTTTTGACCACGAGGCCCAGGCCCCTTTGCCCCTCCAGGTCTTATAGAGCTCAATGAGTGGGAAGTTTAGAGCTAATGTGTGTCTTGTTCAAAGTGGCGAGAAAAGACGTGAAATTTGCCGCGCGATTGTTCCCGCAGTAGAAAATGTATATATTTGGGACGCTAGACTTGGCGAAAAAGTATTAGAAGAGAATTGTTGAAACCTTTCATCAATGTTAGATTTTCCACTATTCAAAAATTGTTTTTATGATATTCTTATCTAAATGTCTAGGTGAATGTCTTACAAGGTAACAAGAGCGAAGTGACATGTCTCTGCCTCAGTCCTAACTCTGAACATCTTGCTGTTGGGTGAGTAAAACAACTTATCTAATTAAATAATATAACATTTCATTATGTCTGGTAAATGATGCCGAATATTTACTTCATTGTGGCTAATCAACACTTTCAACAGTAAAAGGTATGGTTGTAAGAAACACAAGGTCAGGCAGGGGAAGGGGCTCAACCCCCCTGCTTATAAAAGTAAGATCCTGGGCCTCCTAACTTATAAAAGCCAGATCTTCCCCTTCCCCTTGTATTCTGAAAGATTTTGATATCCAGGAAAAAAATGTCAGTCAACCTGTACAGTATGTAATGTTAACAAAAATGAAAATCATTGGTGTACATTCCCCACGAGTCACAAACTATTTAAATTTCTACATATTTGTTAGACTTGATAAATTATATCCCTTTGACAACAGGTAATAAAATTTGCCAATATAAAATAATTTTCATTGCTTTTAAAAACTGAACAGCTTTTGATCTTAATGCATATAATAAATTTGCAACTGCTTACAGGGAAAAGAGTGTAAAGCTTAACCTGCATGCATGCACCTCCACCTGCATGAATCCACCTCCACCTGCAGTTTATTTTTAAATTTTAGGTATGGTGATGGTGTCATCAGAATTTGGAATATAAATAATGGTACATCCTCAGTGACATTTAGGTACATTTCTTGTCATGGAAAATATTTTTCAATTTGGTCTATGCTCAACCATTTGTTTACCATCAGTACTTAATTTACTTCCAATTACAAAACTGTCCAAAACTCACTTCAAAAAATTCTTTGGTAAACAAACAGTTAATATAACTCAGCACGCTATTGTAATATATGTGCTACGCACAACAACCAAAAATTTTCCAACTTCAAGACCCACAAAGCCCGCAACAAGATATAAGAGGTATCCTGAGAGGGTTACAACTTGTACAGATGTTGCTGATGGCGCATTTTGCCCTATTTAGCTTTTTGTTGCCATTGCAACTTCTGTGTTCCAATCACAAAGCAGTTCAAAACTCAATTGAAAAAATTTGCCAGTAAACAAGTTACTACTTGAAGACATTTTTTATAAGCTCTCAACCAAAAGGAACATGGAAAGTTTTCAAATTTCAGTATATAAAATCAATAAGAGATAAATAAACCTTGAATGCCATGTAAATTTACACAGAAACTTCTGAAACTATAAGAATAGTCAATACAACCAGTGTTGTTCCTAAAAATATAGTATCGAGCAGTGATGTAGTCAATGTCGCACTAATGCATTACTGTGGAGTGAAGGGTAGACTTGTGTTTTCGTGTAAAATTATTAATTCTGGTGAATGGATGTGTATCAGCACTAATGTTTTCAAAGATGCAAAAGCAAACATCTTCATTAGGCATTTTCTATTCTTGCCATATCTTGAATGAAAGATTAAAAAATTATTTCATCTTTTGTTTCATTGAATTTCTTCTAGTGGTCACAAGACAGCAGTTACAGCTCTTAACTATGATTATACTGGTGTCAAATTGGTGTCTGGATCAAAGGTATTCTTTAATTGTGATTTTCGTGACACTTAAATCAATCGCCATAAATTGTGAATGGTAGTTTATAAAATGTAAACAGTTCATTTGTGTTGTTTTTTACCACTACTATAGGATACAGATGTGATTGTTTGGGATATAATTAATGACTCAGGAATGTTCAGGTACGATTATGATCATTTAATGTTATACGACAAGTTTTTTAAAACAAACATGTTTCAACATCTTATGATGCCATCTTCAGTATAATAAAGAGTATTATGTATGTGATGAATATAAATAAGAGTAATATGATACAGTGATACAATTTATACAATTATGAGTAGATTATATATAAATATTACAATGAAATATTGATTAGAATAAATGATAAGTGTATTTATATGAAGGTGGCATCATGAGATGTTGAATAAATGTGGGGAGTATGACTTACTAAATTAAAGTGGGGAGTATGAATTACAAACTGAGAGTGGGGAGTATGACTTACAATCTGAGAGTGGAGAGTATGACTTACTAAATAAAAGTCAGGTATGACTTTCTAACTACTTATGAACTGAGTGTAAGGGTATGACTTACTGACTTACAGTGGAATATTTAAACTGAGGTCTTGCCACCTACATACATGCTGTACGTATGCTGTAAAGCTTAGAAACTACGTATCATATGACAGAAATGTCAAAGTTAGTGAGTTCTTCATTATATAGCAATGTTGTTAAGAAAGAGATAAATGATGTGTATGTATGTATGACCACAATGTTCTTAAATTTGTTCTTTCTTCAGACTTAAAGGTCATAAAGGAATGGTGACTTGTTGTCGGTTTCTTCATTTTCAAAATGTTCTTATAACTAAGTAAATGTAGAAGATTTATTTTCATCTTCAATGGCTTTGCTAGTTTATATTTAATGGTTTTGTCTTTCCTAGTTCCAAAGACACTTTCGTGAAATTTTGGGATCTTGATTCACAGCATTGTTTTCTTACCTTGGTTGGTCATAAAACAGAGGTGAATGGAACTTATGAATTTGTTGTTATGATAGGATGTAGGAGTTGTCTACCTTTCACTCTCCGTAAAAGAATAAGGATGAATACTTGGCTAGAAACATGGATTTAGGAACAGTAATAAAGTCACTGTAATGTACATTTTTTTAAGGTTTGGGGCTTTGTCGTCGTCAAGAATGAAACAAGGTTAATTACTGGTTCTGCAGATAGTGAATTGAGAGTTTGGAAAATTGAGTACAAAGATGATAGAACAGAAAGACGCGAAGAAACGAGAAAACGAAAAACAGCAACGCAATCTAGCGAGGATGGTGTAGGGGAAATAGAGGTACATAAGAGGTGTTTGTTGGTCATTTCTCTGCGTTGTCTTGCATGATGCACGAGGGATAATAGTGGATGCTACTTAAATTCAGAAAACCAAAGGGAAAATAAACGTTTTTAAGATGTTTAGTTACAATGCGTAGTTACATTGAGGTAGTATTAGGATTGTTGGTGGATATTAGTGGGTGTTCGTTCTTTATAATTCTATAGCTTATTGTATTTCATTGTACTATTTAAACCCTAGACAATAGCTACGCACAGCTTTCTAAGAAATGGGTTTGGTATTAAATTATGGAAAACAAAATACGTATTTATGATCTTTCATTTAATCACGTGCCAACCTTCGTTGCAGTCCAAATCAAAAGTTTATTGCCGTGGCTTTGCTTGATTTTACAATGAAAATTTTCTTCACTGATACATTGAAGGTAAGTTGTTAAATATTTTTGTACGTAGTTGATGATATTGGATAGCATTTGTTGGTATTGGATAGCAGTTGATGATATTGGATAGCATTTGATGATATTGGATAGCAGTTGTTAGAATATTTTCATTTGTTGCTGTAGATCACTTTAAAGATGACTCCTTGTACGAAATTCTCCCATTTTTTTTCTATGAATCACGATAAAAATGCTCTTTGAGTTAGAACTATTTCCTTTTCCTACAAAAAATTCACTAAAAAAATTCACTCTTGTAAAAAGAAGGCGATATTTTTGACTTTAAGCTAGTTACGTAACATTGGATTAATGTATGCTTTCCATCAACGTTATAATTTGACTTACAGAAGTCTCAAAAATTTAACTGAATAAATATTTTCCTGTTCATTTATCCTAATTAACTTTTGTATTCATTATTTAAATGTGGTTACTTTTCCCGCGTCGTTATTTAGTTCTTCCTATCCCTCTATGGTCATAAATTACCTGTTGTTACCATGGATATATCAACGGTACGTTTTATTCATATGACGTGTGTTTCTAAGTATCCACGTTTCACTGTCGTATACAAACATGTATTGTGTTTACAAGAAGAATCCTTAGCTTACGTCATGGACGCATACATTTTGTATACGTCACATCCGTTTTAGCTGTCGCATAAATTATACTGTTTTTTTCAAGCTCACAGGAACGGCTTCCAACTCTGTTTTGATATCATGTTTTATAATACGTTTTTTATTTTTGGTTGAAAGAACTTTAACACATAAAATAGAAGAAAAATACGTATAAACAAAAGATACATTATCAAGCTGTAAATAGGTCATTTCGCTATAGCTTTTCGAATTAGATATTTTCGAAATAAAATTACAATGTGAATCAATTTTATATTATACATTAATAATTTATGCGACAGTTCAAAAGAATGTCAATTTTGCTGGATAAGCTTTTCTTCATTTTTGTTATAAACCCAAACGAGGAAGTTTGGGCTTGTGACGTAAACTAAGGAATTATAAAATGAGCGATGATTATGAGAATGTAATGAAAACTGATTTGAAACTTTGAAAAAGACGTACATAATGTCAACTACGTATGACCGTGTAAATTTTTACCAATCCTCTGTTGTGAAAGTGTAGAGCGTGTTGTGTTCCATCACTTGACCACTTTGCATTAGTGAACGCTTTTCAATGGCGTTGTTTTTTATTTTTGAAACTTTTCTCTGTCTTTGGATTCGTATTTTTGTCATCCTTGATTCATTTTTTACAGGATAACGTTCTCCTCGTTTCTGGTGGCGTTGACAAGAACATTAAGATTTGGGGTTTGGATTTTGGTGATTGTCGAAAATCAATATTCGCCCATGTTGACAGGTACGCACAATGTAATTTTAAATGACAGATAAGCAATTTTATGATGGTTATATATGATAGCCTGAAACAGTCGATTATATCCTTACTATACACTCGTCTCCTATGTACATCGTCATTATACCCTATTAAACCCTCTTACCCTGGTTACATCATTGTTTTGTCTTCACTTTACCTCGTACGTCTATAACATACTAGTAAACCACTTCCTAAAATGTTTTATACGTAGATTTCCTGCTATTTTCTTATATTTTAAACTTTACTCATGTTGAAATATTCGTGTTAAAATCCAACAAAACGTCCGTTAAACTTTTGACGTAGGAAGCGACTTTGCTAGTTTCTTATATTTTAAACTTTACTCATGTTGAAATATTCGTGTTAAAATCCAGCAAAACGTCCGTTGAACTTTTGACGTAGGTAGCGACTTTGCTTTTTCTTATATTTTAAACCTTACTCATGTTGAAATATTCGTTTTAAAATCCAGCAAAACGTCCGTTGAACTTTTGACGTAGGAAGCGACTTTGCTATTTTCTTATATTTTAAACTTTACTCATGTTGAAATATTCGTGTTAAAATCCAGCAAAACGTCCGTTGAACTTTTGACGTAGGTAGCGACTTTGCTTTTTCTTATATTTTAAACTTTACTCATGTTGAAATATTCGTTTTAAAATCCAGCAAAACGTCCGTTGAACTTTTGACGTAGGAAGCGACTTTGCTATTTTCTTATATTTTAAACTTTACTCTTGTTGAAATATTCGTGTTAAAATCCAGCAAAACGTCCTTTGAACTTTTGACGTAGGAAGCGACTTTGCTATTTTCTTATATTTTAAACTTTACTCTTGTTGAAATATTCGTTTTAAAATCCAGCAAAACGTCCGTTGAACTTTTAACGTAGGTAGCGACTTTGCCTTTTTCTTATAGTTTAAACTTTACTCATGTTGAAATATTCGTGTTAAAATCCAGCAAAACGTCCGTTGAACTTTTGACGTAGGAAGCGACTTTGCTTTTTCTTATATTTTAAACTTTACTCATGTTGAAATATTCGTGTTAAAATCCAGCAAAACGTCCGTTGAACTTTTGACGTAGGAAGCGACTTTGCTTTTCTTATATTTTAAACTTTACTCATGTTGAAATATTCGTGTTAAAATCCAGCAAAACGTCCGTTGAACTTTTGACGTAGGAAGCGACTTTGCTATTTTCTTATATTTTAAACTTTACTCATGTTGAAATATTCGTGTTAAAATCCAGCAAAACGTCCGTTGAACTTTTGACGTAGGTAGCGACTTTGCTTTTTCTTATATTTTAAACTTTACTCATGTGGAAATATTCGTTTTAAAATCCAGCAAAACGTCCGTTGAACTTTTGACGTAGGAAGCGACTTTGCTATTTTCTTATATTTTAAACTTTACTCATGTTGAAATATTCGTTTTAAAATACAGCAAAACGTCCGTTGAACTTTTAACGTAGGTAGCGACTTTGCCTTTTTCTTATAGTTTAAACTTTACTCATGTTGAAATATTCGTGTTAAAATCCAGCAAAACGTCCGTTGAACTTTTGACGTAGGAAGCGACTTTGCTTTTTCTTATATTTTAAACTTTACTCATGTTGAAATATTCGTTTTAAAATCCAGCAAAACGTCCGTTAAACTTTTGACGTATATAGGAAGCGACTTTGCTATTTTCTTATATTTTAAACTTTACTCATGTTGAAATATTCGTGTTAAAATCCAGCAAAACATCCGTTGAACTTTTGACGTAGGTAGCGAGTTTGCTTTTTCTTATATTTTAAACTTTACTCATGTTGAAATATTCGTTTTAAAATCCAGCAAAACGTCCGTTGAACTTTTGACGTAGGAAGCGACTTTGCTATTTTCTTATATTTTAAACTTTACTCTTGTTGAAATATTCGTTTTAAAATCCAGCAAAACGTCTGTTGAACTTTTGACGTAGGAAGCGACTTTGGTATTTTCTTATATTTTAAAATTTACTCATGTTGAAATATTCGTGTTAAAATCCAACAAAACGTCTGTTAAACTTTTGACGTAGGAAGCGACTTTGCTATTTTCTTATATTTTAAACTTTACTCATGTTGAAATATTCGTGTTAAAATCCAGCAAAACGTCCGTTGAACTTTTGACGTAGGAAGCGACTTTGCTATTTTCTTATATTTTAAACTTTACTCTTGTTGAAATATTCGTTTTAAAATCCAGCAAAACGTCTGTTGAACTTTTGACGTGGGAAGCGACTTTGCTATTTTCTTATATTTTAAACTTTACTCTTGTTGAAATATTCGTTTTAAAATCCAGCAAAACGTCTGTTGAACTTTTGACGTAGGAAGCGACTTTGCTATTTTCTTATATTTTAAACTTTACTCTTGTTGAAATATTCGTTTTAAAATCCAGCAAAACGTCTGTTGAACTTTTGACGTAGGAAGCGACTTTGCTATTTTCTTATATTTTAAACTTTACTCATGTTGAAATATTCGTTTTAAAATCCAGCAAAACGTCTGTTGAACTTTTGACGTAGGAAGCGACTTTGCTATTTTCTTATATTTTAAACTTTACTCATGTTGAAATATTCGTGTTAAAATCCAGCAAAACGTCCGTTGAACTTTTGACGTGGAAGCGACTTTGCTATTTTCTTATAGTTTAAACTTTACTCATGTTGAAATATTCGTGTTAAAATCCAGCAAAACGTCCGTTGAACTTTTGACGTAGGAAGCAACTTTGCTATTTTCTTATATTTTAAACTTTACTCATGTTGAAATATTCGTGTTAAAATCCAACAAAACGTCCGTTGAACTTTTGACGTAGGAAGCGACTTTGCTATTTTCTTATATTTTAAACTTTACTCATGTTGAAATATTCCTGTTAAAATCCAACAAAACGTCCGTTGAACTTTTGACGTAGGTAGCGACTTTGCCTTTTTCTTATAGTTTAAACTTTACTCATGTTGAAATATTCCTGTTAAAATCCAGCAAAACGTCCGTTGAACTTTTGACGTAGGTATGTGTGGTTCTGTGATCATTCACAATATTGTATTCTCATGTGATACATTGTGATGCATTGTGATGTAGTGTGATGTAGTGTGATGCATTGTGATACATTGTGATGCATTGTGATGTAGTGTGATGCATTGTGATACATTGTGATGCATTGTGATGCATTGTGATGTAGTGTGATGCATTGTGATACATTGTGATGCATTGTGATGTAGTGTGATACATTGAGATCAGTGTCTGGGATTTATTAATATGTACTGTGATGCATTGTGATAACAAACGATGAAGAACGCTGTAGTGTGACGTTACGTAATGCATCACAAACTTTTATACTGTTTAGCCAAAAAATATATCGTGCATGGTATAGTTTTGACGCTGAAGATGACTACTGCTAAAGTTTTCGAAACGTCAGTCAACATCAATACCAACAGTCCTCAGGACTCTACTAACCTGGACGATCTTCATCTACAAACATGTTGCGAAAGTCCAGGATTCAAACCATTTACTTTATTACTATCAAGTACTGTCACTGTACCATATGCTATGTCAGATTTTATCTGCTAACTGAGACTAGTAAACATTTGTTTTCAATAGATATTTTTTATTAAAATGTTCTCAGTGTCAGGAATTGTGAATTATTTTATTGTTTTCTTCTGAGAAGTGAAATAATTTTGCAGGCATGTTATATACTGTTCTACTAAGTGTACTCAGTACTGTGTTTACAGTTTAATCAAATGAAATTATAGTGTTGTTGAGGAAAAAATCTAGAATTGATTTTTTGTAGGTAATTTTTCGATGGGTATGACTTGAAATATTAAAACAAAAGCCATCATCTTTGAATTTACAGAGCAAAAAATGTTGTCTAAGTTTTTTCTATTTTTCATCTATTTTAGATGGAATGCTCAAACAAAGGTGGAAAAACTTTAAAATGATAACTCAGTGTGGTAAGAGTCAAAAACTTTTGGTTAACCGTTTTTTCTTGTTTTTGTGTAGATACGAAGATGACGAAGCTGTCAAACTAATGGAAAAAGATATTCGACCTAGAGCAAGTGCTCTACTGTCATGGGATCAAGTAAACACTAAAATCTTTCCAACTACCATTTTTGATAATCTTTATGCACGTTTATAGATGATGTACGTAAGGCGTCTTTTTTAGATTACGGTTGGAAAGATTGTAATGGCAAACTATAACACCGACAATCCAAAGGAAAGGGGTTTTCTGCTATGATGTAAAAGTCATGAGAAAAGTGAGTTTTTTACTACTTGTTGTTATTCATCGTGATCGTTCAGTCAATTCGTTTTTACTCTACGTGCATAACTGTCGTAGGACTTTAATAGCGTATTGCACAGTTCTGTTTTTGTTATTGTTGTTGTTTCTGCTCGCATCATTTTGTTTAGAAAGATAAATACAACAGGATGTATCAGAAAGAAAGTAGAAACTTTTAAAAATTTGATTTATAGTATAAATCCTACTAAACAACTCAAATGTTAGTACCAGGTAGCATGTGTACATTAGCATCCTTACCTTAATCTAACACTAAAAAACCAACAGAACTTATCACCTGAAACAACGGGGAGTAATATGCCTTTGAATGGCTTCTACAAGCAGTCATGAGTTAAAAAATGGAGCGCACAAAGCATGGCATTAAAAACATTTGAAATGAAGATGAAGCGCTTTAAATAACGATATTTCTTATATTCAACTCACTTTGTGGCAACCATTTTGCTTGCAGGTGCAAAATTTTCATCTTCACGATCCTTTCGTATAAATTCATATTATCTATTAAGATTATTGAAGAAAAAAACCCAATTTTTAGGTCTTTGTTAGTCTGACCTGACGTACAAATATTATTCAGGTTTTCGATTCGCCATAATTACAATCTTGTAGGACTTGTAGGACCATACATGATCATGGCAGGATCATCCAATTCAATTCACTTCCAAAAGAAATCAATAGGTCACAACGGAATATACGAATATGCACCCCCCCCATATAACGTTTTAGTTACGCCTCTGTCTACAACATTGCCCAAACCAGATCTTCAACGCAAAGAAAGGTCTTAATTACTTTGCACCACTTTACTGAAGTGAAACGTTTAAGAGTGAATGTGGTACTTTGTCCATTCACCATTTGTTTATTTATCGCTCAAACGTGTCTCAAGAACTGAAACCATGCAAAAAAATCACAAAGCTTATATACTCCACATTTGAAAATTACGACGAACATGACTTATGACGCTGTTCACATGAACCCGCTAACCGGGAAATAGCGAGGCGTGAAATGATTTTGAGTAATTGAAAGGAGTAAAAACTTCAAGCGTAAAACATACATCCTTTCTTAAGCGTCATAAGTCATTTTAGTCGTAATTTTCAAACCAGCCTAAATTGTTTGTTTTCATATGAAAGGTTTTGTGAATTTGAAAAGTCAGAGCGTAGAGAAATTGCTCAAATAAGTTTTCTGTTGTGAAGTTTTTAATCGTGTCCATTTGCCAAAATGATTTAACGCTTCGTTGAATCCCGGCTACCGTGCTCAAATGAACAGCTCCTTAGAAGGAGATTAATTATTTTGTTACGTTATTGTGTTTTAGAGCGAGTCGACAACTCGTGGAAGTAAGAAACTTCACGCCAAGATAATAATGAAGTAAGCGGTTATACTTTTAATATTTGGGGATGCAAGTGACATCAAGTTTGTGAATAGTATTTTGTTGTTCCTCTCGTCAAAGCGAAAACAAAAACGAAACAATATCGGAAGAATGCGAGTTGTTGTTCATTGATGAAATATTTGAAATACCCAACTTAAATGGTTAGTCAAAATATTACTATTCTTACTAAATATCCCGTGATGCTCTATAAGCGTATGCTTGTCGTGTGTATAAATTTTTTTGCTTCGTCAGCAATGGCTAACACAAGGAGTTTGTCATGTTGAACGAAGTAGAACTGAAAGAAAGAACTAGCTTTGCTTGATGATTTCTGTTTATTAAAATGTTCTACACCTTATCATCCCGCTGGATGGGACAATTATTTGTATTGGTTCTACAGGATTGAGTACGCATGTGTATGTATAATCAATACAAAAATGGTCCCATCGTTGATATTTCGTATATTTTGACAACTGCGGCAAGACAATCAGTACAAACAGATTTCACGACTCTTTTCAGCGAGATGAGAAGGCGTAAAATCTCAACATGCGGAAATCAGCAACCGAGCCTGATTACTTCTTTATCCTTTATTTCATTCACTTTCACGGTCCTTGTGTTACCCATGTTGTCATTACAAAGTGAATAAATTTTGTGTGACGCAGTTAATTCATGCAAAACCTCGCACAGATGTGAATCATGACGTAAGCGAGGGCGAGATTTTCTTCAATATTCCTTACGTAATATCGTCTATAACATAGGCTAAGTCACCTTAGGGTTATCTAAATGTTTTTTCATTGACTTTCGTGCGTGTCTTTGTATCTGTTTGATATTTATACTATAATTTTTAGATATATATGTGTCCGTGAAAGATGAAATATTTTGCATTCTCTCTGTGTATCCAACTACCTTTTAAAAAATGGTGAATATGTAAACAATAATAAACGCAGTCATTAAAAATAGTATTGAGCTATTTGAGACGGATTCACAGATCAGTCTGTTAAAAGAGTGTTTCACTGTGTTCGACGTAGTGCGATTTGATTAAACGTTTTATCATTAAATTTTAAGTTGACTAAGCTTATTGAGGGTGATGTTTTTAGTGAACACCTTAATAGTGTTTTTCAATTTCTTAACTTAATACTGGCATTATTTATTCATTAAATTTCATCTTAATCGTCTTAATATATTACAATTTTTATTTCATTTCTTTTTAGAAGGAGAGCAATGCTCTCAAGATGAGCCCAGTGTGATCAAACGTATGTTTTACAGTGTACGTATGTAATACGATCAGTAATGTTACAATTAGTCTTACCTTCATTCAGGAAAAAGAATCACGAGATCGAGTGTAAACTCCAAAAGCCAGAAAAGGTTGATGTAGAAGCTAAACACGAGTCGAGTATTGACGTTGCGACGGATAATGGACAGCAACCCGATTTCGGGTAAATAAAGTGTAAAAAAAGCGAGAAAGATTATTTTATTGTAGCCACTCAAACATCAAAAAAGTCGCGTGAAATGAATTCTGAAAACTTTAAACAACAAAAATGGAATGAAAATGAAAATTCGTTACAAGGAAAGCCGTTTCTCTATCAGGGGAAAAAATCTGCTTTCCGACCAACGGAATCGTTTTTGAAGGCGGGATCAAAACTAGCCGGGCCGCTTCCCAGTCGAATGAAAACAATCAATAAAATTATCGGGTTGGAGCCTCGGGTAGACCGCAATAGATCAGATGGGATACAGGCTATCACAAAGGACAGATCAGATTTGCGATCCAGCAACCCCGTTTCTAGACCAGCACGAGGGTTTGGTTCACAAGAAAAGAGAGGTCCGAATTATCCAAAGCACGTCCCAAATAACTGCACACCACAGTAATTCGGTTTGATGAAGAAGATAAGTGCGTAGAAATTTAGAGTATGTGTTATGTTGAGCATTCTGTAGCATTTTTAGTAACGCTCCATTTTTATATTTTACATATTTTTGTTACAATTATCACTACGGTGCAATTATCTACTTTGCCTCTACAAATTATGGGCGTGGTGAACTACGTTGAACAACAGGCAAAAACACAATAGATCATTTATATAATTTATGTACATATTATAGATGGATTTACGTAATATACAGTCGTGCTTAACTTCGTCACTCTGAAATAACTTCAAAAAACATTGACGACTCTACTGCGTTATAAAAACACTGGCGGTGTCACAGTGATATGGGTATCCCCGTGTTTTGGGTATCCCCGTACTTAAATCACTAGTGTTTTGGGCATCCCGGCAAAAATGGCTGCCGTATTTTAGGTATCCCCATCCGACCACTCAGGGTTCACAAATCACTAGTGATATGGGTTTCCCTATACTTGTTCCCATTCCTACGCTTGTTTCAGGGGTTTCCCTACTGTGGATTAAAGGATTTCCCCTGACTTAGCGGGAACAACACAATTTTGCGCGAAACAAAACCAAATTTCAGTATTTCAAAAATTCGTGATGGATCCAATAAAACATAAAAATCTACTTCAGTATGTTAAACATTCCGTGTATCCCGAGTGTTTTACCAAGCAAGACAAACTTGTTTTGCGCAAATTTTCAAAAAAATTTGAATACGATAAAAAATTAGACTCGTTTTTGTACTTGGAGAAGACAAAAGAAGGCACAGTTAAACGCTTAGTTATATGTGAAGATCAAAAGTCAAGGGTTTTCGAAGAATGCCATTCGGCAACTTACGCAGACCACAGTGGAAGAGACAATAACTTCAAGAAGGTACGAGATAGATATTATTGGCCAGATTGTTACAAAAACACAGTTGAAATGGTAAACTATAAATCTATTACAAAATAACCAAATTGAAGAATGTTATAAATGTAATGAAAATATATTAACAAGTGCAACAGTAATAACATGAAAATTTTAAAATGACAATCATATTTTACAAATCTTTGATGTTTTCCTAGATAAAACAATATGATAGATGTCAGCGTAATGCAGCAGAAAAAAGTACGTGTGATGTTCTTCACTCAGTCAAAGTGGTTCCTCGAGTATGGTACCTGATTGGTATTGATCTCATTGATGCACATACAAAATCAAAAAAGGGAAACAAATTCCTATTGACACAAACAGACTATTTCACAAAATATGTCGAGGCAATTCCAATTCCAGATAAAACAGCTACCAGTGTGGTCAAAGGTCTCTATTCCACTTTCTGCAGACATGGTTCTCCTGCCCACATTATTACAGACCAAGGACGAGAGTTTGTGAACCAGGTAATGAAATACAATAGTTATTAGCTAATATATTTTCAATAATTGACTAGCACTCTTATTTCTTTCATGGATCTGTCTGGTGAGTATGATTAACACTCTAAAAGGGCCATAAACGGCTTACATTTAGGACTTATTTCCTGAAAAATCAACAGTAAATTTGATTTACCAAAATTCTGTTACTTCTTACAATAACAAACTCTTTTTAATTATTGAGAATGACATTGGTTAGCTTGTTTACTTAAAAATATATGTTTTAGGTGAATGAGGAATTATTCACAGTTTTTAAAATCCATCATCACATTACTTCAGCATACCACCCTCAATCAAATGGCCAAGATGAAAGAACTAATGAGACGATTAAAAAGTATTTTTAAATTAACATGTATACTTAACTTGTATTCTTATAGACCAATTTCCTCTGTCATTTTTTCTATTAAGAACTCTCAAGAAAGTTATGGATAGTAAAGCCGACATATGGGATGAATATATAGAAGGAGCACTCTTTGCAATTAATACAAATCAGTCTGCTACCACTAAATACAGTCCATTCTATTTAATGTTTGGAAGAAATCCAAGATTTCCCTTTGAAGCTGAGAAATGTGAGACAGACCTCACTGTTAAAAATTAGTAACACACAGTTAAAAAGCAAATTGCTAGTCTGCTATACCTTCAGTCAGAAAATGTAATCGAAATCTCAATTGCGCCAATCACCCAACAGACAAATGGATATGACTGTGGTATATTTGCCATTGCTTTTGCTACATCATTGTGTTATGGACAGGATCCCAGCAAGATAACTTTCAAAAGGAGGAATATCCGAAGTCACATGTGGAATTGTTTTACTAAAGGCAAAATGCATATGTCTCAATCTGTACCAAGAATGTCAAGCCCTGAACAAACATCACACAAGGTTCTTATACCAATTTACTGTAGATGTCACCTTCCAAATGTCAGGGAGGAAGATGACATGGTTGAATGTGTCAGTTGTCAGAGCTGGTTTCATAAACACTGCCTTGATGTCCCAGAACTATTTTTTAAAAAAGCAGAAATAAAATGGAAATGTAATCCACATTGTGGTCAAAAGAAGTAAAAACAGGTTAAGTGTGTGTTATGTGACTGATAATGAAAGTAATTCTTCTTCTGAATTATTAGTACTTTTAACTATATTGCAATTTGTTTTAACATTTGTTATGTTGTATTCTTCGAGGGGTAAAAAAGTCTGATTATATCACAAGAAAAGATATTGTTACAAATGTGCGTAATTGTTGACAGTTTTTGAGGGTGTAGATAAAAAGCGGGCGCGGACGGCGGACGCAGATGTAAGACGAACGTCTGTTTGTTGTGGGCGGGAATTGCAAATGATTTATTGTAGGAGTTTGACAGTAATTTAAACGAGCTTTAACTTTCAGGATATATTTTTTGACCTCATTATTTAAAGCAATTAAACATGCATATTTCAATTTCAGTCAGTCATATAGAGTGTAACGCAATGAAACCTCATTGTATTTTTTTCGTGTTTTGTCAATGGCATTTCACTCATGTTTGCCCTACGTGGGTGAGCCTTGCTTTTCCAATTTTAAGACGAACGTCTGTTTGTTGTGGGCGGGAATTGCAAATGATTTATTGTAGGAGTTTGACAGTAATTTAAACGAGCTTTAACTTTCAGGATATATTTTTTGGATATATTTTTCATAACGCTTTTTGAATGCGTTTGGCTAATATTCATCAAAAGTTGTCACATAGCTACAGCAAACATGACTGTAACTGACGCACTGACTAACTTGCAACTGCTTCTAACCTCAGCTTTCAAAAGGAAGTTAAAGTTGAAAACTGTAATATACGTACTGCTTGCCAAATGACAAGTTGACGGAAATCATTATAGTGCAGTAAATATGAACAGGCTCACCCACGTAAGGCCAACATGAGTGAAATGCCATTGACAAAACACGAAAAAAATACAATGAGGTTTCATTGCGTTACACTCTATATGACTGACTGAAATTGAAACATGCATGTTTAATTGCTTTAAATAATGAGGTCAAAAAATATATCCTGAAAGTTAAAGCTCGTTTAAATTACTGTCAAACTCCTACAATAAATCATTTGCAATTCCCGCCCACAACAAACAGACGTTCGTCTTACATCTGCGTCCGCCGTCCGCGTCCGTCGTCTGGGTCCGCCGTCTGCGTCCGCCGTCCGCGTCCGTCGTCCGCGCCCGCTTTTTATCTACACCCCAGTTTTTGACACTACCCAGTTTTTAATAAATCATTTTATGTTTGAATGAACTCAAGACAATCTAAAACTGTTAAATTACAAGTCTATTCAAAAGTATACGTTCAATGTACTTCGCAATACAGAATGAAAAAAAATGGAAATCACAACAACAAATTTATATGTCAACGGTATCTATGAAGCATTTCATACGTAATTCAAACAAGATGCCATGAAATACCAATAAAGACATAATATTTTAGCTAGCAATAGCTGCTCATCTCACCTTATAATGTCTGGTCATTACTTCCATACATGTCCTTTTTAGAAATACCAATTTTCGTTTCAAGCTACATGGTCTTAATTTATTTCGGCCATATGCCATGGTCTTAGTGTTTTGGGTATCCTCACGGGGGATGCCCAAAACACTAGTGATTTAAGTACGGGGATACCCAAAACACGGGGATACCCATATCACTGTGACAGCGGCATCTTATTTTATAGAAATCCTTCGCGGAAATCATTTAATTTTTGACGTGGCCTTAATTGTTTCTCTTGCAAATACGCAAAAGTTGTATGGATTCAAAAAAAGTTTGTAATGCCTAAAAGTAAATATTCGGTTGATCTCTTTTCCTAAGCCACCCATCGGAAATCTTGTTTTATCGAATGAGTTTAGGGTAACGCTTTTCGCGCCCTGTTGGCCATTTAAGGCAACCGAAAATGGCGGATCTCCAATCATAGAGCAGCACAGGGTAAATAACACGTGAATATAGAAGCAAAAGTATTTAGGTCAATATGACTACCAGTCAGGGGCATAATGAGAACGTTAATTCGTACATTCTTTTCTTTTGCGCCTGACAGAATTTTTTTGAAAGTGAATGCATGATAAATACCGAAACCGAATACATGTTTTGAATTGTTAAATTTGTTAAACTCTTTCTATAAAATTATTATAGTGCCTTACGTAAAATATATAATACCATGAGGATAATTCTGTTGGTTGAAAAATTCTTAAGAAAATGAAGCCAGACTTCCATAAAAAAACCCAACAATCACAAACTGAGTAAAATTTGGTGCGCGTCTGAACGCGATCAGAATTTATGTAATGAATAGAAAACATTGCATGCAAGCGCACTTTATGTTGCAGATAACCTTAAACCACCGTAAAGTGTTCCTTTTTCTACATATATCACGAGTGATTCGAAGAATAATCAAGACATTTTCATTTCGTCGTTTCACTATGAAATGTATAAGTGGATAATTCACACATACCACTAATGTTGGCTTGTTTTTGGAGTATGTCTGTATGATGTTGTTCAGTTTGTAATTTAATGAAAGATCAAATCGAAAGTTGGTGATGTTGTTGTTCCACGGATAGCCTATTACAACTTTGCGTAGTTTTACTGGCCGATAGCTCTCGTCCTTACTAGAAATGAATGAGATGTTTGATGATTAGTTCACTAATTATTTTCATTATTTTATAACGCGAGTCGGTTTTTTTTTTCACAAGAAAAGCTCAGAAATAGAAACTTAATTGGTAGCTACATTGTTTTGAAAGGTAGCTACATTGCTACCTTTAGTCCACTTTAGTCCACATTGCTACCTTAGCTTTAGTTCCCTTAGATATACAGCGAGTTATGAACTTCATAACTCGTGTGATGTTAAAACAAGCTATAAGCTATCCTATATATTCCAAGTGCTTATCAAAAGGAATCTTGTTTCAAAACGTTAGAGTTTGTATGTATGGATGAAATTTTTTGGAGCTTCTTTGTCGATAGTACTTTGAAATTTGATGTTCAATTCTTATATTGCGCATATAAAATAGGCAAACTGTGCTAAATATAGGATGAAGCACTCTTCTCTAGCGTGTTTATCAACCTGTAATTAAAGTAAGAGCCGTACATTTTTCTAGTTGAGTGTTTGGATGAAATTAATAAATCTTCGAATTACAATTTTTATCTAATACTCTTATGAAGTTGCAATACCTGTATGTTGCTGCCGGATCATCGTCTGTTCCAAGCCATTTTCCTATCTGAAAGGAATAACATACTGTAGTCAACATAATGTCTTTAGTCAAGCTCTCAACCCAGATAAGAAACTAAAACGCTAATTGGGGAGGGGTGTGTATTTATATAATTAGTTATGCCCTGCTGATTGCTTTAGAAAGCTAATTTTCTTTCAATTACTTTCAATATATCAATATACACTCCTTTAATTAACGTTATAATTTCGCCCCTGCTCAAACCACGGTGTTACTCACGTCATTAGCATTAGGTATGGTGGCTGATACGGCCAGGAATCTTATATTTGTTCCTTTTCGATGACAGATTCGACTTTCTGTAGTCTTGACCGTTTTCATTCTGCTTATTACTGCTTCCATTGTTGGTCCACGTGACTCGTCGTTCAGTAAATGCACCTGGTTATTTTTTTATATAAAAAAGATTGCACGTTATTTGTTTGATGTACATGTACTGGGACACCATGTTTAGTAGCTACCATTATTATAAAGTTAGTCACAGCTAGATACCTCGTCAACGAGAAATAATCGTACAGCTTGCACCAGAGCTTTGTTATCTTTCCATTTCCTTGTCATACTGTCCCATTTTTCCTGGAAAAAAATTTCATCATACTCAGGTCTAGTTGTGGTGGGTCAAGATTATATGTTTCAGTACTACTTAAATGAGTTATTTTACTAAAAGCATTCGTTTGAAAGCTGACCGGCGTCGTCATGACAATAGGGAGTTTTAGCAAGAGTACGACTACGAGAACGAGTACGAAATTTGACCGTGTAAGAGAATCGCACGAGGAAGTTTGTTGTCGTTGTCGCTTCGTCAAAATTTAGTTTTAGCTATAAACAACAGAACGAGCCTTTTTATTGTGAAAAACACCGACGTTTGCGAAGCAGCTACGGCTCTATTTGTCAATAATGATATCAATGACTCGGTAATACTGGTTTTGCGAGAATATAGGACTATTTATAAAAAGGCTCGTACTGTTGTTTACAACTAAAGCAAAATTTTGACGAAGCGACAACGACAACAACCTTCCTCGTGCCATTCCCTTACACGGTCAAATTTCGTATTCGTTCTCGTAGTCACAGAATAGATACACCTAACCCAGTGAACTCCATATATATATATCTGGAATGATAACTAAAATACATTTTATAGATATAAAATTGAAGCCAAAGTCCTAGTCTCTCGCGCGGTTTGTACGTCAGTTCCAGTCCTTCAAAGTCGAATATTCACCCGGTTTGTACGTCAGTTTCATTCCCCTGAGTGCCAAACATACACGGCCAATATAAATTTGAATACAAACTGCAAAAGCATAAACATATAAACAACATCACGACAAACAACACACTAGGCCAACTCTTCGCAAAAGGTTATTTTTTACAGCTAAAACTTTACTACAGTGAGTTCGTTGTAACTTACAACTTGTAACGAGGAAAAGGCAACTGAAATTACACTTTATGCTAAAAAGGCAATACAATAAGAAAATATGACGAGAAAATATTCAAGCATAAATTTTTCTTTCGTCGGAAGGTAAATTTTCAAACGGTGTCAGACAGTGTTTGTCTTTTTGTCGTTTCAATGGATTTAAAGATCTGTTTTTCCGAAGAAAAAGAAACTTGAATATCCAGGTTCATAAAAATGTTGAGTCTATAACTGCATTTTACTTTTTACAGAGCGATTGTATCTTTCATCGATTTTGATAGTGCTTAAAATACTAAATGGTTGTCATCTCGATATCAGTAATTGAATATCCTTAAAGACTTTGATATGCGGTTTGTACGTCAGTTTCATTCCCCTGAGTGCCAAACATACACGGCCAATGTTTGACATGTTTGATATGCTTGATAGAAATCGCAGTAGCAGCAGATTGTTCACATTTTCAGCTTTGATTTACTTTCGGGTTCTTTCCAAAATTCGTTATTACGTTTGATCAAGATCTGAATTCTACCATTATTAAGGGACAATGATTTAAAAAAATTAAAATAAATACGCGAGAGACTAGAGCCTGACGTGATGATGATGATGTTTTGGTTTGGTTATCATTCCAGTTATTCAAATGTCGAGTTCACTGACCTAACCTTACGATGCGACAACAGTGAACTCGACATTTGAATAACTGGAATGATAACCGAAGCCAAAAATTGAAGCCAAAAAAATATTTGTCGTCATCATTCGTCATTACACGTCAGGCTCTCTAGTCTCGCGTTCATTTTATTTTTTAAATCATTTGTCCCTTGGTAATGGTAGAGTTCGATCTTGATCAGAGCGTTAAAATAACGAAATTTTTGGAATGAAAAGGTTCACGAAAGTGAATCAAAGTGATAAATCGAGAAGCGTGAGGTGAACTGGTCGATCTGCTCTTACGCTGCGGTTTTCCTTTAAAACATATCAAAGTCTTTACGGTAAATGGTTTGAACTCGAGAAATCGTTAGAGTTTGTAAATGAGATGTAGTTGGTATAGTCCTGAGAAGGACTGTTTTTGTTGGACAAGAGAGAAGGACAATCTTAGCGATGACTACTTAGAGTCATTTTTTGACTCTGAAGATGAATGCCGCTAAGATTGTCGAAACGTCAGTCAACAACAACAAAAACAGTCCTTCTCAGGACTATACCAACCTGGACGATCTACATTTACAAACATGCAAAGTCTTTAAGGATATTCAATTATTGATACCGAGATGACAACCATTTAGTATTTCAAGCACTATCAAAATCGATGAAAATACAATCGCTCTGTAAAAGTAAAATGCGAGTTATAGACTCAATAGTTTTATGAAACTGGATATTCAAGTTTCTTTTTTCTTCGGAAAAACAGATCTTTAAATCCACTGAAATGACAAAAAAAGACAAACACTGTCTGACACCGTTTGAAAATTTACCTTCCGATGTAAGAAAAATTTTTGCTTGAATATTTTCTCGTCATATTTTTTTATTGTATTGTCTTTTTGGAATAGAGTGTAATTTTCAGTTGGCTTTTCCTCGTTACAAGTTGTAAGTTACAACGAACTCACTGTAGTAAAGTTTCAGCTGTAAAAAATAACCTTTTGCGAAGAGTTGGCCTCGTGTGTTGTTTGTCGTGATGTTGTTTATATGTTTATGCTTTTGCAATTTGTATTCAAATTTATATTGGCCGTGTATGTTTGGCACTCAGGGGAATGATACCTGCCGTACAACCGCGTGAATAATTCGACTTTGAAGGACTGGAACTGACGTACAAACCGCGCAAGAGACTAGGACTTTGGCTTCAACTTTTTATCTATAAAATGTATTGTCGTTATCATTCCAGATATATATATATATGGAGTTCACTGCTACGACTACGAGTACGAAATTTGACCGTGTAAGAGAATGGCACGAGGAAGTTTGTTGTCGTTGTCGCTTGGTCAAAATTTTGCTTTAGTTGTAAACAACAGAACGAGCCTTTTTATTGTGTAAAACACCGACGCTTGCGAAGCAGCTACGGCTCTATTTTTCAATAATGATATCAAAGAATCGATAATACTGGTTTTACAAGAATATAGGACTCTTTAGACTAAAAAATCTTCACTATTTTAAGTTTTATGTACGATATATTTGTACTATTTTATTGTTTGTTTACCTTTCACTTTGCGTACGAAATACATGAAAGTTTTGCAGGTCATATTTTCCTTTTAATGAACATCTGCGCTCAAAAGGGTTCTAAATTAAAGCCTGATGCTCGAAAATAGTACTGTAAACTAATTTCTTACAGAATGAAGACATATACCTACTTTCTTTGCTTAAAAAGACATCGTAGTCGCGACTACGAATTTTTTACAAAACATCGTACTCAGATTGATGACGGCTACGTGTTTTTGTTGTCGCAACAATGTTTTCGCGCCAAAATGACGTAAATCGTACTCGTAGTCGTACTCGTAGGCTCTGCTAAAACTCCCTAATTTGTCCTTACGATAAGGCGACGTTCGTAAAAAGCGCGGGAAATCTTTATGTTGATAAAAAGTTTTTCGCTAAACAGCTAGCTTCCATATTTATATATTTTCCATGATGCCGTGCATCAGAGACGCTCTGTTACTTTCTCATGGTGATGGTTTTCTTGGTGTAGATGACTGCATGTTGCTATACGAAATATATAAACCAAAAAACCCGAATATGTGTTACAGAAAGTACGACAAGTTTTCCATTCACAAGTTTTCTGACGATGAGTGCAAAAACAATTTTCGATTTTATCGCAACGATATATACCACCTACGCGACGTAATGCAGCTACCTCTAGAGGTAACTTGTTATAATGGTGTTCAAGTCGACGGCATTGAGGCGCTTTGTATATTTTGATGAGGTTTGCTTATCCTTGCCGCTTTGCAGATCTGGTGCCAACATTTGGAAGACCCATTCCACAGCTATGCATGATAACAAACGAAGTTATCAACTTCACATATGAGCGATGGGGACATTTTTGTCTTCTTTAAATCAACCCTGGCTTTCTCCCTCCAATTTACAAATATTTGCTGATGCAGTACACAGCCAAGGTGCTCCATTGGCAAACTGCTGGGGGTTCATAGATGGTACAGTCAGACCTGTGACTAGACCAGGAAAAAATCAACGTGTACTTTACAACGGTCATAAACGAGTACACGCCATAAAGTTTCAGTCTATAGCAGCCCCTAATGGACTAATTGCTAATTTGTATGGCCCAGTCGAAGGAAAACGACATGACAGTGCCATGCTGGCAATGTCTGGTATCTTGAATCAAATGCAGCAATACTCAATGAATCCTGAAGGAGATATACTTTGTGTGTATGGGGATCCAGCTTACCCTCTTAGACCACATCTTCAAGCTCCATACAAAGGGGCTGGGCTAACAGCAGACCAACTTGCATGGAACAAATCTATGAGCTCTGTCAGGGTGGCAGTAGAGTGGGTGTTTGGTGATGTTGTTAACTATTTTAAATTTGTAGACTTTAAGAAAAATCTCAAAGTTCACTTGAGTGCAGTGGGGAAAATGTATGTTGGTTCTGCCTTTATTCATAATGCACGCACTTGCCTATATCAGTCAACAACCTCCACTTATTTTCAGCTTGATCCACCTGCTTTAGATGAATATTATTTTGACAATGAATGAAATGAGGTATTATAAATGCTGTATTGTGCTGCAATGTTTACATGAACGTTTGACATGTTTTAACAGAGTACAGAATGAATAGACCAAAACAATAACTAAAAACAACAATAATTAATACAAACAATACAAATAACAATGTAAGTTAGACCAAGAAATTAGTCCTAATCCTTCATTATTCTTATTTATGTTTATGTTTAGAAATATTAAATGTCTTATAAACACTGTTTTTCAACAGAACAATGATATGCAAACAAAAAATCAAATAAAACACAATTATTGTTACGGTTTTTAGTTGAATTTTGTTGCAAACTTTTCAAATATCGCTACAAAAGAAGCACTTTGCTGCTGCTGCTGTAACATCATACCTTGAGTCACTTCAAATAGCTGTTTCATCTGTTGTTGTTGCATCATTTGGGAATTAGTTAACTGCATAACTTGTTGCTCATTCTGCTCTTTTTGGCGTTCAGCTTCAAGCCTTCTAATGCGTAGTTCTTCCTGCATAAGTTCGTAATGTCGTTCACTTTCCGTTCTTCTCAGCTCGACTTCATCAGCTTTCATTTTTATATCAATTTCGCCTTTTTCTCGCAGGTATCGCATGACATCCGATCCACTGGTCCTTTTCTTCTTTTTAGCAGATGGCTCGTTATTTTCTTCCTCGCCATTCCTCTTTTTCGTTTCTTTGAACGTTTCCATTGAGCAGCGACGCATTTCTACAGCCTTTTCAACTTCTGCCTGAGCTCTCTGTTTTTTCTCGAACGTGAGTTGTTCATTTAAATGATCAGCTTCCTCAAACTGAGCTATGATGTCCTCCATAGCCTCGTCAAGTTCACTCTCTTCGGGTGAAATACCACTGGCTCTTTCTTCTTCTGATTGTTTTCTTTTGTATTTCTTTTCGAGCAGTTGATATCGATCGCGAACAGATCTCTGAGATACATGGAATTTTGGCATTTCCAAAGCATTGAGCGATTTAGCAATGTTTTCCCAAATTTGGCCTCTTTCAGTTGATCCTCTTCTGTGAATCCATGGTCTAAATAGCAAGATTTCTCGTGATAAAGCTATATCATGGCTTGAGGACCATTTCATAGATGCACGTGAAGCAACAGTAGTGCTACAAAGAGATATTCAGAAAAATATGTAAGCATTTTAAGCCATAAGTAGCCATTTAAGCATAAAGGCTGAGTCAACCATAACCAAAAGTAAGTTTTCAGTCTCCGTTTATTTACATATATTAAGCCAAAGATAACAAAACTCACCTCGCCATTTGACAATCGAATGATTTTTGCAAAATTTTTGATTTTTTTCTCTGCCGTACTGAAGCGACGCCAAAGTTGTTGTTTTCACGTCGGTTCCGTCTTTTCAAAACGAGTAAACAACGTACAGATGGTGCGTGCGCATGCTCAGTTAAAAAAAGGGATCAAACTCCGGTGCCGTCGCAGTTGCCGTTGTCGCATCGTAAGGTCCCTACAACCAGAAGGGCCACTCCATTGAGCAACCACGCATAGCGATAGTTTTAGACGCGCGACTAAAGCGACTGCCTAGTGTGTGTTTCAGCCTTTACTGTTTTGGACGAATCTTTTGTATATAGTTAAAGAAAACACCCTATGTTTCAGAATTTCAAGTAATCTATATTTTATGTGAGAAAAGGTTGGTGATGACAATTAAACTTTATCACGTCGTCGAATATTGTAAGTTTTCCAATAATTTGCATGAGCAAAGACGTTGTTTCAGTTTATGATGCGCGAAATTCCGTAAAACCAATTGTATATTGTTGATTTATATAATTTAATTTCATTATGTAAAAAATAGGTTATAGTTCGTCAAAGTAGCCCTTAGAATTTCCATTTGTTCCTTGACTTGCTGTAGTTGTAGTGTTGCTTTATTCCAATAATCTTATGCTTCCTATACTGTCCACCTTTTTATCGTATTTAGCTTTACCATTGTCTAAAGCAGCATTTTTGTCAAGGATGTTTAAAAGTCCATGTAGGCCACAAATTGTTGCCATGTAATCATGTGAATTGATTTTCATTCTTGATTATTAACCAAATAATAAATCTCTGTTTTCGTACAATTAATATTTACACTGCTGCAAATACTTTCAGAATATACATTGAGTAGTTATGGCAGTTTCAGAAAGCACTTTTTGACTTACCATATTGTTTGCATTATGTCTATCATAAAACTGTTTGACAGATGTTCTTGAAAATAACTGTTATATAAATTAAAACATGTAAACCCTTTAAAATCAGAACTTTGCTGGATTTTTGTGTTTTGTATTTAGTTTTGTAATTTTGGCCAAAAACCCCTTACAATATTATATCTTAGCTAAATGAGAAAATATTTGTTTTGAAATTCTATTTTCTCTCACCTGAAATTTTTTGTTTTTGTGCAATCTAGTTAAGTTATTGAATTTTTCTTAAAGAATTTTAATAATAAATTTTTTATTTTGATAAATTTGATATATTTGATGACTTTCTTATTTTGATTATACATTGATGAATGATCCTTATAATTAATATACCATTAATGCAGTGGTCATTTTTCTTCTCATTTAGTCTTTAACCATTTTTGCATGAAAATTTTTAAGAATTTGAATTGTGATGTTATGATTTTCCCTTCAGATTATTAAAAAATACTTCTATAAGAATGCAGGATGATCTTAACAATAACTTGGTGCATTGTGGTTTTAAGCTCTGAGACATTTTTAGTAAATAATTCAATTTTATTTGTATAACTTCATGAAAGTGTTTTATGGTTTTGATAGTGTTTGTGCTTTTGGACCTGTCGCATGAGGGACATTCTGAATAAAAGAATTTTGTTAGGGCTTCAAAGTGATTTTTGATTTTTCTCTAGGTATTTGAAATGTCAAACCAACATTATGTTAATCTGGCCAATGATGTTGTTGGAATGATTAATGAACAAAATGAGGCATATGTCCCATCACGAGTCTCTTACACATCTTCTTCTCAGGCCTCTGCTTCTCCTGTTTCCAGCAACGCCAGTCGCCAACCAAATTTACCTCCTGCCAGTCAGGCTAATAGCTCTTTAGAAATTATTGAAGGTCATGATGAAATATTTGATCCACCGCCAAACTCGGATTACGAATGCCCCATATGCATGATGCTACTTCGCAATCCAGTACAAACGATTTGCGGTCATCGGTTCTGTAACGGATGCATGAATCAGCACATACGGTAAGCTTTTACGTGCTCCTTTATGGCATTTACTGTCACTGATGTGTTTTTTTTTCGGAAACTTTTAATGCAATTTCATCAAAGATTTCGACCTGAACGCAAGTAGAACGATAACAGAAGCAACCGATTTGTAATACTGGTTTACGCATGTTAATCCGGTTTTTTTTGAAGTGGAAGATACTTTAAATATATTGTTACATCCGTGAGGACTAAACGTTCGAGAGTGACCCTTTTGGTAATAATTTATTATGTGGCATTGTAATGATTTTGCTACAATTTACTCTCGTGCCTCGTATGCTTAACTTTATTAGAAACTCGCTTCCCTTATTTTATTTCGACTTCTCTAATCAATAAATTGTGAATGCATTATTCGTTAAGTTATTATAAATTGGTTACAGCTATATATATTAGATTCAAAAATCGGACACTTGGATTTCATTCATTGATTCATCATAGTTTTGGATTTGTACCAGATAGGTAATCAGAATTAGCCTCTTGGCTTTTGTAGCTTCGTGTTTTATGAAAATGCTATTTTTCTGTTAAAAATTAAAGCCTTGATTAATGTCATGAATATGACGGCTGAGAAATAATGTGAGAGAACATTCCTGAGCAGTTGCAAGTAAGACAAATTTTCTCACGCTCTGATGTTTAAAATTCAAGTGAATTCTTCAGTAAGAAATTTTGTTTACAGTTAACGTTTAACTATGATATACCCCATATAGACAGTTGTGGCTGCATGGTGAAATCTACCCCCAATATTCCCAAACTATGGTCCTTATTTATATATCTTGTAAGTGTGTTTTCTATTGTAATTATTAGATTTTTTACAGATTAAACGGCGCGAAATGCCCTTCAGATAATCTACAGCTCAATACAAACGAGGTAATGAACATTAAATTTTCAAAGTACGACATGAAGTCATGCCTTATATAAATACAAAAAAAAACATTTCTGTGATGGTATTTCTTCTTTAAACAAGCAAAACCACGCATTTTTCAATAATTGCGAAAGGGGTATATGAGGCGTAAGCTCAAGAGTCAAACATAACCATTTATAACGCGACGGCGAGAACTTATAGCAGTAAGCAGGATGAATGATAGCAGTAAGCAAGCTGAAGATGACTACCGCTAAGGTTGTCGAAACGTCAGTCAACAACAACAAAAACAGTCCTTCTCAGGACTTTATTAACCTGGACGATCATCATTTACAAACATATAACGATACTCCCGGGTTCAAACCATTTACTTTATTACGATCATTTGGACGACAGAGCGAACAACTTGCTAACGACTACATACGTTTTGCAAGCAACGTCAGACGCATACGCCAACAACTCTGGTTCAACCACCGCTACGTAAGAACCAGATAACAAATACGGCTAACCTGACGTTTACTCCTCATTTGACTCTGAAGATGACTACCGCTAAGGTTGTCGAAACGTCAGTCAACAACAACAAAAACAGTCCTTCTCAGGACTTTATTAACCTGGACGATCATCATTTACAAACATATAAGTAAGCAGGAAACAAAATTGAGTGAAGTGCAAATTTTTTGTTTGTTTTGATAACTAAACTATTACTCGTTGTTTTCTCATTGTTACCTCGATTGCTCATTTGCAGACATGCCAACCTCCAGCAAGTAAATATAGTGAGATTTTAATTTTTCCCCCAAAAAAATAGTGAGAAAAGGCTAAAAATAGTGAGACAACCAAAATATGCAGTTTGAATGCTGTTTTTTTATTTTTGCAACTTCCTGTAAAAAGTTTACAGTAATATGAGTCATGCAGAGTCATCATGATTCATCATTCTCACTCTCTTGCTGGTTATTATTAAATTTCATGGTTGCTTTCTTGCAATCTTTCAGTAACTGATCACCCGATTTCCATTTATGGCATGGTGTAGATGATTCCGCGTACTGGGATTTCATGGCCAAGATACTTGAAAGGGTACCATCCTTACTCCATTCAGCTTTATAAACTACCCTGTACGCAGCAGCACCTTTTCGTTTAGGTTTTTGTAGTTCTCCTGGACTAACTTGAGATCTATCATCGCCTGACTTGTCAGATTCGTCCTCTTCGACTTCGTCTGCACATCGTTTTGATGTGGATGCCATATTGGTTTGGTAAATTACCATGCCACGCGCCGAAAATGCACGTCACGCGTCAGCGTGGCTGCTTGCCGGCTGCGCCCAGGCTCCCCCTGAACTCTGAAACCCGCAATGACCAACCTTGATGCATTATGCCTCCGCATGGCTCGTCAATGCGATCAAGGGAGACGATCCGATCGTACTATCTGATGATTCGACACAAAGGCACTACACTAATAATTATGTCTACAAAAATTTATAGACCCTTTAAGGATTTCCATTTTATTTATCGTGAGATATACGAGAAAAAGACCGTGAGGTTTACATCAAAATCGTGAGTCTCACGATAAAATCGTGAGACTTGGCATGTCTGCATTTGTGCTTTGTGATCTAAAGTTTACGGCATTAATTTATTCTTGTACTGCGTAATATTATCATTGTGGCAGTGAATCGAAGTACATGATACAATGCATCGAAATCCTTGCTTTGTGTGAAACGTTTATCCTCGTTGTTTACAATCGAGAAAAATTCGTCGGAATCATCTTCATAACTTAGCTAATTGAACATCAAACAACGCAGCCCAAACACTATAAAACGTACACATGTGTGACACTGCCTTTATTCATTCGTTCATAGCGAACGAAATCTGAAATGTATTCACGGATTGGGCAATGATTTATAATATACAAATAAATGCTTCGCTGGCGATCATATAATTTAATAATTAGTCCGATTTAGTACTTGTTAGCATTGTTTAGGTATTGCTCAGTTTACTTAGTCTGTTGGCTAGTTAAATGAGAGACGCTAAGCAAATAAATTTATTTTGCTTTTGACTCTTGTACGAATTACAATTATTATTTCTTTGGGATTTACATAACGTCAATTGACTATGAAAATTATGGAATATGGCACTTGTCAACAGTCGAACTATGAGCAGGAAATACATTCAAGTACTTACGATCAATTAAAAATGTGCGAATTGCGAAGCATTATTAATACCTTTCAACTATTAAACATTGCCTACAATGGGAGCGGTATTTTCGGAATTATAGCTATCCTAAAAATTCATAGACGTGTTGGATTATCGTTTAATTGTAAGGCATACACGTCAGAAAACTGTTTTAAGGCCCATTCACACCATCCGATTTGAACACGTATAAAATGAGTCTCCGACAGCCGGATCCGTCAATCAAAAAAATAGGTTAGAATTAGAACTTTCTTTTTTCATCCGACAAGATCAAAGGCAGCCAACTAACCAAATAACATAGATTTGAAAAAGAACTGGAAACAGGAACAAAAGTTGGAAAAATATATGGATAAATGTTCTGAGTACCACAAATGGCTGTTTACACGACTATAAACATGTAAACCAATATAAATATCAACAAAATTATCGGACCGTCTAAAAAATAAACCAAAAATCGGAACGGAGACAGTCAGATCCAGCAAATAAGATCGTGTGAACGGGCTTTTAAAAAAGCCGTTGACGATTAAACATTCATCCCAAAAATGGTTTTGGATGAAATTAAATGATAATAAATTCATCATTAAAATTTTTAAGAAATCTTGTGGACTTCACTTTTCTAAATGTGAGTACTGTCACGTGACATGCTATCTAGAGGAGGGTGTTTGGTAAAAGGGTTTAGGTTATAAAGTTTCTTGGTCGTTCGACTATTAAGGAGCTCATAGCACTTTTTTTTAACTCTTTTGAGTTATGTTTTTAAATCTACATACTTGATCGGCTACTCACATGTACGCATTACGTACCTATTTTTCTTGTTGTTGTCTGTCTATTTATGTCTATCGTTATTTCCACTATATCGGTGTGAAGGTGTTAGTCGGGAAGGGGTGGTCAGCTTCGGATGTCAGGAACATGAATCTTAATCTCGACGCAAGGAACAGTTTTGGTGCCCAGGCCACCCCTGAGTCATACCAGCTAACACCTAACCATCCAAATGGTAAGTAGAGTGAGCTACGTGTTAATTAGCAAAAATGCTACTAAAATACTTCACTTTAGTCTAACGTCGCTCGCGTTACCTTCCTTCATATTTCTGATCGCAGTTGCCTTCAATGTGTTGCGGGTGACAGGTTATTTCGTTGTACTATTTTACGGGTCTTATTTTTGGGCTACATTGATGTTGTTATAAATATTAAAGCCCAGCAAAGTGCTTTTAAAAGAGCCATTCAATACAAAAATGAAGTATAAAAAAGAAATATTTATTTAGTAGCGTTAAGTTTCGTCTTCCTTTCCATACGTCATTTTTGTGTTGAGTGGCTCTTTTTATAGCACTTTGCCGGGCTTTAATATTTATAACATGAATTCGCTTCCCGCCCGGTATATCCCTGGTTACATTGATGTTAGAAAAAGTGTCAAAATTCTCTTCATTAAAAAAGTAGCTTTTCCAGCTTTGCGCACGAGTTGTACGTAATTAACTTACGTTTATATAAATTTATTTGTTTGTACGTATATTATTTGTTGATGACTTTACTATCGATCGAATAAAATTTTTATCATAATTCCAAAATGGCATTAATTTTCACATTACAAATTTGTTTCCCGCCTATCAAATCACAATCTATATTTCGGATGTTAATGAAGTTTCGCGCTGTATATTGTGTGTTCTTACTCTTTTTAGATGATAAGATTTACGCTATCACACATTAATCTCACGTTCTTTTCTTCTGTGGTTTACTAATATGTAAATTTTGTAGTATATTAAAGGGTATGGGCAATGAAAATAGCGATCTTCCAAAAATCATCTTCATTGACAAATTGTCACTTCATAAGCATTATTAAATTTTTTTTATTATTGAGGGCGTTTTAGAGTACTTACCAGGAGAAAAGAAGAGACGTCACTTGCGGGTAAACGTGTTTTGATAAGTTCAATATAATAGTTATTTCTTAGTATTGAGGATTGAGAAGAAAAACCGGAAAAAACAGATGAAGTGACTGCTTTAAAGTCGGAATTCGACAAACCAAAACATGTAAAAATTTTGAGCATCCCGCAAATAACGTCACGACGGAATAGTCAACATAAATTATCATATTGTTATCCGAAACAAGATGGCAAATTTCACAGTCTACGGGAAAGTTAAAATCCTCCCGGTAAGTATTCCAAAACGCTCTCAGTAATCAAAAAAAATTTTCTAATGCTTGTGAAGTGACAATTTGTCAATCAAGATGATTTTTTGAAGATCGCTATTTTCATTGCCCATGCCTTTTAATAGTCTTATTGTAACGATTTACTCTTATTTCAACGTGTTTTTTTCTATTTTCACCACTCAGATATACGTCGATAACTTTGCCAAAAGAGAAATCAATCAGCTAAATGTCAAATGCCGTACACTAAAAAATAACAAAGAATGTCCATGGAATGGTCCCCTAAAAAATCTTGAGGTGAGTTTTTGAGGTGAGAATGTGTCGTTTTGTGAACCTTAAGGTAGTCGTTCACCTTCAAATTTCAAAGTCATTTTTCCAAATTTTTTTGAGGTTTTTTTTCATGTGTTTTAGGTAATTTAAAAATTGTAGATTTTATAAATTTTCAATTAGTTTTATAGTATCTATATTTTTTATATGTTTAAAATTTGTTTAAAGTGACAAGAGTTAAAATATCCTCCATAGCGACGCCTTAGCAACATGTTTTATCCACATAATTCCTCGTATAATTCAGCATAACCTACGCTTTATCAAATTCTACGTTTGGTATATGCTTTTTAAAGTTCTCCCATCACATGCTTTGTCAGCTTGAATGACGGAAAGACGTTTATTTTATTTACAATTCCTTTCGTTCGATAATCTTCGTTCAATAACCTTCGTCCATTTCGTTGCGTGAGTCAAGGTGTATCGGAAAGTTTTATTTTTTTGCAGTTCTTAGTTGAAAAATTGCCCTCTGTTTGCTCAAATATCTTTTATTGGGTTTATTGTTAATATATCAATGTTAATAAATGGGAAATTCACGTAATTAATCGAGAAAAAAGGCGAGGCATACACCATCAAAGAAACAAAAAATTTTCCAAGATGGTGGTGACGTTTATAAAGATCCTGGGCCTTCTGCCAAAAAAATTTGTAAAAATACGGCGAATTTTGATTGCTTTCTAGCCCCCGAGTATGCTAATCTAAAGGAGGGTACAATATTTATGGACATGTCCATTTTATTCACTGTTTTTGACGATATTTTGAAATGTTGTGGCGATTTGATATCATATATTGATATGAAGAAAAAAATGGATTCTCATATTACAATTTGCTCCAATGTAAAAGCTTGGAGTGTGAATGGAAGTGCTGTTTTAACGCGTCAAAAAGCAAGGACGTTCCAATGAAATGAATGTTATAGCAGTTCTAGCATTTAGAGACATTGGCAGACGACAAAGTGCCATGAGTTCCTTTACCAAACTCATGAATATGCCTGCTCCACCAGCTCGTCGGATTGTAATCAAAATCCAAAATACGGTTTTGCCAGTGGTAAAACAGTTGTCAAATGACAGCATGATTAGGAATGCCATGAATTTGAGGAGGAGAATGCCTACAATGATGGTGAATGTGGGATTTCAATTGATGGAACGTGGCAAAAGAGGGGTCATGCTTCTCACAATGGTGTTGTGACGGCAATCTCCTTAGACTCAAGGAATGTCTGATGTTCAAGTGATGTCAGACAAGTGTACCCAATGTCTCAAATGCAAAGAAGAAAGATGACCCTAGATTTGTAGAATGGAATGCTTCACACACCTGCAAGATCAATCATGTGGGAAGTGCAAACAGTATGTAGGCAACAGGTGCTTGCGTTTATTCCAAAAATCGCTATCTACTAGAGAACTAAAATATAGAAACATGTTTGGAAATGGGGATTTCTCTTATTTCAACACCATTGTAGAAAACAAGCCATATGGTGAACATTCCAAATGAACTGGAATGCATTGGACATGCCTAGAAAAGTAAATTATCATGTAAATTATACTTATTATTGTTATATACTTAAATATATTATTATTTAACTAGTTAGTGCTCTTTGTAAAATGCCTTACTCATACATGCATGTGTATGTTAACCACAATAACAGGAAAAGCTTACGTATAGGACGTGGTCACCCTATTGACCACAGACAACGTACAGGACGTGGTTAATCAACTGACCACAGTTTACGCACAAGCGGTTAATCGTACGTCATTGTGCAATCACATATAAGCCGAGAATCGAAAGCTGTAGTTATGTTGGTGCTTAGTAGAAGTCCACATCAGAAGAAAGCTCATGTAAAAGAAAACGAACTATTTACGAAAACAACCAAAGAATACAGATATATATCCAATCCATCAACGAAAGAGTCACTGAAAGTCTGAAAGCAGTTGTCTTAGATAAGTTTGAACATTTAAACATTTATAGTATAACGTTTATATCAAAATTATCAGTATATTAAATAAATATCTTACGAATTGACAACAACTTCTCCACAAGGTTTTACTCCTTTTGTTACGAGCAATTGAACCGAAAGCGGCCATTTTATTATTAGTCGGGACGTTCGTAACAGTACGGATAGTGTGCAATTTCATCCACACCTGCTCCCCTTTTTTTCCCATTTCCACTTAGCACACGGACATATGAATCGCGTAGGTTTTCCAAATTCTGTCTTTGTAGTCGCTTACTGGGTCAAAAAATAATTTAGAATACACTTCGTTCGGTGCTGAAACTATGCAAAAACACAACACAACATATGCATTTATATTACCTGAATACGTTGATTGACAAGCTGCATTCACATCATCAGTCACTATTTGCCACGCATTTTCCTTAATATTTTTGTTCTTATAGTTAAGGGGTGTTTACATGAATCCGGAATGAGTTTCGATCCGGAATGAACTCATTCCACTTTAAAAGAAATCCTATTGCATGTTTACATGAATCCGGAATGAGTCACAACTCGATCCGGATCGAGTTCATTCCTAGTTTCATTCCGGATCGAAATTTCATTCCGGATCGAAATTTACTTTTTATCTCATGTAAACGCGAATTGAGTTTCATTCTGGAATGATATTGTGATTAATGACGAAGCACGCATGTGCCATGGGTATTGTCTTCTGGCAAATTGAAGCTCGTAAGTAAATAAAGAGGCTAAATGGGTTAAAATGAGTGCGAAGAAAATCAACAATTAGTTTCATGTAAACACAGATTGACATCACGTTTCGATCGGGATTGAAAGTCATTCCGGATTCATGTAAACACCCCCTTAGTGTCTTTTGTATTCCAAAGCGCTGGATATTTTTCAATTTCTTCAATAAGTTTCTTCTCAACTTTTGTATATTTTCCCATCTTTTTTCAACTTGTAAACCAATTTGCAAAAGCGTACTTCACTGTAAAGCACGTAATCTGTAAATTCATTTTCATTGGATAATTGCTCGCGTTTTTCAATTTTGCTGCGTAAAAGTTAAGTTGTTCTCAACTTGTGCGTTGACGCGCTTGGAGGATACGTACGGAAACGTATGTGTACGCGCTTTGAAAATTGCAATAGTGGAAAGCAGCCTTAACTGATATCAAAATAGATATTTATTCACTATTAAAATGGCTAAGACAAGGATTATAATCAGTGGTGGGTCAATGGTAAGTCAGAAAACATTGCAACGCTTCATTATAAGTTGAAAATAATATGGGAATAATTCTGATGGTTGAAAATTTCTAAACAATTTTTTGAAGACAAAACTTTACCCATAGAATTGTTGAAAATTAGTTTCAATTTTAACTATAATTTTGTTAGTGTTTCTGACTTACTGCTCGTTGACACGCTCGGATTTGTTTGATACGATTTTGTCGAATCCATAAAAACAGATCGTGGGTGAACACATACATATAGTGAGCTTCCATAGTCAGATCCGTCAATCTGAAAAATCGGATGGAAATAGAACTTGCTTTATTTTTATTCGACAAAGTCAAAGGAATCCGACTAAAAAGACTTGGAAACAAGAACAAAAATACGATAAGTGTGTAGATAAAAGCACTGGATAACACAAATGGCTTTTCACACAACTATAAATATTTAAAGTGCCCCTGTCAAAAAAATGAAACTCACATATATGAATCTTTGTAATACGTACATGCGTTATTTGAAAATCGAATTTCGATTCTGAATTTAGTACAGAAATTATAGTCATTTGAACATAGAATTTTGAGAAGTAAAAATTCGAAAACCGCGCATAAGAGATTGGTACCAAATCAGTCTAGTGACGTCACAGTAGGATCCGGTCAGGCCTATTGATCCACGAAAACATTAGAGCGTGTATTGTCGAAGTGTTCTTGTACTGTAGTTGGCGGCCCGAAAAGTCACGCAAAATAGAAAATGCCAAATAGATGTATTGTGGCTGGTTGCTCTAATGTCTCTAATGTAAAAAGGAGTCTCGCTTCATTTCATACCGTTTTCCGGAGATGAAAGGCCAGAAGCCAAAATAAGACGTAAACAATGGATTGATTTCGTACGGTTGAAACGGGCAAAATGGGATCCAACACCTAATTCCAGTATTTGCTCAGCACATTTCGCAAAAAGAAGATTTTTCGCAAATGTTTTCTGGTCTGTCGGCTAAAGTACCTAGAGTAAATGGTTTGAACCCGGGAGTAGCGTTATATGTTTGTAAATGATGATCGTCCAGGTTAATAAAGTCCTGAGAAGGACTGTTTTTGATGTTGTTGACTGACGTTTCGACAACCTTAGCGGTAGTCATCTTCAGAGTCAAATGAGGAGTAAACGTCAGGTTAGCCGTATTTGTTGTCTGGTTCTTACGTCATTGTATTGTGTGTACAGGAAATGTGCAGGAAATGTGTATTGTCATTGTGGATTAGTGTGAAGTGAAATATTTTATTTTAGTTGTGATGTGTGATTTAGGTGTGACGTTTTTAGTTGTAGTGTGGGTGTATTGTGTAAATTAGTTTGAAGTGTAATGTTTTAGTTGATCGTTTGTTTGTATTGTGAATAAGTCGTTTGTAAGGTGCCGGTAATTGCTGTGATCTGTTCAGGTTTGTTCCAAGTTGGTATACCAACTTTCTAATGTAAGCCGTCTATAGTCAGTACTGTAAGTGATGCATTTGCCGAGTCCCAGTCAATGTTGTGCTTTGTGATTCGGTGATGTTCGGCAATGTGATTAGTTTGTCTTGTTTCTTAGTAGCTCGTTTGTGCTCAGTAAGTCTTATGTTTAAGTTCCTGCCAGTTTCCCCGATATAGGAGCGGAGCAGTTTATTTTGTAAACTGCACCTTGTCGTTAGGTTGTTCGTCCTTTATGTTCGTTAGTACTTGTCGTAATGTTGTGATTGGTTTATGTGCGACACGTATGTTGTATGGTCGTAAGATACGCGAGATAGTCTCAGACGTACCTTTGATGTAAGGTATCGTTGCTGTTGTCACTGAGTTGTTCGTTTCGTTGCGTTCGTTGGGTTTGTAAGTGTTGCGTTCGATAAAGTCAGAGTTATAGTTTTTGTCAAAACACGTTTGAGATAGTTGTTTTCGTTTTGTAGAACGTCCGGTGAATCACATATGATTTGTGCACGTCTTGTTAATGTTCTGATTGTGGTGGCTTTGTGTGATGTAGGGTTGTAAGATGATTGGTCTGTATGATGGTCGGTGTTGGCTTGCGATAAACTGTTGTTCCTAGTTTTGATTGTCATGTTTTACCAAACAGTCGAGAAAGGAAGAGTTACGTTTTCTTCGACATCTTTGGTAAATTGTATGTGGCTGTTCTGTTTGTTGATGTGAGTATGGAAGTCATCAATCTCGTCTGCATGTAGTGCTGTGATTGTGTCATCTACGTAGAAACCAAAAGGTAGTGCATGTTTGTAAGTCATGAGTGCCCGTTCCTCTATAGATTGCATTACAATTTCAGCAACTACAACAGAAACGGGCGAGCCCATTGCTGTCCCATGTAATTGTTTGTAGTGTGTTCCTTTGTATTGGAAGTAAGTCGAGGTGAGGCAGAGCTGTTCACCAGTATTCCACTTAATCTGGCACTTACTTGTACAAAAACCCTCATTACAAACACCACGGACGTACTGCCATTACCGACAGAAGACATTATGGAGTTACTAGAGCTCTGCCTCACCTCGACTTACTTCCAATACAAAGGAACACACTACAAAAAATTACATGGGACAGCAATGGGCTCGCCCGTTTCTGTTGTAGTTGCTGAAATTGTAATGCAATCTATAGAGAAACGGGCACTCATGACTTACAAACATGCACTACCTTTTTGGTTTCGCTACGTAGATGACACAATCACAGCACTACATGCAGACGAGATTGATGACTTCCATACTCACATCAACAAACAGAACAGCCACATACAATTTACCAAAGATGTCGAAGAAAACGTAACTCTTCCTTTTCTCGACTGTTTGGTAAAACATGACAATCAAAAACTAGGAACAACAGTTTATCGCAAGCCAACAAGACCAATAGACCAATCATCATAGACCAATCATCTTACAACCCTACATCACACAAAGCCACCACAATCAGAACATTAACAAGACGTGCACAAATCATATGTGATTCACCGGACGTTCTACAAAACGAAAACAACTATCTCAAACGTGTTTTTGACAAAAACAACTATAACTCTGACTTTATCGAACGCAACACTTACAAACCCAACGAACGCAACGAAACGAACAACTCAGTGACAACAGCAACGATACCTTACATCAAAGGTACGTCTGAGACTATCTCGCGTATCTTACGACCATACAACATACGTGTCGCACATAAACCAATCACAACATTACGACAAGTACTAACGAACATAAAGGACAAAGAACAACCCAACGAACGACAAGGTGCAGTTTACAAAATAAACTGCTCCGACTGCCACGCTTCCTATATCGGGGAAACTGGCAGGAACTTAAACATAAGACTTACTGAGCACAAACGAGCTACTAAGAAACAAGACAAAACTAATCACATTGCCGAACATCACCGAATCACAAAGCACAACATTGACTGGGACTCGGCAAAATGCATCACTTACAGTACTGACTATAGACAACGGCTTACATTAGAAAGTTGGTATACCAACTTGGAACAAACCCCCCTGAACAGATCACAGCAATTACCGGCACCTTACAAACGACTTATTCACAATACAAACAAACGATCAACTAAAACATTACACTTCAAACTAATTCACAATGACAATACACAATTGACACCACACACTACAACTAAAAACGTCACACCTAAATCACACATCACAACTAAAAATAAAATATTTCACTTCACACTAATCCACAATGACAATACACATTTCCTGCACATTTCCTGTACACACAATACAATGACGTAAGAACCAGACAACAAATACGGCTAACCTGACGTTTACTCCTCATTTGACTCTGAAGATGACTACCGCTAAGGTTGTCGAAACGTCAGTCAACAACATCAAAAACAGTCCTTCTCAGGACTTTATTAACCTGGACGATCATCATTTACAAACATATAAAGTACCTAGATTAGCTACCGATGAGATTGGCGTCGTTGCAGTCCCTAAATATAATATTGCAGCTGAATGTCCCCCGTCAGCAAGAGCCAAGAGAAGGGTAAGTTTATTCATTCCATTTCAAGAGATTAACGCACGCTTTTTAATACATGGTAAATACAGTAAAATACACATGAACCTATTTTGAGAATCACTGTTTTGTACATAAATTTGTTGACATTTTCGAAAGGTTTTAAAAGAAGCATTGTCCACAAGTTTGTCTCGACCAGGAGAATCAGAAGAAGAGCCAGAGGATTTCGAACACTGCGTGCCAATGGAATTAAATGTGGATGAAGAGATACCAAGCGATGTTCCTTGCAGCAAAGTATATATATACTTTTATACCTTTGGTAAGTAATGTTATAGTGGCATGAATGTCAAATGTTCAAATTTTTCTAGCAAGAGTGAATTTTTTCGTGCAATGATTTCAATAAATATGACATTATAATGTTAGATTATGTTGATGAGATCTACCAGACATATGTGAGAGCATCTCAAAATGGCAGTCTTAAGATAGCTTATGAACAGCTGAATAAGATGGCACCTGCTCCCATGAACACCATGCTTGAAAAAGAGAGAAGAGAAATAGCTGTGATGAAGAGAAATGCCAGAAAAACCATTGTTGTTGAAGATATGCCTCCAACAACACCAGGTGCATAATAATAATCTAAAATTAAGTTAATCTTATCTTTCTTTTTTCTTCAATGTGTATGTAACACCAAACTCTTTCGTCATTTGGATTAATATCTTCTTGATTGACTTATCGTATAATGAAATTTTAGTTTCAGTAGTCCTTACTCAAGAAAAGGCGGCAAAGGGTGGCAAATCATCTGCCAACAGAGCAAAACCAAGGTGTTCTGTCTGCAGAAATTTAATGGCAGGACATAGCAAAATAAAGGACTGTCCCAAAACAAGAGAGTCAGATTAGATGCAACAGAGTGACAACAGAGTTAGAACAAACGAGATTATAACAAGATCAAACAATCATATTACATAATCAAACAATCATATTACATATAAATATAGTTTTTGTTATAATTTGAAGTTAATCCCACAAACCCTAAATACAACAGTTGAAAATTTTCAAGAGATTTCCTCTTCCACAAATCCTACAAAATCGTCATTGTCAGCTGGTTGGAACTGCCGTCTTATTTTGTCATATGCACATGCCGGTAAGGGATACCTTTTATTTCCCATATGTCCAAAAACTAACCACATAAAACTTCTATAAGACGTACTTCGAAAAAATCTACAAATTAAAAATGCAATTAATACATTGAAGTGGCCAAAAAACAGGTGGTATTTTAGTTTATATATAACTCTTTTTGAATTGTAGTGTATGATTGTATCTTAATATTTTTAGAGTTAAGAATATGAACAGAAACGAGTACAGAAACATAAATGACACATTGTCTTTCTCTCAAAGTAATAATGCACTTACTTATCTTCTGTGCTTGTTTGACGGTACTCCTGCTTTTCTTAGTACGTAACTTTGCAGCTGCTAGTCGAAGTGACCACTTGTCTAAGCACAGGCTATAAAAACCAGGATGGTTGACAATGCAAGTCGGAGGATTCTCAGTGTTGAGCTCTTGCAAAACGAGTTCGCTATTCAGTGCTTGTTCGCACTCTTCTATTTCCGTGCAACACTGACACTCTTTAACATTGTGAAGAAGCTCAACTCAACAATTGCCACGTTTACACCTTAAAACGTTATTTTCAAAACTTAATAAAGAAGCTCTGTACTGTAAATTTCATTTAAAAGAAATCCCGATGAATTATATTACAAAACCATCAAATAATTACCATTGGTCATATTTCTCTTCGCCGTCAAGTCTACGTTGAAGTTCTTTCAAACGGTCATCATATTTTTGTTTTCTTCCACGGTAGTTAGAAAGCCATTCTTCATCAGCAACTGGTTCATTGCTGTATGGGCCAACGTCTGCGTTGTCATCTGTGCTTTTGTCGTCTTTAGTAGCGGACGCTTCACTTGTCTTTTTTATATCGAATATCCCGGGATAATAATTCCAATCAGAGTCGTCTGTTTGGTAGCTAGTACTTTCCGTGTCTGAGTTCGATGAGGACATTATTAGAAAAATTGAGCGAGTTTTGATTGTAAATATCGACCTTTGTAGAATAATTTTTACTATTTGTAAACAAGCTGAGATGCGAACCGGTTCCTACTGTGACGTATTAGTTACCAGGTTTCCGACTTCGCGATTTTAAAAAACTATTGCCGTTAAAATTTGAAAATTTTGCAATTCATACCGCAATAACTCGGCAAAATTGTTTTAATTTAATTCTGATTTCCATTTTCATTATGTACATATTACAAAGATTCATATGTGTGAGTTTCATTTTTTTGACAGGGGCACTTTAAACAACTATAAATATCAACAAAAAGATCGGACCGTCTGAACAAGCAACCAAAAGTCGGACCCGAAACAATTGGATCCGACAAATTGGATCATGTCAACCGGCCTTTTCATACCCGGATGATGCTGAATGAAGTAAAACTTATAAACCTGCATACTAATTTCCACGTATTGTAAAGTTTTACGTCTTTTCATTATGCCAAAAACTTGGCTGCGAAAATTGTTTGTACTCGTTATACAGTATTGACGACACGCTGTCCTCGATATTTTGCAATTTTCGGTACCGCATTTTGCAAGACAAAATTCGTAAAACCTTTCAGCTTGCAAGCCTCGTTGCTTCAACAGCACACTCCTTATGTTATAGATTTTGAAATTACAGAACGAATAAATTTTGTGTAGCGCAGTTAGCTAGATTATTCTTAAAAAAATAAAAGCTTACGCTGACGTGACCTAAGAACGTAGGCTACCCAAGCGATTCTCCCTATAAAAATACATGTTAATTTTTGTTAGTAAATTTAAATTCAAATAAGATGACCATGGTAACATAAACGTGCATTGTACTAACAAACTTAACATTTGATGTTGTGAATTAGAAGGGCTGCTAGAGTTGCGTAAAAAAGTTCAAACAAAAGAATTCTAACGCTGTAGTATAAATTACATCTGTAGGACCACCTGAAAACTTGTGAGTACGTTGAGATTCCTTGTCCCAAAGGATGCAATCAAAGCATTGAGAGGAGAGCTGTTGATCAACATTTGAGAAAAGATTGCCCAAAAAGAACTGTTACTTGTCAGTATTGTAAAACAGAGATTCTACAAAAAAATATGAAGGTATGCTTTCTATGTGTGTTATTTGGGCAAATTTTATTTAAGGAAATACGTTTTTGTTGGTGGGGTTCTGTTTATAGACTACCCTTATTCTGTTTTACAGAATAACTAATTGTCATTTTCTTGGGTAGTTAAGTGAGACATTTTCGTATGATAATCACGGCGAAAACTGTATTATACCTGTGTAGATGCATTTTATGAAAAGTATGAGAACTAGTTTTCTCATTTTTACGATGGGTTAAAAACCTTAGATTTTAAACCCTGTTCAATTCCTTGTTCACAAATGTAACACTAAAACCATAAAAGAGTTTTTTCGTGTAAAATTTCAGATACTCAACAAACTTCATATCAAATCTATAAATAATGTACTAAATTAGTCAAATTCCTATGGGCTGATTAAATGAGCCCGGTAGCCTCGAAGCCTTAAATCATTTTGGTAAATGGAAAAGATTAAATACTTCACCTCACTCTGACTTTTCAAAATCACAAAACATTTAAAATGAAAACAAATAATTTAGCCTGATTTGAAAATTACGACTAAAATGACATATGACGCTTGCAAGAAAAGGTTGTAAGTTTTGCCCTTAAAGTTTTTACTCCTTTCAATGACTCAAAATGATTACACGCCTCGCTGAATCCGGTTACCGTGTTCATGTAATTATTCTTGTTATATAATTAAACACTATATACACGTTAATATTCTTAATTAGTTTCATGTAGTGGTTTTTCATAACTACCTATTTTAGTAGTTTCTTTATCAATGAAGATAAGAATTAGTTTAAAACAATGCATGCATTAATTTATACAATGGTTATTAGTACAATTCCTCTTTTAAAACACTTGCGTACTAAAGTAAATGGTTTGAACCCGGGAGTATCGTTACATGTTTGTAAATGTAGGTCGTCCAGGTTAATAAAGTCCTGAGAAGGACTGTTTTTGCTGTTGTTGACTGACGTTTCGACAACCTTAGCGGTAGTCATCTTCAGAGTCTTCTCCATGCAGAAAATATTTGATATACTATTGATTGAACACTATGTGCATAGAAGTACATACGTCAACATAACACGTGCATGGAATTTATTATAAAAATTGTTAAATACTAAAACCTAATATTCGCCCAAAACCACCTCATATTCTTGCAAGTAAATTTTTTTTGGTTAAAGGAACTGATCAATAAACGTCTATTAACTATTTCTTTGAAGGTGAAGAAAATTCTCCATTTACGTTAAATAAAAAGCATTTTTTAAACTAGTGGTTTTCGCTGTATCTCTCACGGCTCACTTTAATACCCACGTATGCATGCCGATATTTATACTCAGGCAATGAAAAAGATCTGCTCAAATTGGAATTTCTTATATATGCAGAAGATTTAGCTTGTCAAAAACTTTTGCATTCTGTTTCTGTTTCCATAAGTAATCAGCCATGTTTAGCCATGTTAAATGAAATGTCCGAGAATCGTTGCGAAGAACATTTGACATATATATGATAGTAAGTTGGAGTTCATTCCAGTACCACTTAGTGAGGGAAGAATTGTTCATTGGATTCAAAATTATGCTTCATAAAGATAACATGGCTTAAGTGAGCCCAACCAAATACTAAACGTTGCAAAAGTTGTAACATATTTTTTATAATTGATCTTTTCCGTAGAGTGATTAACAGCAGGGATAATTTGCAAGCACTCTTTTTACTGAATGTATAGATCATTATCATTATTCATTTCTTTAAAAATCTATTGCTTTTACAGTGAGGGAAAACAAATAAATAAGTAGCAGGACTAAATAGTCGGGTTGTCTTCGCCACTGCATATGATGAATCAGATGCAGATGCTTTCACTGATTTTCTTTTGTTCATCATATTGAGAGTTCATTTGAGTAAGAAGTGCTATTAGCAATAATTTATACCACAAAACATTATCAATGATTGGATCAATGATTTTTAGTGCCCGGCCCAAAGAAAACACAACATGCGACTGTAGACAATGTCCTCAATATCAAAGAAAGCGATAGCAAAAGTTTTAATGTTTGATGGCAGCGAGATCTAGTTGTCCCGCGTTGTCGTCCTGCAACTTCTTTGTGTTTAGGTATTTCTGTAAATAAAAAAGACTGTTCCGATCGCCATTAAAACCTTAGGAAACATCAATAAGAAATTCTAAAGAATGCGCTAGAGAAATAGAAGAAAAATTGTAATGTTCTTAAAGCCAGAAATCTTTCAAATGAACAAGGTGAAAACCTTTGGAGCCATCAAAATTAACTGAATTTCTCGAATATCGATAATTTTCATTCCCAGCAGTTGATTAAGAATCAATCTTCCTTGTTATTACCATTTTCAACGCAATTGAGTTCGACCAGACTTCTGTCGAAACCATTTTATTAGTCTTAAAGACATGCAACACAGAAAAGAATCGCATAAAGACGTCTGATATTTGTTGGAAACAAGTATTACATAGTGTAAGTCACAAGTATATACATGCTTTAAGCCCGTTTTCCACTCACCATTTCGCTCGCAGCTGGCGAATTATTTCGCCAGTGACGTAACTTTTGTTGACGATTTTTTGGCCACTAGGGAAACTTTTTCTGCCGCTGCAGTCGTTGAAAAATTTCAACTTCCATTTGGCGTTTTGGCGACAAAAAAACGAGCAACCAATCATAAATTAATAATTAATCACGTGTCTTTTTTCACATTCAACATGGCGGATATTCGGTTGGAATCAATATTGCAAGAGAATGAGGAATATGAACACCAAGTTTCCATTGATGGTGATTCAGAAAATTCAGTTTTTGAGGAAGATGGAAATATAGATTGCGAACTTCTTGTAGACCTCGTGCGAAGTTTTCCTATTCTTTGGAACACTAAACTTAAAGGATACAAAGAAACTAACAAAAAAAAATCCGCATGGAATGTAGTTGCATCGCAATTAGGAGTCGAAGGTTAGTTTGGGAAAATAATTTCCCTTGTCTGACGATGTATATGTAGTTAACATCTCTCAATTTCACTAGTTGTATATTTATATGGGGCGCCAAATTGGACTTTATTCTAAACTTACAATACAACATAACATACTAAAATTATACATGGCAAACTTTATATACTTCGAGACAAATCTAAAAAATATATGCGAAACTTTTCATATACGTTCGAAACTTCTTGTATCGTATCGTCAAAATTTATAGTGTTCCAATTTTCATATACGGTATGGCGAACTTTTTACATCGTGTTCCAATTTTCATATACGGTATGGCGAACTTTTTACATCGTGTTGCATAATGCTTTGCGATCTCACTTCGTTTCAATGAACTCCATAACAACTGGAAGGCTAACTTGGACGCCATCTTTGAAGCCTGCATGAGCGCCGCCATTGAAGGTACGGAGGCGAAATACATCATTTCGAAATTGCCGGATTCTTTGCAAAAAACAGTGGTCTTCGAGCCAGCTTAATGTCTAAAAACCTTAAACAATGTTTGGACTTTAATATAAAACAAGTTTGAACGACATTTGTACATGCTTAAGCTTATTTTTAGAAGGATGAAAAGCGAACTTTGTTTTGCCAAGTGAAAACATGCCTTATAACTTGAATACAAAACTGACACCCCTCGTTTTTTTTCATGAAAAGGATGTAAAACACACTTGTCTATCCTTAAAATATTGTTTGAATCTTTGAAAATGAAGCTGTCAGGGCAAAAAACGCTGTTTTTCGGTAATTTTTGTGTTTCCGAGCAAAATTAGCTCGCCCCAGTCCTTTTTGAAAGTTCAGAGCATAAACAAAAATAAAAACACTTTGCAAAATATTTCAAAAAGTTAGCAAAAAAATATTTTGAGTTCGTTTGAGAAAAAAACTGTTATGCCATATTATCGTGTTATTATTAATTGCACCATTAAAGAGACAAAAGAATGTGGCCTGGATGCTGGACAAGTCAATGCAGTAGACAGCCGGTCCCAAGCCCGGATAAACACAGAGGGTGGATGTCAGGAAGAGCATCCGGTCCTTAAAAGAATATGCCACATGATAATATGCCGGAGACAATCAGAAGAGAAGACAATGCTAGGGCATACCCCGTAAGCGATGCGCAGCGGCACTACTGTCTTGACGCTGTGAAAAGAATGCAAGCGAGACAGAACAGACAGAAGAGACAGAACAGACAGAAGAGACAGAAGAACTTGAGAGTTGCGACCCTAAACATCGGGACGCTGACTGGAAAGAGCAGAGAAATAGCAGACATGATGAAGAGGAGGAGGATCGACATACTATGCTTACAAGAGACAAGATGGACTGGTGGGAAATCAGGAGGGAAGGCAAGAAACATCGGAGAGAGCTACAAGCTGTACTACAGCGGAGGGGGAAAGCCAAAGAATGGAGTGGCTATATGCCTGAGTGAGGAATGGCAAGATAAAGTGATAGAGACCCAGAGAAAGTCCGATAGAATCATAACTATGAAACTGGTAACACCTGACAAGACGTTCAACATCGTGACTGCCTATGCACCTCAGCAAGGTTGTGAAGAAGACGAGAAGCAGAGATTTTGGAACCAACTTGAAGAAGTGACCACCAATGTGAAGGAAACAGAACAGCTGATTGTGGCAGGAGATCTCAATGGGCACATCGGAAGAGAGAGAGTAGAGGGATTTGAGAGATGGCATGGAGTAAAGTCAATCGGAAGAAGAAATGAAGAAGGAGATAAGATCTTAGACTATGCAAGGAGCAAGGACCTCGCAGTGGTAAACACATTCTTCACACAGAGGGATGGAAACACCTACACGTACAAAAGTGGCCTTAGCCAGACCGTGATAGATTTCATCATGATAAGGAGAGATGACCTAGGCGATGTTAAAAATTGTAAGGTTATCCCTGGTGAGGAAATTGCACTGCAGCATAGACTCGTTGTGATGGATTATAAGATCAAGAAGAGGAGAAGAATAAGAAGAGAGAGACCGAAGAAGATCAACTGGTGGAAACTACATAATGAGGAAGGAGATGAGCTGGAAAGTAAGATCACAGAAATGTTAATGGAACAAAGCATGGTGGGAGAGTGGAAATGGAATGAAACATACCCCAATATACTAGAAGCAGCAAAGGAGACACTGGGAGTTAGTAGAGGTGGGAAATACATAGAAAAAGAATCCTGGTGGTGGAATGAAGAAGTACAAGAGGCTGTGAAGAACAAGAAAGAAGCTTTTAAGAGATGAAAGAGATCTGGTTTGGAGGAAGACAGGGAGACTCTGAGAGAAATGAACAAGATCAGTAAAGAAAAGTGTGCGATTGTTAGAGAGAAAGGTCAGGAACAACTATACAAAGATCTGGAGCAAAACGGACCGAAAAGAATCTACAAGTTAGCAAAAACTAGACAGAGAAGAGCAAAGGACATTGACAAGATCACTTTTGTCAAGGATGAGCAGGGAAAGATCGTGAGCGAAGATGAGAAAATCAAAGAGCGATGGAGGGAATATTTTGATAGACTTTTGAACACGAAGAACAACAGGAAAGAACTAGACCATCTTGAACCAGTCCATGGGCCAGTACCAGATATTACGGAAGATGAAGTGAGAAGACAACTAAAGAAGATGAAGAACAATAAAGCAAGAGGACCGGACGAGCTCCTCATCGAACTAGTGAAGAAATTGGGAAACACAGGAACAGAGTGGATGACATCATGCTGCAGAGAAATAATGAAGATAGGAATACCAGAAGAATGGAGAACAAGCAGAATAGTGCCCCTTTACAAACAGAAAGGTGATCCCCTAAGCTGTGGAAACTATCGAGGCATTAAACTCCTCTGCCACTCACTGAAATTATTTGAGAGAGTGATAGAGGCGAGACTGAGAGAAATAGTGAAGATAAAGGACAACCAATATGGATTCCAACGCGGAAAATCAACAGCTGAGCCGATGTTCTGTCTGCGGATGCTGCAAGAGAAGTATAGAGAATTCAAGAAAGAGCTACATATGGTTTTCATGGACCTTGAAAAGGCATATGATACAATCCCGAGGGAGCTACTATGGTACTGTCTAAGGAAGCGCCAAGTCCCGAAGGGCTATATTGAAACCATCAAAGATATGTATAAGCGCTCTACCACTAGTGTCGCAACAAACGTTGGTGAGACGGAGAAAATTCAAGTAGAGGTCGGCTTACATCAAGGCTCGGCACTAAGCCCCCTACTCTTTATTATCATTATGGATGTAATCTCGGATGACACGACAGAGGACACACCTTGGAGTATGATGTTTGCAGATGATTTGGTCTTGTGTGATGAGAAGAGAGAACATCTGGAAGGAAGACTAGAAGAGTGGAGAAGAATATTAGAAGATGTTGGCTTGAAAGTTAGTAGAGCCAAGACGGAGTACCTCCCACCGAGTGACTGCATAGGAAACATCAAGCTAAGAGAATATGCTGGACCCGGAAATACAGATCTACCAAAGTGCGAGACATTTAAGTACCTCGGGACCACCATCCATCAGGATGGCGGTTGCAAGACTGAGGTTGAACTACGGATTAGCCGGGCATGGAATAAATGGAGGGAGTTAACGGGAGTGCTCTGTGATAAGAAGATGCCGAAGAAACTGAAGATCCTCCTCTACAAAACGGTGATACGCCCTGTGCTTCTGTATGGGAATGAAACATGGCCTGTTACAGACTACCTAGCAGAGAAGATCAGTGTATGCGAGATGAGAATGATACGCTATTGTCTTGGAGTCAGCCTGGAGGAGCACAGAACAAATGAAAGCATAAGAGAAGAAGCGAATGTCATGAGTATACTGAAATTGATGAGAAGAAAAAGACTGCAGTGGTTCGGACATGTGTGCCGGCGTGAAGAAGATGTAGACATTCGGAGAGTTTATGAGATGCAAATGGAGGGGAGGCGGAAACGAGGACGCCCAAAGCATCGGTGGAAGGATACCATCAGGAGAGACATGCAGCTATGTGGTGTCAAAGAAGAGGATACCCAGGACAGAGCAGCCTGGAGAAGTCTCATAGAACTGGGTCTCCGGCAAAGACCCGCTACCCGAGCAGGAGAAAGCGGAGAAAGGTGACCATTAAAGAGACAAAAGGGTCAATACCCACTTAAAATAAAGACAAAAACACAATTGACACTCCATATTCATAACTTTTGAAACACTTAAGTAAAAATTGTACTGTAATACAAGTATGAAAACGATTATTAGTCTAATATTATAGAATCATATATTTTCACAAATATGACCAAACATTTTAAACACACATCCTAAAATTTAGTATATTACATATACATTCATCATCATCTGTATTACAAGAAAAAACTAATTTTACAATCAATATGATATACTATAAAATTTTGATACAGGATATAGCTTTGCTTGCTTTATAATCATTTCAAAACCCTGTTTCAAACCACTGAGGATGAGGGTTGCTTTTTAGCATTTATGTAGAGCAGGTTATATTAGCAATACTTGTCATAGTGTACACTTGGCTATTTATTTATAAGCATGAACTTGCTGATAAAATGGTCAATACACAAATATGAATGCATGTCAAATCTTCCACCAGTTCTTAAGAAGTGGGAGAAGTAAATGACAAGAGCCAACAATCACCCACAATTCAAATTTCAAATCATCACTTTCACACATTACAAAAAGAGCATGTGAAATTCTTACAAAGCAAGTCCAACTTTGAAAGCAATAAAATTGTTATGAAACATGTTATATTAAGTGGATTGTGTGTATTTTGCACAGCATTCAAAGATACAGACTACCTGTTATCAGTTTTATCTTAAATTTTTGGTCTTTCGACGACAAATGAGAAATTCATATTTCGAAGCAAGTTTCTCCCTTTTATGTTTTATATAATACAGCGTTACGTATACAAAACATGTCTTGGAACGTGTTAACACATTAATAACCAAATTTTGCTAACGGTTTTGAAAAAAATAAAGCATTTAGGCTAGCATTCTATTCCCAAGTTAGCAGTTTTTGCAAAACAATCCGTCACGCAAATAAAACAGTCCACGCGAGATACACGCGAAGCGGCAAATCAGCTTCTAGTGGCTTCAAAAAAGTCTAGGTTTGTTTATAATGAGTTAGCCTTCCAGTTGTTGTAGAGTTCATTGCTTCGTTTACAGGTTTACGCGCTTTTTTTCTCAAATTCAAAATGGCGGGTTTAGGAGGCATTGGAGGCTCGGAACACAGTCTTTATTCATTCTTTCAGAGAACTAAAGCAATTATTGCTGAAGCAGAGCATTTTATCATTTCAGAACACCTATTTTTTGACAATATCGACGGTTTAGAGCGCATACATGAGCGACTTTCAGATGCTGGAAACACTGTATTCACGTTAAAACAGAGAGCATTAAATCTTATGGATGATTTTGATATGGCGAGTTTTTATAATGACATGCACCAGTTATCCTTCTATTTAAGTCGACCTATCTAAGAGATTAGTAGAATGTCTAAGGGAATTGCACTTTTCTTGGACTAGAATCGCTGAATTATTGGGTATCTCAACAAAAACATTACAACGAAGACGTGTAGAGTTTCAAATTGATGTAGAAGAATCTTGGTCAACCATAAGTGACATTGAACTTAGAGAAACAATGCAAGAGATTATGAGTGTTACTCCAGGAATAGGACAAACACGTATGGTAGGTGCACTGAGGAGCCGAAATATAAGGGTCCAACGGTCACGTGTGAGGACATTAATGCGTGAATTGGATCCAGTTGGAACAGCACTTCGTTGGCGGGGAGCAATTTGCAGAAGAAATTACAATGTGGGTTGTGCAAATGCTCTGTGGCACATCGACGGGAACCATAAAATGATTCGCTGGCGAATGGTGGTTCATACATCCATTGATGGCTACTCCAGGTTGATACCATATTTAAGCTGTGCTACTAACAACAAAGCAAACACAGTTTTAGACTTATTCCAAGATGCATGTCGTTCATATGAATTACCTTCAAGAGTGAGATGTGATCATGGACTTGAAAACGTAGGTGTTGCTCGAATGATGTTGGAGTGCCGTGGAACAAACAGGGGAAGTATCATCACAGGGGCTTCAGTTCACAACCAACGAGTTGAAAGGCTTCATAGAGATGTTACTACTGGTGTTCTAAAGGCTTATATTGATCAATTTAACATGATGGAACATTCAGGTCTTCTTGATCCTGCCAATGAGGTACATCTTCTTGCACTACAGTTTGTTTTTGTCACAGTCATTAATCAGTCCTTACAAAAGTTTTTTAATCAATGTAATCACCATGGAATCAGTACTGAAGGAGGGCTATCGCCTTTGCAACTTTGGTCAGAAAGCATTGTAAGATGTGCAACACAAAGCAACTCAACTTTAGACAATGTACTATCAAGCAATGAAGTTGAATCATATGAAATAGAAGCACGTGATGAAATTGAAAATGTAGCTGGTGTGGTTGTACCTGAAACAACACTAAATTTAACTGAAGATCAGTTTGCCTATATTGCACCTTTAGCAAGTCAAAACAACAACTTATTTTACAAAGTTCACACGTACATGCATGTTGTGAATGCCATTAACGCAATGTTTTAAGAATTTTTAGGCTTACAGAAGAGTGAACCACTTGCATAAAGAAAATGTTATTACCTTTGTAAAAAAAATTTGTATGATTTTTGTCTGAGCATGCACTTAGTAATTAATTTCAACTTTAATGTTTTCATGAAAACGCACATGGTAATACTCGATTGAAAATGGTGGTGGTATAAAATATATAATTGCTTTTGAAATGAAAAGTTCCCAGCCACCCCCAGATAATCCGCCCCTGATGATTACGCATATCAATGCAATTGAAGTATATATCAAGTCACACAGTAACTATGTGTAAGATTGCTCTGTAATATTCATGTAATAATATACGTAGATATGCCGGACTAATTTCAACAATTTGTCAAACAATGTCGACTATTACAGTAAGAATTGGCAACAAAAATTAAGTTTGCCATCTATGTTAGGGAATACATTTGAAACATTGGAAACTCTTTCAATTTCCGAGTAAATACATTGAAATAAAACAACTTATTAAGCAACAATCAAAACGCTTTTGCTATCTTGAATTTGTACTTTCATTAACAGATATGACGTAACAACAAGGGTAAAATGATATGATTCTTCTAAAGCAGCGAAATTGTCAAAGTATTTCTATCATCGAAATTATCCAGAAGATTACGCGCCTCCTGAGCAAGATTTGATAAAGCAGCCCGAAAGTTTCCAGTATTTTCAGCCATGTAGTGAGAGTTTATTTTGATTGAATTATTAAGTTTGAAGTCGAGATAGCATGATGTCGAATGCTAACATGTTGTCAATAGGGCGGCGTCAAAATCAAAACAATACACTTCTCTAAAAACCTGGGACCTGGGCACTAATATATTTAAATTCATATGAAATCCAGAGTGGGATCGCAAAGCATTATGCAACACGATGTAAAAAGTTCGCCATACCGTATATGAAAATTGGAACACGATGTAAAAAGTTCGCCATACCGTATATGAAAATTGGAACACGATGTAAAAAGTTCGCCATACCGTATATGAAAATTGGAACGCTATAAATTTTGACGATACGATACAAGAAGTTTCGAACGTATATGAAAAGTTTCGCATATATTTTTTAGATTTGTCTCGAAGTATATAAAGTTTGCCATGTATAATTTTAGTATGTTATGTTGTATTGTAAGTTTAGAATAAAGTCCAATTTGGCGCCCCATATATTATCTTAAGCTTGTAATATAATTGGCGTTTTTAGTGAGTATTTGTCGTGCAAAGTGGAAAACATTCGAGATACCTACAGAAAGTGTCTTAAAAGGAGGGATCTTGCTACACGGTCAGGTGCAGGGTCTAAACGTTTACCAGAGTGCAGGTTCTTTAAAGAACTGGAATTTTTGAGTGATTCAGTATCCAACAAAACTACTATAAGTAATTTCACCTTACAAAATATTGATGATGGTAACTCAGCTGTTATGGCAACTGGAAATTCTGTATCTAGTGATACATCTGGAGAAGTGCCATCAGAAGTATCTTATTCATCACATAGAGAATCTCCCACCTCATGTAAAGAAAAACCCTCAGTACCAGTTAAAAAGAAATTTCGTGTCAAAGAGCGTGAAGACATAAGTACAGCACTAGACTTACAGTTGTTAAACCATTTAAAGAGACAGGGAGAAACTGGTGGAAATACACCACAATCTGATAATGAATTTTTTTGCAGAAGTCTTGTACCTACTCTTGATCGCCTAGATAACAAAGCAAATCAGATGGCCAAAGCAAAAATCCAACAGCTATTGTTTGATGTGGAGTTTGCAAACAATTAATATATCAACAATAACTAAAGGTCTACTCATAGTAATATTAAGAAACTGTCAAAAAAAATTATTTTCTGATAAGTTTATTGTTTGTAATTCTTGTTTTTTGATCTTAACTTTATGTTGTTCATTAAAGTTTTAATAAGTACATTAAATGACAGTATCATCAATTCATTATTTGTTGAGCATTATAGTTTGACATTTTCTTGCTATTACTGCAGAAGCTCTTCAATAGTAATCGGTTGTTGATCAAAACTGTTAGATACGCTGTCCACTACATTCCATTGCCATGGTACCTCTCCTTGAGGTGAGTTAAAATATTCCTTAAAGCTATGTCGAACATTTTTGGCATCTCTTGAGTATGTGTTTGTGCAGCAATTACGAATATTTATGCATTGACCCTCCATTGACCATTTGACTGACCATTGCTATCAGTGTAGCCATGAGGACAATATCGTGTTGCTCTTCCCTTGTTTGTATCCTCCATCAAGTAATTATGCAAAACTACTATAGCTTGTGTAATTGCAATTACCAACTCTGTTTTTGCAATAATAGGTCTTCGCAGTATGCGAAATCGTGATGCAGCAATACCGAATGTATTTTCAATGACCCGCCTAGCTCTCGAAAGTCGATAGTTAAAAATCCTTTCTGATCGTGAATTACCACCACCAGCGTAAGGCTTCATAAGATTTGGCTTCAATGGCAATGCCTCGTCGCCAACCAGAACATATGGTAAAACTTTATCACTTCCCTTGAGAATTGTATTTTCTGGAAAAGACAATGAATGTTGATTTATTCCATAACCAATCATACTGTTTTCAAATATTCCCCCGTCACTAATACGACCACTATTGCCAATATCTACGAGTGTAAACTGATACTTGGCATCACATGCAGCAAGCAACACAATACTATGTGTTTTTTTGTAATTAAAATATTCTGATCCAGATCTGGCAGGGGCTTGCATTACAATATGTTTTCCATCGAGTGCTCCCAGACAATTTGGGAAGTTCCACATTAGTTCAAACTCCCGAGAGATTTCTTTCCATCTCTTAACTGAATTTGGTGCCGTTATATAACCCTTTGAGCTGAGGACTTGCCATAAGACTTGGCACGTTTCCATCACTATTCTGCCAATTGTTGTGGGACTTATTCGATAACTCATGGCAATAGTTTGTTGAGCATCACCCGTTGCTAAATACCGCAATGTGGCACTAAGTCTTTCACTTGGTTCAATGGCCTCCCGTCTTTTAGATGATTTTGTTATATGAGGTGCAATTAATGTTAAAAGTTCCTCATACTTTTGAGGAGTCATCCTAAAGTAGGTAAAGAAATATTCGTGATCTGCCAATAACAGATCCTTGACTAAGAGGTGAAATTCGCCTTTTTGTTTACGTTTGGCAAACGTTTTTCTAACCCAAAAACGTTTTTTATACTTATGGCGACGTAAATGCCTCCGAAGTCTTTGTCTTACCGCAACAAAAATAAAAATCCCTTTCTGTGGCATTCGAAAACCAAATGCTCGCCATGTTGTTTTAAAGCAGTTGACAATGAAATTTCGCTAAGCAGTGGAGATTGAAATTTTCGCGCGGGAATTTAATTTGCTACGAAATTAATTCGCCAGCGACGAGCGAAATTATGAGTGGAAAACGGGCTTTACTGACACTTATTATTTTCGCAGTTATTATTTGCCAAAAGGCTTAACTTTCGTGCATATTTTCAAACATCCGATTTTACAAATTTTCAGTAGTCAAAATTTTCTCGCTCTTATGTTAGTATCTTCCGAGGTAAATTCATGAACCAAAAATTAGTTTCACTCCAGTTTTGGGTTTTGCTATTTCAGGATCACCTTGGGAATTGCCAAAAAGTAAAGGTCACTTGCCCAAATTGTAAGAAAAAGATGCTTCGAGAAAAAGTATGTTGTGGTATATATATTAACAATTGACAACTTATTGTAGAACATGACATAATATATACTACACACGTCAGTGCGACGTGCATGGCAGAAAGTAACTAATTGAAAGAAAAGTATTCTTTGTTATTGATCATTCACTTCAAATGATTTAGAGACTTATGTATAGATAAGGATATCGTAAAGCGTTAAACTCGAATTATATGAATAGCAATCAATTGCAAAATGTATAAAGGGATTTAGTCAATGACATTGTCACTTAAAACTGAACTAGGCAAAGCTTCTACAAAATCTAAATTGTCTCACAAGTCTAAATTGTCTCAAATTATAGTTGAATTCTGGTCACGAGAAGGAATGTCCGAAAGCAAACATTTTTTGTGAATATCGAAATATTGGATGCAAGTGGTCGGTAAGTGTCGACTGAGGAAAGTAGCTGCCGGAAAAGAAATGTTTTGCTTAAAATAATTAGTCTATTTCTCAAAATTTCACAAAAATTGTGGTACTTAAAGATTAATTTCTGCTCCAGAATGTGGAGGTCAGAAGAAGGTGTTTAGATCATGTTTTTTATTGACAATGATTTTATTTTCAGGACAACAATGGAGCCTCGCTTTAGTACCATCCCATGCAAATTCATTTAATCACTAATAAATATATTTATGAAAAAGATGTTTTGAAATATTTATGTAGGCAACATTACATTTTATGTAGACATCTTAAAGAGCAATTTATTTGCCCATAAGAGGATTAAGAATACGTTTTTTGTTTACTAAGCTTTTCATACTACATATGTGAATGGACAAAGATGAAATTTAGGATATAATATGCAACATCCATATTTACTCTAGGAATAACGAGCAAGTTTTGCGTAGCTGTTAAAAATGTTGTTGAGAAGGCGGTTTTCGATTAAGCCATATTTTTACCTTAACCTCATTGTTCCACAATGACCTGTCTTTCGAGTCGCCATATATATATTATTAGCCCTTGCATCTATAGTAACAAAAGAGGAAAAAATATTTTCTCGTAAACACAAGGTTTAATATAAAGTATTTTGACTCGCATTAAAAAATTGACCAAAGTATCTGAGCATATGTAAACGTGTCTTGACTGTCTCTACAGGGTCAAAGACATCAAGTGCAACACCATCTAAACAGTGACATGAAGGAGCATTTATCTCTGATGAATGTTGCCTTGGCTAGTTTATTGTCTGCAAATGGCCGCGAAAGGAATCGACCAGCCTCTAGAACAGAAGCCAGTACGAGTGCTGGCGCGAGCAGCAGCAATGCTGCAGATACGGTCGACAGAAACTTGGAGGAGTTCAGCCGCCCTGTCAAAAGAAATAACGATGAAATTAACGCGTTGATGTTGAGAACTGAACAAATTGAACGATCTTTTCGAGATCTTACCGGTAATTTATTAGTGGGTGCAGCTTTGGAAAAATAAATTAGATTAGCTTAATTGATTGGAAATGCAAGTGTAATGTAATTTATCTTACCTTGCGTTTTACTTACCTTTAAAGCTCGACACGCTATTGTGGTTATTCACCAAAATTGGGAATGATCCCTGCATTTAAGTTAACTGTACGTGAAGAACAAGATGAAAGTGACTTACATAAAGTCTCGTCTTATAGCTATAACAATTATTCTACGTCACCATCAAATAAGCGCTGCATCTTATGAAGCTTTTTATGCCGCAGTCTACCAAGCCACCATTTCTCTGCGTAAAATAGGTAACTTTCTAGAAAGATTTAGGTTTGTTGCTTGAAGGGTAACCCATTCTAATAAAGTTAATTCTTTCTACGAGGGGTATAAACAAGTGAACAGTTTGGAAAATGTCGGGAAAATCATCAGCGCACAAGATTTGTGAAAACTTTTAGAGGAATGAGGTAGTTGGACTGCGATTGTGGATTTGTTACAAATACTAATTTTTAGGATAAGAATTTCGTTGTTTAGAAGCACTTTCGATACAGCTTTCGCACAAAATCTATTGAAATAAAAAGCAATTGAACCACACAAGGTTGAAATATGGCACATATTGTTCAAGGTGAAAAGGTGTCTGAAACCAAACCGTACGCGAACGCTAGGCATCCAAATTGCATATTATTTTGTGTTTTTCTTTTAAGAAATAAATGATGTTTACTGTGTTTGCACAGTCTTATGCAAACTGAAAAGACCTTTGGGAGAACTTGAGAGCAGATCAGTGCAGCCCGAGACCGAAGGTCGAGAGTTTTCACAAACGAGGTTTGCATAAACCAGTGCAAACACGAAAAACATCTTTTCTTTCTTTTATAAAATAACAATAATGCGAAAAAAGACAAACATTTAATTTTTCCTCTATAATTTATTCATAACCGATTTTCAAATTCTCTTTATAAGAGCCAATCAAAATAAAACATTTCAAAGGCGGAAAAGTTACATTATTGTATACAAACAATTACGATGGCTGGCGTAAGTGTTAAGTAGATTTTCTTTGGCGAACGAGTCAACAATTCATCGTTTGCAAGACGTTTCTGAACAAAAATACGAACACTGCTAAAAGCAGTGGCGTAGGCAGCCCGCAAATTTGGTCCTGGCTTGTTAATTTTTCTGTGTTCACTCACTATAAAAACAATAGATTTCTAAAGAAATGAAAAATGTTAATGATCTAAAATTTACATAACAGGATGAATATCCTAACAACCTACTTACACCAAAGGTTTTTGCAAATCTTACGTGCTTATGAGTTTTGCGACATTTTCCTTACTGTTTAGTGGTTCCCAGAGGTACAACAAAAGAGGGAACGTGGAAAATTCATGTTTTGAAAGCTAATTCTAAAAAAGCCGTGTTTGAATGTTTTTTAATTCTCCGTCCATCCTACATATTGTTTGTGTGTATAAAAATATGCTTGATATCCAACCTTCATTAATCGTTGATTTAAAAAACATATAAGAGTATATTAGTTTGATAGGTTTTTCTGTTCTTGTTTTTCAAAATAAGCAACAATATTTTTCAGTCGCGTATCTTTTCACAATAACGATGTCCTGCATGAGAATTAGTCACCATTCTTCATTATATTTATTCGATTTTTTTCTTATTAATATACCATTTTTACTTCAAGCACGTGTTGACAGACAGCATAGAGAAAATGAAGCAGGTTTGACTAGTGTTAAGAACACGATAGTTGATTTGGAAGCACGGATGTGTAATGGCGTCTATCTTTGGAGGATCACGAACTACCCTCGCCATCGGGAAAATGCAAGAGAAAACGTTGTGACAGCTTTACACAGTCCTCCTTTTTACACCAGCTTCTATGGATACAAATTGTGCTTGAGGTATATTTAAAATTAATTTACGCAACTTTTCCCATTTTCTTCGGGCTTTAGAGTTTATAATTTAAAATGCTCTTGGCCTCTACTAATTTTCCCAGACACTTGAGTTTACTTTACACGAAGGATTTTCTTTAATAGGTGGAATTTCTTCAATACTCATATCTGTACAACAACAGTAGAAACGAGCTACGTAACATCCGTTTTGTTTTGACTGTAGTCGTTGCTATCCTTTTTCAAATACTGATATAAGTGCCTATAGCGTCAGCCTTTATTCCAGCCAGTTGACTAGAATTTGTTGCGTTTTCTAACCACTAAAATGACCTGACGTTATTTCTGAGTGTAATGGAATTTGAGCAAATTTAGTCTTACGAATAGACGTCGTTGTGTTTTAGCAGTTAGAAAATTTGACAAACCCTATAATGAACTGACTGAAATAATGACTCACTGATATGTGTACTAAATTTGATACAAAATATCGTTACCGAAATTGAAGCCCAGTATTTGCTCCTTTCCATACGGCTTACGTCAGAGGTATATTGATCGCGCTTTATTGTACTTTTGTTTAACAAAATCATATTTTTACATTTTTATTCTTTTTCCCAAGTCATTACACAAAAGAATAGTAAAGTGAGTAATACACGCAATTATATGACCTGACTTTTGGCTTCAATTTTAAAGCCACTTTTTAAACCTGGTGCCTTAGTCATTCTAATATCACTGGGCTTATTATATGTGATTAGGTCGCTCGGATGGGCGGGATTCAACTAATTTTGAGGAGTAGAACGCAGATCGATCCAAAACGTTGCGTTACTGTAATTACCTGTTTTAGTGCCGAGGTGCTTATAGGATTTTCTCCGTCCTAATTGGAGCGGCTCTTCACCGGGAGATGCGCTTCAAAAGTAATTTTACCTTAATATTCATCTTGAATATTTTTATTTCAAAAAAAACGATATGATATAAACCGTTTTCATGATGTTTAGTGTCAACGAATATTGTGTCACTTAGATGGTTGTACTGATTCATCAAGACTGGACAAGCTGCTAAGTGCAACGCTTAATATTTCCCCCCATCCTATTTGCGGGGCTTGATAATTTTTGCGATCCCGAATTTTTGTTTTCATTATCCAATAGTTTAAATTAGTAAATATCTTCTTGAACGTTGTATGTGTTTCTACAGTCCAAACTGTATTGCTCAAGTAGATTTTTTGAATGATAAATACTAAATCTTTTCACTTTTCTAAAATCTTTTAACGCTTCGTTAAATCCTACTTTTAATTTAGAACGTTCATCAAAAACTTTTTCATAGTTGACAGTATACTAAGAAGTGGACGTTTTATAAGTTTGGCACCTATCTAAGCGAGTCTTTTTGTATTTTTTGTTTAAAAAAGACTTTGGGCATAATAAGAAAGTGCTGTTATGCCTGCGCAATGTAATGTGTTCAATAAATTTTCACTTAATAGGAATTTTTGTCACGAGGTCATTGAATGATTTGCAAGCGCTACAATCATACGTTAGTTGTGGGACCATATTCATATATTCTTCTGTTATATGCCTGGCTAATTTCTTTTCAAAAAATTTGCCGTTTTTGAAGAAATCGTCATGTCATAGAAGAACATAATGAATAAGATCCCCCCTCAATTTACGTTCGTTTGACGACCGTGTACTGAAAAACCTGCGTGTATTGAGTGAATGACGTAATGTCTACACAACAAAAATACTCATTTCAATAGAGTGTTCTTTCTTTTGGACATCTTGTAGATATGTGATGAAATGTACGAGATCGGTTTGCTCATTTTTTGTTGTTGATCCTGTAACCAAGCATTCATAAAAGAGATTTTCAATAATGTAGAAAAGTCGTGTTTCAACTAAGAAAAAATAGAAGTCAGGAAAGTAGTTCTATAATTGTTGGGCCAATGTGCAAATATTCATGACCTGCTACATCAATATCATTTGAAATCTATTGTTTTCTGCTTGTAACATCCGCATATGGAAATAACTCCTCCCCAATTATTGAGCAGGATATGACCCTGATCAATGTTTTTAAGATGTATGATATTCATCTTCCGTAATGAAAGCTCAATAACTAATATGCAGAAGGATATCTCCGCTGATTTTTGTGTTAGCGCTATCCGAAAAGACCAATAAATTTAAGTGTTGTTTTGCTGAACCAGTTAATGTTGAATTGAATTATCCAATAATAATACTAATTTTTTCTAATTTTGCGTTCGTCTTTAATAGCTAATTTTTCCCCGACTAACCTTTAGATGACACCTTACACGAGCAAAATCTCATATACTCTTTATAAAAAAGTTTCCATGTCCATTACTACGTAATTAATTCTACTGCGCAGAATATTATAATAGACCTTATGCGTAATGACGTCGAATAGCCGAAGCGCGTTGTGCATTGTGGTCTTACTAGTCACGCACGCGAGCGAAAATATTACAATATGGCTTGACAGCTAGTCTACCGCTGTTTCACGACGTGTATTAGATGCTTTTAATTCAAACAAACACCTTAATTCTCTTATAAATTGTTGCGCAGATCTTCAGGAATTCGGCTGTTATAAAAAACAGCAAAAGACCAGTTTCAATGCCGATTACGGCCAAACAAAGTGAAGATTACGATGGTTTCACTTGCTGCGTTCCTACGAGAGCAAAATCCATCCCGAGCTTTTTCTTTATTTTCTGACCATGAAACGTGTATAATGCACAGATCGATGTATGGAATAGGTACTTATGGTTTCGTAGAAGAATTTTTCCCAAGGAAAAAAATGACACTCTACTATACGCCCAGGCGTTTGAAAAAAAATACTTCTACGATATGAAATATACACCTACCTTTCTTAGATCTGTGTATTTTATGTCTTTAAATTTTGGAAAATAATAAAAATCGCGTTGAGGGTGAAGTTTGTTGGTTTAGGAATGCAGCAATTCAAATCACCGTACTCACCACTTTGCTCGGCCGAAATTGGCACAGAAACTGGACTTTGCTTTTTATGACAGCCGAATCTTTGATAACCCGTGCAAGAGTATATAATAGATTTAATTTCTTTATTCAGATTAAAAGTTTGTGAAACAAAACGATAAACAGACACAGACTTACTGTAAATAGTATAACCATATTGTAATATTTACTTTCGCCACAGTATAAAAACAAACAGTAGTCCCACACTATTGAAATTTTTTGTGTAGCGCATATCTTATTATAGGCATGTGTTCAGCATAGTGGCAGCCAGTCAATTGCTTTTTTTGGCCAATAGGAGCGCTGAGGTGGCTATCCGCAGCCAGTAATATACAGCACCAAGTTGCACAATTGAGTGAGACTACTGTTTGTTTCTATACTGTGCTTTCGCGTGACTACCAAGATCACAATGCTCTTCGAGCATCGCGCTTTTGACGTCATTACTCATACGGTCTATTATTGGATGAGGTTGAGCATGATGTCAAGAACTAACCGTCTGAATAGTTCTTGAAATCATGCCACAGAATAGATAACGTAATCTGTTATCCCACTCAGCCAAAATTGTGGTGTATTTTTCCAATGCGCATGCGCTACTTCTGCTTAACTCGAGCAAGATACTTTCACAAAATAAATATGGAGTTGTGTTGCAAGAGAATGTTGTTTTTGCTAATAATTCACGTTCAAACCAAACGTTTGCCGAAATTTTAACAAGGAGTGTTCATCTTGGGAAGGAGATGGGTAAAAATCTTTTTTCGTACAAAATAAATAGCTAAATAATATTTCCACTGGATTTTATTTCTTAAATCTTGGATTAGGAATAAAGCATGGTGCTAGATATCTGCAATTTCATTTGCAAAGACAACTTGAAAATGCTGTTTACAATTCAGTTGATGTTATGACAAATGTGTAATTAATAGAAGTTATTTTGATATTGTTCAAATAAATATCGATATTTTTCATTACTCTTGAGTGATTAAGTTTTATGTAAAAGGCAATGAAAATCAAAAATCCCATTTCATCAACCACAAAACAATGTTGATCCATGTCCTTGACACTAATTGCTGAATGCAAGTTGCAAATATTTTTTAGTAAAAAGTGCTTGTTGTCATTGAGAATTAGGCAGAAAGATTGTTAAGTAAAACCAAATTTGAAAGCCAACATATGTTTTGAGTGTAACCATCTTAAAAGGTACAAATGACAAAAATAATTAAAGATTAAAGGAGTGACAACAACACACTGTTCAGAAATAAACTGTTTTAACCGCAAGCTAACAAGGTCAGATTTGAAATTATTTCCAAAACACCATACAAGATAACTTATGACTTTTTGGGAACATGATAAATATATTTTGTCAAACAATAAGAAACGTTAACTGCAGCTTGTTTTTTATAAATCTTGCATTGTTTCAGAATATGTAACTAGATTGCATTGTCAGGAGTCAGGACCTTGTGAACAAAAGTTATTCTTAATGTCTTTACAATAATTGTGAATTTGGTCCCTGGCTGGTTACTTAAAATGCTGTCATTCATATCTGTAATAAATTGTTATTCTCCACAAAATTGATATATTTGTAAAATTCTTGTATAATTTCTATTACGTTCTTACTGAATTATCTTGCTGGAAGGCGTGGCCGCTCAGAATTTTGATTCAGAAAAGAGGGGGACACGAATATCAAAGGTTCCGACGCGAGTGAGCCTTTGTTACCTTTCTATTCTGTGATCATGCGAAAGCTGAGTTCAATAATTGTTTTATTTTTCACTTTAACTAACTGAAATATTAAAACATATCAATACAAAACATTTTTCAAACCTTCGCTAAATTGTTTTTGTCAGACGGGTTATTTAAGTTCGTCTTGTTTAAACACGTCGTAAATCTGTTCAAAGTCAGCTTCGCCGCTTTTTTAAAGAAAAAGTAAAGCTAAAGTAGACCTTTATTTTTGACCAAGTGAAATAATAAATACGAAGTTCCCATAAAATTGTTCATGCCATCAAACTGAAATGTGAGTTGACCAATCAAAAGCGAAATTGCTTACATAGTGAATAATAATAACAAGTATCCACTGACCACACCTATTTTTTATACAAAAAAAAACTCACATTTCAGTTTGATGGCATGAGTGATTTTATGGGAACTTCGTATTTATTATTTCACTTTGTCAAAAATAAACGTCTACTTTTAACTTTTTCTTTGTATCAAAATTTATACGTTTCGCTGTATCAAAGTCAGAAACATTAAAATATGTTTGTTACACTATTATTTGTGAATTAAGTCACAAAGCCATGTCACTGTCTTGCACAGTTGCACTGCTACCTTTCTGTTTTGTTGGGCATGATCTATGTCATATTGGTTTTGGCCATTTTTAAACAAGAGCTGTTGATATGATCCAGGTTAACCGAGATACAGTGAATCGTGAAATGATTTTGAGGCATTGAAACGAATAGAAACTTCAAGAATAAAAATTACAACCTTTCATTAAGCGCTATGAGATAATTTTTGTTATTAATTGGAACAGTTATCTTTTGTTGTTTTGTAACTATGTTTTTTAAATTTATTAAGTCTGATTATTGTGAGAAATTGCTCAAATAGATTTATTAGATGATAAATATTTGATCAATTTGACAAGTCATTCAACGCTTAGCCGAATTCCGGCTAACCGGTCTCTTGATCATGCTACTGTTTTGATTTAGACCATCAATCAAACTTTATGCTCTATAGTTGTTGACAACATACTAAAACATGTTATTGACGTTTAAGAATCAACCCAAATGGAGTAGATACTGGCTATGGTTCTCACGTGTCTTTGTTTGTTCACATGATGCAAACTGAGTGGGATGATACGCTTGAATGGCCTTTCTCAGGACGAATTTCTTTATCCATTCTCGACCAAAGCGATGACGGTGATTATAAACGTCACATAAGTGAGACATTAGTCACAAGACCAAACCTACTAGCATTTCAGCGACCAACAACGCCTCGCAATCACAAGGGTTATGGTTATGTTGAGTTTGCTCAGGCCGAAACGCTACAAGACCGACAGTACCTAAAAAATGACTGTCTTTTGATTCGTGTCCAAGTATTTCAATAATCAGTATGTTGTATTACTGATAGAATGTGGTGTGTATGTGATGTATTATTATGAAACATTTAACTCTAAAAAGTCTGGTCTTTATTTGCGACATAATCGCCAGTGAGGACTGGCTTTAAATGAAAGCAGATCGTGACATAAATCTTGCGTGGAACTTTGCATTTATATTTTGCACTCATGTATTAGTTTTAGTAAATTCAATAATAACCATTTTTAAAGTGAGAATATTCAAAAAATTAACTGCTATTTGGAAGCTGCATTTGCCAAATTTCCTGAAATTTCATAAGCTTGAAACGCGTGCCACAGTCATTCCTATTGCATCATTTTTTTTGACAAGCTTTTTTAAAAATTACTTTCTGTTGCATAGTTCTCACTCTAAAAAACGGTTATTATTCACGACAAATTAACCATTAAAAGAACGAGGGGGAATCCAATTGCCTATTTTCAACAAACCATTATGCGAATCTTGCACGCTAATAAATTTAGCAGCGTTTTTGCAACTATAAGCTTTTTCCATACAACTTGTATATCTCCACATAGTTGATAAAGAAAAAAACCACTTCGACTAATAGATGTGGTTGAAAAGTCAGCGTTAATCTTTGTAATCAAGTCCAGAGTTTAGCCAAAAATTTGCAAAACAAATATATATTACGAAACACACTCACAAGATCGAAAAAGTAGACGAAGCCTATTTCACAATTTTATCAAAAAGAATCGCGATAGATTGATAATTGAGGGGCTAGGGGCTCATATTCTTATGTTCATCCTGCATAATCCGTAATCACCATATATTTCAATGGAAACTATAGTTAAGTGGAACATTCATACATATAAGAATATTCACCCCACCAATTATTGATCTTCTGCGTTCAGTGATTAAACATCAGGCAAATTAAATAAAACTGACATACGTCATGACTTAAGGTCAAATGGACGAACATGAACATTGTAGTGAAAATTGCTGTTGAAAAAATTGCAATTTAGCTTCGTCAACCTTCATGTTTAATTAATCCAACTTGCTGTTATATCAGTCTAAAAATGATGTTGCAACCTACTCAAATTCCAGTATTCTATACAATCCATTTTCTTGTCTTGATGCAGTCCATATCATATGGAGTTTACAAGATATTGACTTTCGGATTGTGTTTCGTTTAGTATCATCAAATTATTCTGTATCATAAAACTCTTTGTATTAAACATCAGCCAATATGCATTGATACTTTTTAACTATATGATTGTGCTATAAAACCAGTTTTTACGTTGTCTGAAAAATATTGAAAGCATGAAAACAAGACTAATTAAAGATTAGTTAAAACCCATGTAGTATCCTGTTTCGTCTGTGTAAACCGCTTTGAGTTCAACAAAATCAATCAATCAATAAAAGAGAATTTCCAAAATGAATACATATTTATAGGAAATAGTGAACGTTTGTTTTAAATTTGTTTGTTTTGCATTATTTCTATTTAAGCAAAGAAATAAAATGTGTTTTTCGTGTTTTCAATGGTTTATGCAAACCTCTGAGACGTTTGTGAGAACTCTGGAGCAGATGCAACACTCTACCTTCGGTCCCGGGCCTGCAATGATCTTCTTTCGGGTTCTCCTAAAGGAAACATCTCTTTTTCTTAAATAATTAATTATTTTTCAGTTGTAGTCCGTAATGAAAAAGAATCAGAGTTCAGATTAATTTTTGTAGAACTTGATTCATTTATTCAAATACTATGATCATAGTATTTTGAATTTTGTTCATTTTCTCTCCTAGTTCAAAATATTTTCTTTGTATGTTCTCAGTAAATTTATCAGAATATTATTTCGTTTTAACTTAAATAAGATACTAGGAATTAATCGTACCAAAATAACTGAAAAAACTACATACCTATATAGCTACTCATGATATATTTCCAGTTGACTTTAGTCGTAGGAGTAAGCAAACTTTTTCTCACTCCTTTTTGGGCTTTTTAAGTAAGATTTACTCATCTATTTAAGAGAGACAGTTCCACCAAACTGTTTACAAACAGTCAAACATGCAAGAAGTGTGCATGAAATTGTGTATTGAAATATGTTACAGTACTATACTAAAGAATGTCGTTTGCCGTTTGATGTTTATTTCTAATATAGCTAAAACATTATGTGAAAAACAAAATATACGTTACTTTACCGTAAATTTAGAAGCAGTAATTGAAATCAGAATTATAATATACAAATTTAATGTTTCCATAGTACACAAGGCAGAAGTTTCAAAAATATGTGGAAAACTATGGCAATACGCATTGACGTTCTGAAAAACCGTGCATTTTGTGCTGCTTTTTCTGTGCTATTGAAAGTTCTGCGTAAATTCAAGATGTCAAACATCAAGAAATAGTTAAAACAATATAAAATTCATCAGTTTGGAAAGTTTCGAAAAGATTTAACTTTCTGATATTGAGAAAAATGCATTTAAAAATTGACGTAAATATTGTTAAAAGAAAAACAAACAAATCCTCTCTTAAATGACGTCAGCGACTCTGCGCAAAAGTTTTCATAAGGATTTCTCAAAAAAGGTTTTATTTTGAAGAAAATGTAAGGTTATGAAAAATGTAGGTTATGCCTTACACCTGCGTTGCTTATGGAAGTACGACGAATAAAAATAAGGAAAACAAGGAACACATTGAGCACATTTACGTCTTTACGGTTTTCTGTTTGTTTGAATTTTATCGCTTAAAATAGCGTCAATCGTTGTCATTTCCTTGCGATTCTTATTCTGTCCCTTTTCTTATAACCAGATAATATTTAACAGCTCATACAAATAAATAAATAACACTAAAAACACACAGAAGAAGAAAGACGCCAAACAGAAGAGCTCGAACGCAGAATGCAAAATGAAGTTCCTCTTGATTCTTAGTAAGAAAAGTTTGAAAATTTGTTTATTTATTGTTTCCGAAGCTTTTGACAGATAACTTTCGTAAGTGCAATTGTGGTAACTGCCGTGTTCCTCTCTTGGTTAATCCAAAAGAATGTAGATGTTGCCACGAAATTGCCAATTGCATGATTGAAATACAAGATCATATGGTGGTATACGAATTAGGAAGGCAGCCAAAATGCATTACAGAGCATCCAGGATTTGATGCCATTTGCCTCAATCGATGGGCATTAAATTTAGCTGGCAATCTTTACCAAAGACGAGATGGAGTTAGGTATCATAAAGGATTCTTGGAGCAAAGGTTTGTTAGAATTAATAGTTAAATGTTTCTGTCTGGGTTATCTATGAATGCACACTTGCAAAATTTGTATTTTATGGACACCTACCTGTTTTAATGGACCTTGTGTATTATGCCTTTTCAGGTTTTTTCGAGTTGTTTCATATAGACAATTTACAAGAATGGTACATGGCATTCTTCGAGACAAAAGAATTCCACTTCCAGCTTGTGCTTACCATGTTATTCGAAAAACTTGCGGGTTTATTCGAAAAACAAACGACTTTGTCGTAATATTAACATTTATGGTCCATTTCTCCCAGATTTCTTGAAGAAAGTAAGTAAATGTTATATATTTATATAAATATATAGGTTTGTATAAATAACACCACGTAATGTAATAGTAGTAATACTAAATACAGAACTCTTGAAATGAGCATATTAATAGATGACACTGTCATTGTCGCAGAATTCACTGAGTTCGTCCAGAAAATTGATCTGCACTCTGATTCGGTTTGTTTTATGGAGTTTATTAGCAATGAACAATCTACACAATCTCTCCGACTATTACAAATTTGAGTCTATTTATATGTTTACATTTCGTGACTTACGTGCACTACTACAACATGAATTAATTAAGAGAGAAAATACTTAGGAAGTGTTAAGTATATAAACCCTAATTTTTAATTACTAGGAGTTACTATCGCAAGGGAAGTGCTGCCCCTCCACCAAGTAAGGTAAAACAGTTTGGAAACTGCTATTGCGTGTTTTCCATCATTTATCATCTGCCATAAACAATACAACAATGAATGGTAAAAATAAAAATACAGCAAGAAACCGCAAAAACTCGTATACTTTGTCATTGCATAAAGACAAGCTAATTGTGTCATCTTTTATTTTCAAATTGTCAAAAGCTTAAAGTTTTGTTTGCTTAAATATTTTAAGACAATTCACAATTCTGATTTTGTTCTTTAGGTTGAAATAAAAACACGGCATGATTTCTTGTTTGATTTGTGTCATTTTCTTTTAGACTGCTTTTTGTGAGCTCATTCGCCTTATTAATTGTAACCTGAGAGATAATTGTAACCTGAGTCTAGCGCAAATCAATTTTTTGAAATACAACCAATACAATATGATGCATGGTTTACTCGCCATGTTTAATCATGATCGTGACTAAAACACCACACGAGTACATACGAGTAACATACGAGTACATACAAGTAACATACGAGTACATACAAGTAACATACGAGTACATACAAGTACATACAAGTACATACGAGTATCATACGAGTACATACAAGTAACATACGAGTACATACAAGTAACATACGAGTACATACGAGTACATACGAGTACATACGAGTAACATACGAGTACATACAAGTACATACGAGTAACATACGAGTACATACAAGTAACATACGAGTACATACAAGTAACATGAGTACATACGAGTACATGAGTACATACGAGTAACATACGAGTACATACAAGTAACATACGAGTACATACAAGTAACATATGAAATTTACAATTACATACAAGTACATCATGAGTATCATACGGTACATAAGTAACATACGAGTACATACGAGTAACATACGAGTACATACAAGTAACATACTGAGTACATATAAATTAACATGAAAGTACATACAAGTAACATACGAGTACATACGAGTACATACAAGTAACTTATACAAGTAACATACGAGTACATAAGTAACATACGAGTACATACAAGTAACATACGAGTACATACAAGTAACATACAAGTACATACAAGTACATACAAGTACATACAAGTACATACAAGTAACATACGAGTACATACGAGTAACATACGAGTACATACAAGTAACATACGAGTACATACAAGTAACATACGAGTACATACAAGTAACATACAAGTACATACGAGTACATACAAGTAACATACGAGTACATACAAGTAACATACGAGTACATACAAGTAACATACAAGTACATACGAGTATCATACAAGTACATACGAGTAACATACGAGTACATACAAGTAACATACAAGTACATACGAGTATCATACAAGTACATACGAGTAACATGCAGTACATACAAGTAACATACAAGTACATACGAGTATCATACAAGTACATACGAGTAACATACGAGTACATACAAGTACATACGAGTAACATACGAGTACATACAAGTAACATACTAGTACATACAAGTAACATACGAGTACATACAAGTAACATACGAGTACATACAAGT